CGTGGTGGACGCCAGTGGAGCCTTCAGCCGGAGCAACTCGCACGCCAGCTTCGAGACGCACTCGCTGCGCCGCCAGAGCAAGCAGCGCCTGTCCGAGGAGAACGCCCTGGTCCGCTCCATGGCTGAGCAGGAGTGGGAGAAGCTGCAGCAGGCGGCGCATGCCCAGCAGCAGGCCTACGAACTAGTGGCCAACGCCGCGGACTGCGACGACTCCGATGTGTTGTACGCGGCGGCCACCGCGGACATGATGTCGCCGTCGGGTCACACGGATGCCCAGACTCTGGCCATGATGCTGCAGGAGCAGCTGGACGCCATCAACAACGAGATTCGCCTCATCCAGGAGGAGAAGCAGTCAACGGAGGCCCGTGCCGAGGAGCTGGAGTCCCGTGTCGGCAGCTTAGAGCACGTCAACTTGCTGGCCCGCGGTCGCTCCATGGACAGGCAGAGTCCACCCATGAGTGGCCGGAGCACGCCCAACAGCCCGCAGAGGGATTTCATGCAGAAGTATCATACGGTGAGTGACTAAAATAATTCAACGAAAGAAATCTTTAAAGCTGGTAACTGGCGAAGTTATAATTTCGGGACACGACTATTGCCTCGGATCTTAAAAATAGTTAAGACTTTGTAAAATGGAATGAGTCATACCTTATGCAAAAACAATAGGAGAATTCAATAACTTTGTAGGTCACAGCTGTCGATAAGAACGCAACGAAAAAAAAAACGCCATTCCCTTTAAAAGCACACCTGATTTTTCTTAAACAGTTCTTATATACAATACCGATATCTCTGTGTAAGCTCCTCATTTTGACACTCAACTAATGATTGTATCCGTTCGCAGCTCAACTTGCCCGTGCTGTCCAGCGATGCCTCCCGCGAGGAGCTCCACGGCGGCATGTCCACCACAGGGGACTCGAGCTCCGGCGGAGCCGCTTCCCCGCTGACCGCCCGCTCCATGCGCCTGGAGCGAGTGGCCCAGGCCCTGGCCCACAGCCAGGAGGAGCTGAGGCGACGCTCGATCGGCCTCAATCCCAGTGCCCCGGTGGCGCCGAACCACAGTGGCGGCCACATGCCGCTGAGCAGCCACAGCTACGGGCTGTCGCCACTGAGCTCGCGCTACGGCAGCCAGGAGTCGCTGCGCCACTACAACACCATGGGCTCCATGTCCATGCTGCAGACGCCCACCTCGGGCGTGTCCAGGGATGCGGCCGCCGCGGCTGTGCAAAAGAAGAAGGGCATAAAGTCCTCGCTGGGAAGGTTCTTCAGCAAAAAGGAGAAGGTGAAGGGCGTGAAGGACACGCTGCCCGACGGTTCGCCCAGCATGATGTCCATCGGCAACCTGTCGATCGGACTGAGCGAGGTGGACTCCAACTACGATGCCATGAGCATGACTGGCGGCATGATGCCCCGCATTGCCAGCTCCCAGGGATCCAAAATAAGTAGTGTTGACTATGGCAGACAGAAAAAGTAAACCTCTACCAAATATTTAAAGAAACGGTTACTAATCCTTTTGCTCTTTTCAGGGAGCACGACTATCGCAATGACTTGCTGGGCGAGGCCATGAAGGCGGGCACTCCGTTTGCCCTGTGGAACGGACCCACCATCGTCGCCTGGCTGGAGCTGTGGGTCGGCATGCCCGCCTGGTATGTGGCCGCCTGTCGGGCGAACGTCAAGTCCGGTGCCATTATGAGCGCGCTAAGCGACACGGAAATTCAGCGGGAGATTGGTGAGCATCCTTGGTTTCTATGCTGCTATCCCTGACTAACTTTCTTCTTTGACAGGCATCAGCAATCCCCTGCACAGGCTCAAGCTTCGCCTGGCCATTCAGGAAATGGTTTCACTGACCTCTCCCTCGGCGCCACAAACCTCACGGACCACGCTGGCGTTTGGTAAGCTTTGTCTTTATAATTTGATGTAACCAATTAATAATTTGTCATCCTCGTCCCGCAGGCGATATGAACCACGAGTGGATCGGCAACTACTGGTTGCCCGGCTTGGGTCTGCCGCAATATCGCACAACCTTCATGGAGTGTCTGGTGGACGCCCGCATGCTGGACCACCTGACCAAGAAGGATCTGCGCGGTCAGCTCAAGATGGTGGACAGTTTCCACCGCACCAGCCTGCAGTATGGCATATCGATGCTCAAGCGCCTTAACTACGATCGCACGGAGCTGGAGCACAGGCGGAAGATGAGTGAAAACGGTCTGTGCGACGTGCTCGTCTGGAGCAACGAGCGGGTCATACGGTGGGTTGGCAGCATCGGACTGAAGGTGAGTATCGTAGCCAGAAGGAATTACCTATTTCGGATACAAATTAATGTTCAATATCTTCTCACAGGAATATGCCAACAACTTGCTCGAATCGGGAGTGCATGGGGGCTTAATGGCCCTGGACGAAGGCTTCGATGCCAATGCCATGGGCTTGGCCCTCCAAATACCCACACAAAATGCTCAGGTGAACTAGAAAAGCCTTCCTTTCTCAACCCAATTATCTAACGATTTTTCATCCGACTAGGCTCGCCAAATACTCGACACGGAGTTTAATAACTTGCTGCAGATCGCCACAGATCGCAGGCCGGAGAACGAGCAGCGGAGCGCTTCCTGATGCAGCTACAGCCCGCCCACGTCTTCGGTGGATGAGTGAGCACCGGTGAAGTACAGGGCAGACAACTGAAGCAACCTACAACAATAAGAACGTAAAGACCAGGGGCAACGTTTCCTAATCCGCAACAGTAACGACAAGCAGAACTAAGAGAAGGAATAGAAATGCTAGCAGCAACTAAGCCACAAAAACCCTAACAAGAAAGACGCAACGCAAGAGACTCCCCAGCATGATGCACGTCTAATCCACATATTTAATATATATAATACACGCATAGTCACATAATCCATAACAAGACAATGTATACAAGACATAGCACATACTCTACATAGGACATACGTAGTCGCATTGGCGCCAAGTCGCTGCCGCTGCCAGGCGTGTACAAGTTTTAGAAGCTAATCAGTTTTCGATTGTAAAATTATTATTGTATTTTTTAAATAGTGCAATTGGGCTTGCAATAGACTAACAGTATTTTGTTTTAGATGATGCAGAGGTGGCAAGAGATGACAGCGTGCTTCGAACCAAATTTGTGACCAAACTTGTTTGTTATATAATTTTTATGGCATTTTGTACAGTTTTTAATTTAATCCAATATTATTTTCTTTTTTTAATTAAACCAACTAACATACGCTTTACATATGACATTATCGTGTTTCTGTTAAGGTTTTTGTAGAAGGCAGAGACGTCGATCCGATTGAGTTTATAAACTGAACAACATGCACAACAATCAGGCATACATATATAGAGTAACAGCTGCATATATATACGTTTATATATTATAATAAATCTAATTATTAAACATGAAGCATACGTGTAACTAACAAAGTATTAAATGTGAAGTAAAGTGAAGTGAAGGAAGGGGAAGAAAAGTTGTAGAAGTCGCAAGCGCCCATTGAAATCAACTATTTACATACTTATATATACGAGATCATTTAGTAATCGAAAAAGCTTTAAAGGCGAACTAATCATAAACCAAAACTCAAATCTTAGCCTTTGCTTAAGTCCCTAATAAAGAATTTCTTTGATCATCGGCTTGAGGAAACTCGATCTTCAATAGCGAATAAAATCTTTGAATATTTTTAACGATCTATTCACAAAATCTAAAAGCATATCCATTGTTTTTCAAAACATAAAAACCCAAGTCTTTTTCGAAATCGTTAACGTGGCTTCTTAACTTAAGTTGTAATCGCGGCCAGTTGAAAAATAAAACGAATCCTTCTCTTCTGTTGAAACTAACCACTGTATTTAAGTTTCGCATGTACTTATTTGTCCCCGTATTTGTTAAAGCACACAAACTGCCACATAAAAACACAACACGTACATCCACAGCATCTATAAAATGTTGGTCCTTGGGGTCTGTGTACATTAAGTTTAAGTTTTTACTTATTTGTACAAAAACCAAAATTGCAACTAACGCTTGTCTTTAAGTTGAAATAGAAAAATAAAAAAGCAGTAAAAATGAATACCGTATACTTAAATTAATTTATAAAACTAAAATATATTATAAAGATACTAACAAGGAAATACTTAATGAAATTATTTCAACTGTATTAGCTAAATTAAAAAAAAAAAAAAAAAAAAAAGACGCGTAAAAACTTATAAAAGCTATAAAAACTGAAAACTTATTTATGTATGTAACTGTAGCATTATCTAAGTAAATCCAAGAGTAAAGCAAATATTTATGATGTGTAACCTAAATTTACTAACTACTAATCCAAAATATCTGAGTTAATTTGAAGAAGGATTGGTTTAATTGTTGACTTTTGTTGAAAATTCCACAAAAATGAAGAAAAATGAGCGTAACTAAACTAAACTAAATGCATAACATAAATAACAAATTGATTACCATACGCAAATGTAAATATATTTATACAATATTGTGAACATGAAAATTGAATGCAAAACAAGCAACTTAGGTAAAAATTCCGGTTAGGAGTTTTTTATATGTACCATATATATTTGAAAAAATGAAAACAGCAAACCACAAAAACAAATGAAGAAAATATAACTACAAATTAAAATTTATTACAAAAAAGGCAGAAACGAATTCTTAACTTCAAATGAGAAACACTGATAAAGCGGAAATGGGGGTTCTCTAAATCTTCTATAACGTTTTCGATTGGAATTTTCGGTCGAAGGTTTTTTCCAAGTGAGTACTTAATGGTTTTTTGCTCAGTAGCAAGCACTGCTTTCAACGTGTTCATTTCATTTTCACTTTCGTTTCGTCAAAGGTTCCCTCTTTTTCTCAAATTTGATTGTCTATGCGAAGAAATGTTTTTTATGTCAATCAAGACCTTTCGTTAGTAAATGCAATACTCTTAGAAACTGTTTGGCTCCTGCTTCAAAATTCCACGTTAGTTGCACGAAGCAATCGGCACTTTTGGCATCCAGAGACGAGTCCTTTCGGGGGAGGGCCAGAGGGTACCTGGCCACGCACACGCCGGGAGACGAACACTGAGAAGAGATTGAGAAGGGCATTCCACCGACGACAGAAGGAGCAGCAGCCAGCAGTATGACGACGAACACCACGCCGGCGGGGTTCACGGGGAACCGCAACCGCTACTACAACCCCGTCTCGAAGATCCAGTCGCTGATCCACAACCTGGACGCGGAGCTGGTGCAGCTGTGCAAGCAGTGCTCCGTGCCGAAGCCGCTGTCCAGCCACAACACCAACAGCGGCTCCTTTGGCAGCCACTTCGGGGCCCTGGGAGGCGGGGGACTGTCGAGCGCCGTGGCCACCGGCAACTATGCCCAGCACTTCCGGGCCGACAGCATTGGCAGCCTGCTGGCCCGCGCCCGGGCCACCCATCCGCCGGCCCGGACCCCTTCCACCACCTCGCCAAAGGCGCCGGAGGCCCAGAAGCGCCAGTTGCGCAACGTCTACCGCACCCGTGTGATCGACGCGTACCGCAACCGGCGGATCTTCACCGTATACGGCAACTACCACACGGTTAGGCGGGCGCTGATGCGCCGCGGCTGGCTGGAGAAGCTGCCCGCCTCGCGGCACGCCAAGCTGCAGAGCATGTCCGAGGACTCCCTGCTGGAGCACGCCCGGCGGGGCAACGACTACGAGACGGTGGTCATCTCCAAGATGATCAACCACTTCCCGGCCTTCTTCATCTGGCAGGGCAAGGGCCAGCGGGACCTGTGCGCCGAGGTGCGGCCCTTCCGGAATCGGGTGCGACGCAGCCAGTTCCTCGACTTCTCCACCAAGGTGGGTCTCGTCGGCTGCGCGGAGCAGGAGCGCTGGTACCGCGAGGACGGCGTCTGCGGGATGAGCTATCCGCGCTTCTACCGCCTGGGCGGGAACAACCTGGAGGAGCGAATGGCCTTCATCGAGGACTACCAGCAGACGCAGGCCCGCTCCCTGCTGCGCTACGTGAAGGAGCACACGCCGTCGGAGCTGATCAGCGACAGTGGCTCCATTTCTAGCACCATCCTGGACTTCGCCTTGGCCAAGGTGAAGAAGATGATACGGAACGCGGAGCACTACTCGCTCGACGACGCCCGGGTCAAGCCTCCAACTCCGGCGGAGATCGTCGAGAACCAGACCTTCATGGTGCAGTCCACCGACCTGCTCAAGTCGAACGCCAAGTTCCGGGTCAGCGAAAGAATGATGACGGAGTACGCCCGTCTGGCGGCGCTCTACCTCGACCAAATCGAGTCCCTGCGACCAGACTACCGCTGGGACGGCAGCCGCAACCTATGGATCCTCAAGCCCGGCTACCAGTCCCGTGGCATCGGCATCGTTATCCGCAGTTCCCTTGACGACATCCTGCAGTGGACGTCGAACAACCAGAACAAGAAGTATATCGTCCAGAAGTACATAGGTGAGTGGGGTTACTCCTTGCTGGAATCTATAGTTTTGGGATGAACATTTAGTTGCTATTGATCATGATGCAGTTAGGGATACGCATTGGAATATGTTTTCAGAGAAATGCCACGCCCTCTTAAATTGTTTTTTCGTTTATTAGGGCAGCGGACTTAATTAATTTTCCTTTTTCCTTAAATATTTTAAAAGGTAGTTTTTGTTTAAATTTATTTTTTATCACTTTGAGGAGCTCCCAATAGAGAACCTTTAAAACTTGTGGCTTTAAATTCTCCCGCCCCGACAGAGCGACCACTGCTGATCTACCGCACCAAGTTCGACATCCGGCAGTACATGCTCCTCGCGATCACGGACACGAAGGTGAGCGTGTGGACGTACCGCGACTGCTACCTGCGCTTCAGCTCGCAGGAGTTCACCATGGACGACCTGCGGGAGTCGATCCACCTGACCAACAACTCGGTGCAGAAGCGGTACAAGAACAAGACCAACCGGGACTCGCGGCTGCCGAAGAACAACATGTGGTCGCTGGACCAGTTCAAGTCCTACCTCCGCCACATGGGCGCTCCGGACGGGACGTGGACGAAGACCTACAACGGATTCAAGCAGAACCTGATAGCCGTGGTGATGGCCAGTCTGGACGAGACGGAGTTGCTGCAGAACGCCTTCGAGCTGTACGGCTGCGACTTCATGCTCGACGAGCACTACAACCCCATTCTGATCGAGATCAACTCCACGCCCGATCTCTCGCCCTCCACTGAGATCACGGCCAGGATCTGCCCGATGGTCCTGAAGGACTGCATCCGCGTCGTGGTGGATCTGCCGAAGAACCCCACCACCAACACTGGACTCTTCGAACTGGCCTTCGAGGTCAACTACAGCATCAACAAGGGGCCGGATGGAAAGCCCCTCGAGCTCAACGGCAAGCAGATGACCCTCTTCGAGTACTCGCCCAAGACGAGGAGCAGTCCGCGAACGAGGCTCCTGCGGAAGATCCTCAACAACGTTAAGACTCCCTCGAGCAAAAAGGTGGAAAAAGCCAAGGAGGCCCCCGCCAAACACGAGAAGGCTGCCTCCCCCAAGATCTCAAAAAAGAAGGTAGGGTATTGTACAATTTTAAATTCAAATAAACTCACTTATTCGTTTATACAGAATACTTTTCAGTGCTTATCAACCTTTTTATTAATTTGTATAGCTTAAAAAATAACAATTACCAACTACTATCATTTTACTTACAGAAAATGAAGGCATCGGCTGAAAGTTCAAGCTCAGCTTCGGCACAACCTTCATCTCAGAACGTCGGATCCAAGGTGATTCTGAATCCAACTGCTCGGGAGAACCTGGCTCTTCAATATACCGCTCCAAAGTAAAGACACAAACTGGGGAAACAGACGAGTATGCTTGGACTGCCAGATGGCAGTAAACCACTAGGGAAGTAAGTTATATTTGAAGTATTATTACTGCACTTTAACTTTTACGGAAAAGCCATTATTTACAGAACTTACATAGCTGTTTTAGTCGTACTATTTGTTTGGAAACTGAGGTGCAAAATATAAAACAAAAGGTAAGTGCTCAAAAAACTTTTTGCGAAAAAAGCATAAATAAACGTTTTATTCCTTAGAATTGAATGAGTCCCTAAAACCGATCAAAAACTAAACAAGTAACTAGCAAGCACAAATGAATAAAATAAATATTACATTATTAAATATATTACAGAACCTGTCCTGCAAAATTAAAGTGCTCACCTCATTACGCAAAAAGGTTTCATGAATGGAACACCAAGCTGAAGGAAAAAATCATGAAAATTTATCACTTTCCAAATCGACTGAAGTTTATTTAACAGCTAAAATATGTAGTATACAAGAACATCCGAAAAATTTGGGAACGATTTTCCAATAAACTCGTCTTTAAATTTAAATAAAAATTATTATTTATAATTCAAACAGAGCTAATATTTTACAGAATTCTTTAAAGAAACTGCGTAGATTATCTTAGTTAAATTGTATAAGATTAAAGGAAAACAAGCAATTCTACTTATCAGTTATATTTAAAAATGGTGAGTAAATTTAAAAAGATTCGGTTTTTGTTAGTCAATTTATAATAAATTTATCAATTTGTCAATTTATAAATAATTACAATGAAGATTTTCTAAACTTATTGTTAAAGAACTTTTAAGGCAGTAATGTTTTATGCTTTAAATCATTGATGTCTTTTCTCTCGAGTTTCCATTAAAGCCACGTAAAATATTTATTTAACTATTGATACTCTTTTCTAAGTTAAAACAGTAAGATTTTAGTTATTGCACTCTATTTAACAACACATTTTTAAACTTATAGTTATGTATTATGTATAAACGTATGAGTTGAAGACCAACTTCTATGTTCTCTATACCTTAAACAAAGTAACGTTTTTGAAAATGCATATTTCAGATATTTAAAAATATTTTTTACCTAAGAACCTGGTACTCATAAAATTGATGACGTTAGGTTCCTAGCTCAGGTATTTATTATTTCGTTTGTCCACTTTCTGCGAGACTAATCCGGTTCCAGTATAAACGAGCATTTAAATCCTCAAGTGGCAGTATCAGATGAACTATCCCACCGGAAGTGCTGGCGTGGGAATCGTCAGGGTGGAGTTGTTCAGCTTGTTGGCCAACGCGGTCCGCGGACTCATCATCTGCGCCTGGGAGAGCTGCAGTTCGCTGGTGGCCTGCTTCAGAGCGGTCACGATGGGTTCTCCTCGGTGGAGTGCCTGCACGGAGATGCTCACCGGCAGCCGGGGTCCATTCGACTTCCGGCCGAAGGTCCTGCCGATGGCATGCATGCTGGCCGTGCTGTCGATCTCGGATTTGGTGCGGGTGAAGCGGCGAGTGGGAAGACTCGGAGTGGTCAAAGGAGGTCCTTTGGCTCGGGACGCCGAGTTGGAGGAGCAACTCGTTGTGGCCGCAATGTTGCGCAAACTTCGCCACTTTCGCTCACTCATCATGGGAACCGTGGCGGAGGCCACTGCTTCCGGTCGCGCCTCCTGTAGAGATTCATTTCCAGCGGCCGAGTAGTTCTTGATCAGGATCTTGAACTTCTTCTCCGAACTCTCCACGGGATTCGTGGAACTCAGCCGGGGTCCACAGCTCCGCTGGCGTTTGGGTGGCAGGGCGGTGATCGGTTCTCCCGAGAGGGATCCCGCCGTGTTCCGCTTGTGGGAGGCACTCAGCAGCTGGGTGATGGAGCGACTCGACTGCTTGAGGATGTAGGGACTCGGAGATCCCGACGGCGGAGCCGTGAGAACGGGTGCCACTGAGGGAGACTTCTGCGCCTGCTGGCTGCACAGGCTGCTCCTGCTGCTGCTCAGCGGCTCCACCATGTACTTCTCCATGTACTCGGTGGCGTTGAAGGTGGGCATGGCGCGGTGGATCCTGGAGATGCTCGTCGCCGGATGGACGATCGCCGACCGCTGGCGGTAGACGCTGCTGGTGGCCAGCGAGCGCTCCTTCCGCTGCTGGTAGTAGTAGTGGCCGTGGCCTCCGCCGTGGTTCGCCTTCTGGAGCACCTGCTTGCCCTTCACGAACAGGTTGAGGCCCATGTAGGCGGGCGTGGGCGGCACCACCTGCCGGTAGGCCAGCTCGAAGTTGCCCATATCCGCTTTGGGATCTGTGCGACGGTCGATGACAACTGCAAGAAAACAGGATTTTGTAAAACTGAAATTGATATATGTATTTACAATATTGTTTTATGAGAGCACCTAGCAAATGCAATTAATATATAAAATCACGAATCATTTCTTGACTGACTTAAATAATCTTATTTAAATGTCATGCTTTAAAAGCAATTTAACACATATAAACAATAGGTGTAAATATGAACAAACAACAAAAGAACAGAAGTGGTATTATAAATAATCCTTTTCTGTCTGCCCAGATAACTTGACTCACCCTTGACCACATCCTCCAGGCACTGCGGACACATTCGCGCCGTGACGCTGGTGGTGGCTCCCAGATCGGGACTGGAGTTGATCTCGATCAGCCAGGGATAGAAGTTCTCGCAGATCATGAAGTCGGCTCCGAAGAGCTCGAAGGTGTTTGGCCTGCGGTCCATGTTCTCCTGGGAGGCCAGCATGCAGCCCACGATGGCCTTGCGCATTCCGGGGAAGATCCGCTCCAGCCACATGTTGTACTTTCCAATCTGGCGCAGGTACGCTTGAAAGGAGTAGCAGTCCCACATGTTCTCGCTCGGCAACCGCTTGTCCCGCTTTCCGTTGGTGTACTTCTTCTGGATCGCGTAGTTGGTCAGGTGCACCGACTCGTGGTGGTTGCTCAGGCTGTACTCCTGCGAGCTGAACCGCAGATAGCTTTCTCGGTAGAACCACACCACCAGGGGCTAAGGATTATTGCATAGCCTTACAATTGGTTGCTTAATTAGTTGGAGATGGACTCACCTGGGTGTTGGTAATGAGGAACCACTGGCGAATATCAAACTTTGTTTGGAACAGAATCAACGGTCGTTCTAAAAATACGAACAACATATTTAAAAAATTTAAATTGGAAATAAATAAGATAATGAATTTTTAAAAAGTTTTAAAATTATTTCTTGATGATGATATAACTTCAAATTTTAAAGGCATACTTTTGGACCCATTATTAAGTGATTTTTAGGCCCCTCAGGATAAATAGCTATAGAACACAGCAAAACTGTATGCACAACTCCCAACAAAGAGGGAAAAAAATAAAAGAAGAACTTTATAAGGTACAAAGTCTCTACTCTGCTTTCTTCACATGAACTCCTTGGCAATTACATGTGCCATATTGGTAATCTTAATTCTGGCCAAACAAAAGTCGTTTCAGTTTGGATTGGGCTCCATTCTCCGGCAAACCTGTTGCATTTTCCGAGCAGACACTCGTAAACCCGTTAAGCAAAATATGATTGCTGCCAGCAAACGAGAACGACAACGACAGCGGCAAAAGCAATGATTGCGTTTTTAGGCCAAATATTTATGCATTTATGTAGGCCTGAACCCGAAGGCTCTGGCCAAAGGCACCGAGGAGCCCATGTGCGTGCGTTTTGCACCACAACCCACTTTTCGAGCTCCCCGAAAATGGGGGCCAGCAACATAAAACAAAAACAGCAGCTCGAACAACAACTTTGGCACCGTCCTGATTTGCGACCTAGTTTCCTTGTGTTTGTTTATATCGCTTGCTAGCAGGACTTGAAACGTTTTAGACCTGCACTTAAGATGCTTTAGTCGGTATCGATTGGAAAAACGTGAGTTTGGGATCCATTTGCAGAAAAAGTTTTGCACCCAACATTTTTAAAGAGTGTTGCTACTACACTTGATTTTATTTGTATCTCTGATTATAGTAGGATTTAAAGTGCTATTTGTTTGGCTCAACAAAATCTATGAATGATTATTAACTATTTATGCTATGGCTATGATTATATTAAAGACTTTAAAAGGATTAAATGAGGGATTAATGTCTTAAAAAAATAACATGTTAAATAATTGCAAGCTTTTTGCTTTAAACCTAAATCAAAAAATCAGATTCCGTATTTGAGCTGCACTTTTGAATGTATTAACTTTTACAGAAATGTACTTTATTTTAATCCTTTCCTTGAGATTCCCATATGCGATTAGAAAATTCGAGGTATTAAGGAATTCCTTTAATTTCCAACCAAGCTGCGTTCCCCTAGTGGTACGCCCCATTTACTCACCTATGTACTTTTGCACGACGTAACGACTCTTGGAGGCTATCGAGGGGTTGACCACGCCCAGGATTTTCTTGAGGTTGTCCATGAGGATGATGCCCCTGCCGCGGCACTTGTTGGCCGGCTTCACGATCCAGAGGTTCTGGTAGCCGTCCAGGCTGTACTGCGGCCAGTGGACCTTCATCTTGTCGACCAGCGAGAGGCAGCTCTTGACCATCGGGTCCAGCCGCTGGCCGCCGTCGTGCTGGATGCGTCCGTCCTCGTTGACCAGCTGGTGGTGCTGGAACAGGAAGGCGTCCCAGTCGTGCTCCCAGATCTTCGGCGGGTCCTCGAAGTCGATGTCGTTGTGCTGGCAGCTGTCGAGGAACTCCACCAGCCGCTTGTAGGCAAAGTCGATCGAGGAGTAGGGGATCTTCCCGCTGCAGGAGAAGACCGCCTCGGAGCCCTGCTTGTGGTACTTGCACAGCATGGCCCGCAGGAAGGCCACGCAGGCGGTCAGCTTGAAGTTCTCGATGAACTCGCCCAGTTCTTCGGGACTCCAGACATTGTAGCATCTGAAAAGGGCAAAGAATGCATACCTAAAATATGCCGTGTGCAATCAAATTGATCTGCAAAAATACTCGTACATCTAAACAGTTTGATAATTTGTTTTAAACTTGTTAAAAACTTGAAATATTGGTGCCCCTTTTCCGATTAAGAAGCTTAAATTTCGGTGGTCACAAGTTAATGTTGTCTTTTGTATTACCCGTAAAGAGTTGAGTAATACCAAACCTTTATAAATTTATTTTTCGTAGTTCCTAATTTGGAAATACCCAGTTCAAAATTAAAGATTGTAGGCTCTTTAAAAGTAACAAAACTGTCATTTGAATGCTTAATAGAATTTAACAAAAATAGTGTTGCCTTATCTTGTTCTTATAAATTGTTTGCTTATGTATGCACAGGTTTAGTGGCATATCCATATGGGTTTATTTACTTCTGAAGCGTAATCAAGGACTAAATCTATGAGGGGCCTTTATTTCTATACTGCCAATTGGGAACTTTGTCAGTCGGAAAAGAAGAGTAGAGTCACTCACGAAGTTTATCACTTTCCTTAAATCGTGTTGTTACTAACCTGGGGAAGTACATCTCGGCGGTGCCCTCCTCGAAGAACCAGTGGAAGTCCCTCAGCTGGCTGCACAACCCCTCCTTCGAGGTGAAGGGAGCGCGGTGGAACTTGTTGATGGTCATGCCGGGGTTCTTGGCCTGGTCGATGTAGTCGCACTTCTCCTTGCGGTTCGTCCACAGGAAGTCCACAGGCATGTGCTCGAGGAAGCGGGACATGATGTTCCGCTCGCACTTCAGCACGTACTGCCTCCTGGTCTCGCCCGCCTTCCGCTTGGGCAGCCGCTGGGTGAGGTCCTCGTAGGTCATCTGCCCGGCGGGCATCACCTTCCGGTGGACGTCGAGCTTCTCCACCCAGCCCCTCGTCAGCAGGGCGTTCCTCACCGAGTTGAAGCAGCCGCGGATGGTGAAGATCTTGTTCTGCTTGGCCGCCTCCTGCGCCTTCCGCCGCAGCTCGTTCATCCTGTCCGTGGTGATCCAGGTGCGCCTGGCCACGTAATTGGTGGGAGCGCCCAATGGGCAGGACTTAGTGGGAGGTGGGACCTTCGGTTGGTTCTCCTTGTTTTCGGGAAGGGCGGTTATTACTGCGGAGAAGTCCTTCGGCTTGGCCGTCGCCAGTCCCAGCAGAGAGTCCTTCGCAGGACTCTCGCTCTGGGCGGGAGTGAGCTGGATGACCGGGACCCTGAGTGGCGCCACCACCCTGTTGGAGGGCGTGGGCGGTGGCGCCGCCGGCGGAGTGGCCGGCTTCTTGGCCAGCGTGGCACTGGCGCATTTCTGCGGCTGATCCCCGCTCCGCTCCCGATCCCCCGACTGCTCCTTGCTGCGATGCGGTTCGCTACTCGGACGCGTCTGCATGGCGGAAGCCTCGCCAGCCGACTGACTCCGCCAACTCGGACTGGGCCACTGGGTGATTGGGTGATTGGGTGAGTGGGTTGTTAATTCGCGGGCTGCCTGGCAACCATTGAGCCAGAAATAAGTTCACAAGTTCACTTCGGCAACGACTCTATTAATAGGTACATGCTCAACTTGGCTGCCTTCCGGACTTAGCCTTTGCCTTTACTCCGTTTTCCACACTAGTTTCGGCACTCAAATCCGCGTTCCGCTCTTGAAAATCATAGTGCAAATTTTAGATCGAAGCAATCAAAAAATTCGAATTGATGGATTTTAATTTTGAAATGACTTTTATACATTTACATTTCATTTGTTGTTTTTTGATATTGTTAAGATCTTCTGAATTTATTTGTTATCATCACACCAAAAATTTGGAAGTAGTTAATGGTCCCAAAAAATCCTCTTAGGTATTGACAAATGTTTCATATATAAATATATGAGTAAGAGCAAGTAAGTATAAGTCGAAAAGTCACTTTTATCAGGGTTTTATTTCCATATTTTTGTTTTACAAATTTTAAAGTGGTTTCATACTTTTCTTTTTATATATTTTTTATATTCATAGTTTGTCAAATTAAAGTCAAGAATTAGGGCTAAATCGAAAATAAGAACGGTCATAACAGATACCACCTCTTCGGCTGTTTTAGTGCTGTAGTTTCGGAGCATAGTTTTCTGCACTTTTCAGGTTGGGTTAGGTCGAATGACAATGAATGTTGGTTGCGGTTACCTGGCGATATTGGTTGACATAAAAATTACCTTCAGAACAATGCTTTACAAATAAATATCAGCTAAATGAATAATCTTTGAATATAGAAAAATATGTATTTTATAGATTCATGAACAATAACTCAGATTGATAAAGAAATTACCATACACAAGAAATCGAAAGTTTTTAATGAAGTGCATTAAATAAATGAACAGCTGAGTATCAATAATACAGTGATATTATTATAAATAAAAGCCTCCATATACTAGACATTATTTAACAGATAAGTGCGAGCAGTCTCCGTGCTTTCCCTCCGTTTCAGACCCTAAACGAAACATATGCTCCTCGGCACCGAATAATCCTGGTCATGTGAATGGTGTTCTTGCACGAAACCTGTTTGTTTTCTCCGGTGGGTGTCGTCGTCATCGCTGCTGTTTGGTTGTCTGGATGTTCGGTTGTTCAGTTGTTTGGTGTTGGTGTTGGTGTTGGTGTCATCGCCGGCGTTGTCGTCACTGGCAGAGGCGTTGTCTACGTCAGGGTAAGTGGAAAGAAGGAGGAGGCGGAGAAGGAGAAGGAGTAGGAGGTGCAAGCTGCTTGATGGATGTACTGCCGCTTGCCACGATGGCGGTCTTGTCTGCGCAGTTTGTGCAATTTTCGCAATGGCGCGGAAAAGGGAAACTTTTCAATTATTTGCAAAATAATCAAGTTAACTGCCACCACAATCAGCGAAGGGGGCGGGGGGCTGAGCGATTACTGGGTTATGTTGGGGCTACACGGGGCTCCTTACGTCAGTGGCATGTGCCATGTGGCATGTGCCATCCTTCCTTCCTTGCGGGTAAGGTATCTGGTTCAAGGACAGTTCAGCCGCAAAACTTGATTCGTAGCGGTTTCTGCACGAGTTTCCGCCGGAGTTTCCGGAGTGGGACGCCCGGCACACGGCAACACCTTCGCCGGGATCCGGATTCCAACTCCGGTGTCCTTGCGTGCCAGCAAAGTTAAGGGTCCGCCTCTCCTTTGTCTGTTTTATTTGCATTGCATTAAAAAATTGCCTGGTATTTAGCCTCTCCTCCGATAGCTGGCTGGCTCACTTCCCAAGACATTTGTTTCTGCGATTGGGCGGTAATTAATTTTCCGCGGGGCGGGGTGAAATCCGGAACGGGTTATGGCCTGGTAATTTGAGGTAATGCGCCAGATTAAGTTTATTTACTTTGGAGGCGGAGCCGGTTAAGAATTCCAGTTGATTTGGGTCACGGAGTTTGACAAGTCGAACGTGATACGACGGCGTTTTGGTGTTAATATTCAGACATATCCTTAAATACTTTTAATTGGGTATTAACATGCTTGTGTTAACAAGGGAAGTATAACAAAATATATACATACATGTTTCAGATTTATTAGGTATAACGTAAATATACTTTAAAGATTCCAGTTCCAGAAGCAGAACGTTACGTAACGTTATTTTGTTTTTATTTATAAAGAGGTAATCAGCACTTAATCCTAATCTATGCCTGAAGAACTTCTTCTCAAAGAAAGATTACATTATTTGTACTGAAGAATAGCTTTGTGTTTTTGAATAAGTAATTAAGATTTATGAAATGTTCGTTCAAAAACTTTTGAATTTAAATCTGGTTTTAATATATCTCTAACATTTTTAGTGATCATTATAAAAGTGAATTAACTTAAATTTTATTTTACTTTCAATGATTTTTTTATGATTGATAATCCAAGAGCATTGTATTAAGACAATTTCAATAAGTAATTAAGATTCATGAAATGTTCTTCCAAAAACTTTTGAATTTAAATCTGGTTTGAATAAATATCTAACATTTTTAATTACAAATAAAAGTCAAATAATTTAAATTTTATTTTACTTTTAATGATTTTTTATGATTGAGAATCCAAAAGCATTGTATTAAGACAATTGTTTTTTATAAAGTAAAAACGAATCCGGTCCTGGAAAAAGTGAAAGAACTTTCGCCAGGATGCGTTGAACTCAAGGAAAATCATTCAGTAGGTCCCACAATAAAACCTACTACAGCCACAAAGAGCTTTTCCTCGACAGCAAAGGAAGCTTTTCTCCAACATGGAAAACAGAGAGAACTTAATAAGAGAAATTTTTGAGGAAAGAGAGTGTTCTTTAAATTTTTAAGAGAAAATTACTTTCTTAGTTCAAAAAAAATATCTTTAACTTTTTAGAGCAGAAAGTAAATAGAAAGTTAATTTTAATTAATTTAGATTATTATTATACAATTAAATTTTATATCTAACAAGCACTTTTTAAGAGATCTGCTCCTCGAAGATGGATTAATTTTTAAAAGTGTTCTCCTAAGAGCTTAAAAGCTAAAGTTGCCGCCGAGCGCCTTCGGTTGTCCATGCAAATATAAAAACCGAACCGTCTGGGAAATGGGAAATCATTCATAACGGAAAACTCCTGACGTGTGGACGTGAAAGTGCCGTGATTTCATCGTTGATTTTTGTCGCGTCTCTCGCTGCTTGTGTTTTGTGTGTTTACTATATATTGTTGCTACTATTCTTTGCGACCATACAGCCCGCTACTTAGTATCCGTTCGCGAAAAATAAAGAAAACAGGGGCGAAACAAACAAGTCAACTAAAATATCCCATTCATCTTGTTCTGCCAACTTATTTCTAATTGTGAACCAACCTTGAAATTTCCACCTCACGCTGGAAATTGCGAAACAAAAACAGAGCGGACAGTACATTGTTTACCGAAAACTAGTCAATTATCAGCGAAATATGCTATTTGCAATGTGACTCTATAAGTGTGATCGCAGCTTCTTACACGTTTCGTTTGGCCAAAAAACTCACTCTGGAATCGGTAAATATCGGTACCCGGTACCGAAAGTTAAAAGATAAAAAAGAGGATTACGGATCGTATTTTGGATTACTGATCAAGGAACCCATATCGCCGAAAATGGGCACTATCGGTAAGTGGAATTCAGTAACAACCACATTACCACACATTACCATAATAAGATCTAAATTGTATGCATTTCGAAGTGGTTTGGTTTGACTTTAATTTTTAGACAGTTTAAAAGGCTGCGCTAAAAAAAGTTGTAGTATTTTGATAGTTATTTAAAAAATAATTTCTTGATCCTAATAATATAACACATGAGAACATTTTAATGAAATCTTAATATCGAAGTATGGAAATCTGTTATTATATTTGGACCAAACTGTTGGTTGATTTTCTTGGCCATTTCTGTGAAATTTAATATTTAAGAGTTGAACTTGTTCTACTTGTAGAAAATATCCATTGAAATTTCTTTTGAATTGGTAACTATTGGTGATCCCGTGCTTAAATTCATTTATTTATTCAAACTCAACTATATTTTATATTCAAATTGAAGGATTCCTAGAAGCTATTAATTTGCTTCCGGACTGGAAATTGTTCTTGGAAAAGCTCCTTTTCCGAGTGCGGTAATTGAAAATAGTTATCAAACACAGTTGCACAATAATAACCCTGATTGCCTGTCGTCCACAATCCGATGATCCTTTGTTTGGCCGGGCTAACTCCACACGAGCTGAACTGTGACCCAACCCTGTATTTATGTAAATAATCCTTTCCGAGAGCCACACAACACTGACGAGATTCTTTTCAATCGAATAGGAAGTGGGAGTCGGTCCCCATGTCAACGCCCCCCTCATTTCCATTTTCGTCCTGCTGTTTTCCTCTGTTGCTTGCTTTTCAATTATCCTGGCTAAAAATAAATTCAGCGGCATACAGAGCGAAGAGAGCAATCAACCCACATGGAATACTACTTGCCTATGCTTTCAACACCAGCCCAAAAAAAAAAAAATAATTTGAGAGAAAAAAGAAAAGAACACCAACGACAAATGACAACGACGTCATTATCATAAACATGGTCTACGGTTCTCCCGGCCTGCCCGCAAAAATGCCATGAATTTTGTTTATCCAAAATGTATAAAATAAATAAGGCGCGAACGGGGCGGGGATAGACCCTAAACTCATAATCGAATGACGCACGAGGTTCTGATTTGCCGCTCACAATAATGTGGGTGTAGCCGGTCATTAGCCAGGTGCCTTATCCGTATCCTTGGGCCGGCAATCCACAGACCGGAATCCGCAATCCGCAATCCGGTGTCCTTTTGGGTGCGGCCACAAGTGCAGCCTGATTGCCATCTCGGCGGGGCCAGCATCTAGTTGGGGGCACTTCTGCCTCAATGGGTTCATTGTGACGGGGCCCACACGACAGCTGCGACAGTTGCATAGCCAAGTGCCACCTGCGGCCAGGGACTCGCCTTTTTGAAATCCGTCCTCGGGACGTGACTTGCGGGCGGGCAACCCAACCAACCACCCAACCATCCAACCACATTCGGCCGCATTAAACATGCCCCGGCTCATGTGGCACGAGGCTCATGCTCATGGAGCATGGAATATCCTCGAAGAACCTTTCTGCTGGCGTCTGCTGAAAGTTCAGGGGTGAACAGAACCATAGATAACAGAGATGACCCTGTCTGTATGGTAATGCAACATCGTGTCGAGCACGAAAGCGTAACGATTCGCGAAGGTCGTTCTGCCACAATGCCTTTTGGCCAGTTGACAGGCATTCTCGATTTCGGATTGGCACAAATCTGTCAACTAAGCCACCCATAACTCAGATTCACAGTTTACTGTCGATGGATGTTTGGAGAGACTTTGTCAAGTTTCTCTTTGGTCTTTTATGTTTTCAGAAATGTTTTGCATTTATTGCATGACTTACATCTGGCAAATGAGGAAAATAATTAGTAATCATTTGGATATGGGTCTTATATCTATGTTATTAGTTAGATCCATTCAAATCGAAACTGGAAAAGGTTTATGTGTTAGTTTTTTGCTTTAAAAATACGACTAATTCATTAGTTATACTGTATGAAAAAGGCTAGGAAAAATCAGCAAAATACCAGTTTTTTTGTTTTTATTTGTACAATGATTTATAAAATGTGTTTCAAAAATAACACCTATCAATGTTTCATTGAAGAAATACTTAAAAAACCTACAATCATTTCAAGAATCCTGAAAACTGTACATACATAGGTATTTTCTTACACCCAAGTTGATGCTGCATTTTTCATCAAACGAACTCTCTTGTCCTTTTGTCAAGTGCTGAATTAAAATTTCGCGTGACCCTGCACTCTTCAACTTTGCGAGAAACTTTAGCAAGATGGATAGTGATAAGTAAATTCCTTCTTGAAATGCATACAGTATTTAGTTGATAAAATCTGGTGTAGAGATGAGTCGCAACGCCACATGGGAATCACTTGCAGCGGCTGCCAGCGGCACAATTTCCCGGGTCGCCGGTTCCACTGTTTGTCCTGCTTGGAGGAGTTCAACCTGTGCAACGGGTGCTACGCCCTGGATGTGACCACCAAGGAGCACAAGTTCGACCACGCGATGCACTGCATCCTGACTCCCGCCAGTCTGGCTCTGTTCTACACGAAGGAGGAGCTGGTTGCCGGAAAGTCCCCGACGCTCATTCGGTGTCCCTACTGCAAGATTAACAACTTCAACTTGGAGGAGTTCGAGCTCCATTTGAAGGAACTGCATCCCAGTGCGGACCCACAGTTGCTATCCTGCTACAAGCTGAATTCTCGGGGAGCCGATTAAACCCATCACCGAAGTCAATTAAAGGCAACAATGGCAAATTTTAGGGCTTCTGTTTATTGCTCGTTCCATTTCGGGAACAGAGCCCCACAAATGTTAATGGTCGTTCATTAATATTGATTAGTTGTTTGGATAAAAATGGCAAGCGAATAAATCAACGAATAAAAGGAATAGTATTCTGTTTTGGAGGGCTTCCATTTATTGTCAATTAGATTAGATTCGACTGACATACTTCAAATTTAATAGATTTTTGTGGGAACACTTCAGCTTGAATATGGGGCAAGTTTTCATTGGTCGGAGGCAATTGCAGTAGGTGAACCGCACCTTCAGATACTCCTCGAACTCCTCCATCTGGGCCTCGTTTTGCAGCAGGTCCCGGTACTCCTCCACACTCTCCAGATTCACGGGATCCAGCTGGTGCATGAAGCACTTGAGTTTCAGGACCAATGCGTACAAGTAGTTGAATATTTCGACGGCCATGATCTTGTGGCGCTTGATCCCTTGGTGGAACTTGTCCCCCAAGATGAACGGCGTTTCCTGGGTCTTGTCCAGTCGATCGTAGGCTGCGTAGAACTCCTTGCAGTGCTGGCTGATCTCCAACAGGGACTTTTTCAATGTGTTACTATGAATACAAAAGTTAAAGGATTAAAGGGATTAGAGAGTACTAGATAATCAAACTTATTAAACTAATGAAGGAATTAATTAAATTTAATTTTCACATTTATTTTTACCGATAATATATCTATCCATTCTTAAAGAACCTTTGAATTTTGGAATGCTGTTTATGTCTTTATGTTTATTGTACAACTTACTTATTTTATTTCTTGTAAATACTAAAATTCTGTTATTAAAGTAGTTAATCTGTAGAAGCACAAGTTTTACCAAAAACATAATTTATAACATTTTAAATACTTTATAAATTATTTACACAATTTTTTATAAGAAAAATTGAATATTTAAAATTTTTGTGAGCTTATTTAAATTTATATATAGTTCTTAGACTTTCTCTTATTTCTTTTATGTATTACATACACTTACATTTTTAAGTATCAAGAAATCATACTTATTAAAAATAATACATATTCTTAAGCTTACTTAGAGGCCCGCACCACTTCCAGTTTCTCCTCGTACTCGTTGATGATCGCCTCTTCGGTTGACAGAGTATAGACCTCGGGAAATCGACAGCTCTGTTCGGAGCTGATCAGAATTAGGTAACGCTGGGTGAGCAGCCAAATGCGTTCGATCAGTATGCTCTGGGCCTGCATTTCGCACTGGTACTGGTTGTAGTAGTCCCGGAAGCGGGTTTCCAGGTTCACCAGGAGGCACAGTACTTTCGCCTCCGTTTCGTAGTGTTCCTTTAAGGCAGGTGTAAGATGGGGTTCCTCATTTTCCATATAAGAAGCGGGTTTGGCCATCAATCTGCAGCACTTCTTGTGTTCCTCTGCTGATTCCAAAGGAAATTCCACTTTATGTTCCATTGTGTGTGTAGGTATGTAGTGTTTAACGTGTACTAACTTATTTTCTGAGAGTAAGGTAAAGAGCTGCCTTCAAGGCAGACTAGATGTGTTAATCTCCATCAGAGTCCATTGGTCGGCCCATCAGTTTTAATTCTCAATTCTCATCTCTTTCGTCAGTGGCCAATTAGATATTTAAGGTTGAACTAATTTGTTTGGCATCGGTCAGGAAAAGTTCTCTAAGAACTGATGAAAAATCACTTTTAATTAAGATCCGATGAAATCAATGAGTACTAATGAAAAATTACTATTTCGCTGAAATCAATTTAAAAAGGATTTGTCTGCCAAAAACATGTACGTAAAAAAGAAATCAGCGTTTCGATCGATGAATAACATGTGATAGTCAAATAAAAATAAACAAAATGAATTATTTATAGGGCGGGCAGGAGATGCGATTAAAATCATTCATGCGACAAAAAAATGCTTTGATTGATACAAATTATGGGCATTTTTGGTTTTTGGGATGCATCGAAACGGAAATTAAATTAGCCAAATATTGCACTGATGCTGATTTTCCCCAAAAGCCGCCTAACTCATCTGTGTATACACTGTGTATACTCGGACAAGGGGATCCGTAAATATATATTCCTTTTTAAACGCGTAATTTTGTTGTATTTTTGTTTTGTTGGGCAATGAAGCTGCCGACGCGGCATCATTAATGAAGTGCGAAGCCAATTGCCGCTTTCAACAATTTTGGCATCGCGCTGAGAATGCTCATGCTCGTTCAAAGAATATTTAATATATCTGTATCGATCTGGTGGGAAATTTGAACTCGGGCACGCAAACCGCGACGCAAACATTGCTCATTCCCAAAGATTTTCAGTATCACTGAAACAAACAATTCACCCACAAAACATGTGAATGCGGAGTGTTCGAGCCGTAAACGTACCTATTTAATGCGCCCTAATTGAAAAAATATGTTGAAAATTTTGACGGCTGTCAATTGTTAATCGTAAAGGCAAAAAGGAAAAGTTTAAAAATATATTCAGGTGAAATGCAAAACCTGAAAGAGGTGTTCGAAACCAATGGATTTAATTAAATATCACTATCACCAATAGTTAAAACCATATTTTCAGCCCAACATATGTCATAGAATTAATTTCGCTGTCTACAGTTGCGAAACCCACGTACATGCCTGAAATATAACACTTTACTTTTGGAAAAAAGTTGTTAAAAGTCATAAAAAAAGAATCCACTTTTCGCACATAGCCTCTGAACATTGTTTACGATTTCGGATTTTTAATTGCGGCAGCGGCACACGCTTCGTATGCGCGATGTCTTCTCTGGTGTAATGTGTTTCTGGGCTATTTTGGACCAGACAAGTGTTTCTTGTGTGCCCTCAGATGTGTTTTCTCAACACCAATCGGCTAATGTGCAATTAATTCTCCCGAGATATGGCGAATGCTTTTTGATTGTGTTCAAATCAAGCGAAGGTGCAATGAACCTTTCGAAATAGTTGCAAGAGCAAAAAGACTATTTGAATAATAATCATAATTATTTATAGTGAACTTGTGAACCATTTCAAGTTTTTAATTGTAACTATAATAGCATTCCTTCTATTATTTTATTAAGGAAAGTAAGATGGCTTAGTGCAATACTCGATTAGTTGAGCATAAAATGATAATATCAGTGCATTCATAATTGCTAAACATTAAAATGGTTTTTTGCTTACCATGCTATAAATATAACCTTTTTTTTTTAATTCCATTGAAATAATAATTTAAAATTGTATTCTTTAATGAATGTTTGGCTTGGTTTGGTTCATTTCATTCCGATTTGATCTCATACTGTCCGCTTCTTTCGCTTTCTACGCGTTGAGCCGTGGGACAAGGTCGTGCCGTTGGCTGTCGGCGCGAGAAATATTATGGCTGACCAAAGATAAAATATATAAGTATTCCCCCAAAAGATACATCCATCTGTGTCGGTGTGGCAAAATCGGACTGCACAGGTTTTCGACCAACTGTTTGCGGCCTCTGCGTTCTGCGCTCCGTGCGTTTGTGACGCGCTTTTTGCCATTGACACGCAATAAAAATATGTACTTAAAATTGTAAAATCTCATAATGAGCACATTAAAGATTCGAAAAGTGTGTATAAGTTTGTGTGGTAGTGAGGATGATTGGGAGTAATTGAATGATAGAGAAAGCACCGAATAGCTCTCATTAGGTTTCACAAAATATTTATAACTCAAAAACGAAAAACAAAACACCAAAAAACGAATTAAAGTCAGAATGTAAGAACACTGGTAGCTTGAAATTAGATGAATAGGCGAATCGCGGAGTGGACATCCTTTTTGCAGCAGGGACAGACCTCCAAACGGCAGAGGGCATTGGTGAGGCATGTTTGGCAGAAGATGTGACCACACGCGGTGGCCACCGGCTGCTCCGGAGTTTCCATGCAAATGGGGCACGTGTAGAGTCTGTCGTTCTCGTCGGTCAGGTGCTTCACTCGATTTTCATCCGCGTGTGTCAAGTCAATGGTCGCCATGGGTTCGATGCCATCGGCTGCTCGACGGCGGTCTCCCATCTTAGTTGATCACCAGGTAACGAGTCTACTTCAGAACTTAAGAAACAAAAATGTCCTCAACGGATGGAAACAGAATTTTAAAATGAGACTTTAAAATGAATTTTTAAAAAAGGTTTATATGTGTATTTACCCAAAAAGTACAAGGCGACTTTATATTAAGAAAATAGGAATACAAATTTAATACATTTTAGTTTTAAAACAATCTACATCGATCAGAAAATAGAAGGTGTTGTGGAATTAAATTGAAATGCATATTGCATATCTATGTGTACCTAAAAAACACAAGGTGACTTTATATAAAGATCCTAAATAGGCAAATCTAAATGTATTCGATTATAAATTATAAAACATTCTATTTTGTTCAAAATATTGAATCTTTGCTGGAATTAAATTAAAATGCAAGGTTTAAAACAATGAGAGACAGAGTAATAAAAAAAACTTGTGTGATTCTTATAAAGAGAAAGCTAAGTTAAATGCGTGGGAATCGCTGGGGACGTTTTCTTCTCATCTTCTGTTTTCCTGACGCTGAAGAAAGCATTTTTATTTTAATTTGTGTGGATATACGTTCGGGTATACGTGTGTAGTATTTAATAAATTATTAATTTTTGCTACGCTTTAGCCGCTCAAACATCACATGAATCGTCTATTTGGTCGGGCCAATAAATGTCTATTATATAAATGGAAAATATTTTACGCAGATTGGTCTTTATCTGTGTGCGAAAGTGTGATCGAAAATGTAGTCTAACATTTTGATTGAACGAACAGTCATAATGTTCCTCTAATTAATGTTTCTTTTTAAAGAAAATGATTCCATCATCTTTTATTTTGGAACTTTAACTATATTGCCATAATTTGATGATGAGAGAACGCTTTGAAGCAATCCGGTGGTCAATTGTTTAAAAATCACTTGAAAAGAAGTCAGTTCAAACCAGTTTATTGAACATTGTCTAGACGCGGTGTTTTTATTTATACTAGGTACACGTGATGATGTTTTTGCCATTGAGCTTTCTCCTGAAATGTTTTTGTTTGTGTCTCATTCGTCTAGAAAATATTGTTTCTTTTTTTACCTCTCTGGGGTACTTTGCTTAATTTTATTAAGATCAAAAAATAAGTTGAGTGGGCATGGTATACAAATTTGTTTGTTTGCCGATTGTTCGATTGAGTTTATTGTTATGCGAATTGCTTTAAAAAGTGCAACCACTTTTTTGGCTATTATAAAAAGAAAATAAAATGGAGACCAGTCTTATGTTTTAAATTGTTTTATTGCACATCAATCCATACACACTCTTTATAGGTCAAATTAAAATTCAGCTTGTCAATCAATTAGAGAATCTGCTGAACTAAAAATATATTGCCTTTTTTCGGATAAACAAATCAAATGGCAGACAATTAATCACCAAGCAATTATCCAGTCAATTTCCGCTTCCCGAGGAAAACTCTTCCAATTATTTCACTCATAGCAACTTAAAGTTGACGTCACAGGTCCACCGACAAAGTGAATTTCCCTCGTTTGGCTTGCAATGCAAATATTATTATTAGCATTACTTACAATTATTTACGACTGTTTTTAGTGTTCCGCGAACACATATTGAAGGCCACATGAGAGATATTAAACAGCAATTGTTTAGCCTCAAGCCTCCTCTGCAAAAAGTTTTCGAAGCATATTTATTTGTACAAGTAATAAGCTTTTCCTTTTTCTCGCTAACCTGACCCACTTAATTTATGGACCTCACCTTCGACTGGGGCAAACTTTACAGATATTATTTATAGGGTCTGCCCGATTGAACATTGTTCATTTTTCAACATTTTCCCAAGATTTTCTTTATCAACCAGAGGCTTGATAAATGGTTTTACGTCGACAACTGCCTTGACCTTACCTTGAAAATTGTCAGCTACATGAATTTTTTACACGACTTTTTAGTTTTTTCTCGCCGTGATGTTCATTCATTTTCGTTTGCGCGTAATTACAAATTTGTCCGCTTCACAGGAGGCTATTTATAAGCATTTATTTTCACGAAAATACATACTTCGGATATAATGTAAAATAAAGGCGAGCAAATTAAATAAATCGTAAATGCGGAACTATTAAAATAAATTATGGAACTTGTGCCGTGGGTGGTGACTTTCGACGCTCACTGTGCACCTCGAAAAGATTCCACAGTTCTCGAGCTCACTTTTTCAAATAAGCCATCTCCTGAGAGCTCAAGTAACACTTAAGACGAAGGTGGTTTTGAAGAGTTGGCTTCCGTCGTCCTTTCGTCCTGGTTGCTCCTTCGGCATCATCAGTCGCCACCTGCCGCTCGTGATGGTCATGTGCGCAATTTTCCAAGAGCAGCTGCCTCTGGGTGGTGGTCCTCTTGAGTGCCGTCATATATCAATACTTCGTGGACCGGGGAGGGGCGGATACACGCCTACTTTTCTAAAAATACGCTCCGCGGCCAAGAGATAGGGAAAGCAAATTGAACAGATTTAAACGTGTTTTATAAATACAACCAAAATAGCGAAATTCGCATTATCAAAACTCATTCGCTCGCTAAGACGTAGGTTCTTCGCATAAAAAGATCTCTTAGTATTATTTATTTAATTTGGGCTTTGTGTTGTTTTAGTGTATGCATTAAAAACCTATATATATTTAATTTTATTTCTTTTTGTTTATTTTCGTTTTTGTTGCTTTCGTCTGGCTTGTGGGCGCAACGGAAATTTTCTTTCAAGTCGTTAATTTTTATTGAATTGTTGTATAATATGTTATATTCTGCTTACGAAAACTTGTTCAACTAGGAGTGGGCAATGCGATAAGAAAAAAAAAATAATAAGCTTAAGTAGTTGATGGTTTCCTCTTTAGCTCAAAAATATATATTAAATCACTTTCAGCTCTGTTTATAAAATTATTTCCACCTTTAGAATCGGAAACTGGCAGAGGAAATCCAAATCTTAAAAATTATAAACACTTACGAAAAAATAGAAATGAAATACCCATAAGAAATCTCCACCTTAATAGTGTTTAGAAAATCAACACCATTACATTTTGTATATTGTAATGGAACTTTCATGACCCAAATTAGTTTTTGTAAACAAATATTGGGGATACAAAAAATTACTAAACACCCGGAGATTTGGGGAAATTCAACTTGAGTTTCCGTGGGAAATGAAAGCACGGCAACAGATTGTCGTAGGTCCCCCAACCCAGCAAACGCATCACGTAAATCCATTTCGACTCGTTCGAGTTGCCGTAGGTCCTGAAAACCAACTTGAGTTCCCCGCCCACACATCAAACTTAAGCAGTTCCCCTCGTTGGGCAATCAGTGCGGATCAATTGTTTGGAATACTCGATAAGGAGGCAAGTGGCTTGGGGGGATTGTCCGGTCGATGGTCGATGGTCTCCGGTCTCCAGACTTCTGGTGTCTTCGCCCGGGCAATCCATCATGGCTGACTGGCTGGCTGGCTGGATTGGCGCTGGGCTAAAAGTGTCTGCGTTTATTTTGTAATAATAGGAAACTTACAATCCGATGGAGACCCAGAGGCAGCCTCGCTGGGTGAGCGCGGCTATATCTGTGCCTGTATGTGGCACGCCGACCGACAACGACACGCCGATTGACGTCAGCAATGCCCCCAAAGATTCGAGCGGTGTCGGGCGGGCTGCCAAGCAGGCGGGAACCGGGACACGAATCGCTGCTGGGGAGACCCGCACTGGGGGACAATGGTGGATGGGGATGCGAATGGGGATGAGGATGAAGAGAGGGGATGGGGATGGGGGTGGGGAAAGGGGCATGGCTCATTTTGTCAGTCACTCATACGAGAGTTGCTCTGCCGACAAGGCGAGCGTATCGATTCTTGGGAAATCTCCGAGTGGCGAGTGGTTCTTAAAAGCTTTGCACGCCGGTTTATCATTAAACATTAAATAATTAAACAAGATGTGAGTTTACAATCAAAATTACCGTAATTAGCGTTTATCAGATTAAAGATAATATATTTTGCGTTTTATTTAGTACACATCAGTCAGGAGATACTTGAATGCATTTACTTGTTTACTAAACAAAAAGAAATACATACTTTAATCATTTAAATCCATTTCAGAACTGATATAATTTTATTATTATAACTTGCACATTTTGTATATCACTCAGCTAAGATATTTTGTTTAACTTTACTCATGTCACAGATACGAAACGATTGGATTTACCTTTTCTTTGCGATATGGATTTTTATGGATTAATAATGAATATTTAAATGAATATTTAAATCATATAAAAAGAGACAAAATCATGATGCTTTTCTATAACAAATGAAGACTTTCAATAATTGAACTTAAATTATTGATTGAACAAATACTTATAGTATGTAGTAATTAAGAGTTATTCTGAGAGAGTATCCGTTGTTCGCCTCGGATTTGGACCAAAGATGTTCAGCTATCGCCAAAAGAATGTGTTTTCCTTTGGCAGGTCGACTCTCCTGGCGCCTTTGTTGCATTTGCATTTCACATTTCACTTCGGACTGTCCACAGGGGTGTTTGTTTATTTTGAGCCACTGTTTACACGGCTCCCCTCGCCTGAGACCGCGAAGGCAGCTGATTTTCACGGAAATTCTGACTTACATTATATATTTAGCCCGGCGAAATGCATCTTCGCGAATTTCAGCTGACCCTTTTTTGGCTCATTTGTTTGTTCTGCTATTTTTGGCCAGCAAAGTGTTTCAGCCGCCAATGAGAATATCAAGATGAAATGGCCATATCATTCCAATTGTGTGTGCCGAAGGGGTTGGGATTGGGATTCGGATGCCGAACGAGAGGAAAGTGAAAGTTTGATTTATGGCCACGCGCAGGTTGCTTTTTCCTTTGATTGATGCTTTCCAACTAAATAAGTTGTCCCATATTTTGTAGCTGTCCAACAAGTGGAGCTCACATTTATTAGGGATCTCTCTGCGGTTGGTCAGTGACCACTTCTGGCCACAAGCCAATTGCTTCTGGAACGGAAATAGCAATTGGTCGCCAAAAAAAAAAGAGAAGAGGACCGTCAAAAACTTTGACTTTTAGCTGTCCACTTCCAAACTGATGGCACTCATTTTGGGGGTTAATGGGCTACAACAATCATTACGTTTGTAGTCACATTCTAGTTTTCTGCTTCCAGAAGCGAAGGCCTTTGAATAATGAATGAAGGAATACATATTTCCATGAGGTAAAACCTTAAAAAAACACAGAAAAGGAAGTCAAGTTAGAATACTTGTCTCAACAGAATCTAAAATGAGTGAGTTAATAATAAATGATGAGCGAGGAAAGCTGACAGTCTCGTCTGCTCATGGAATCAGAATTTATATTGGTTATTATGGTCTAATATGTATTCATAACAGAATTTTAAATTGAAGTCAAGTCTAAGTCTGTTGCCTTGTAAAAATCAGCATAGTAAAAGAAAGAAGTTGAAACTAGTTATTAAAAGGAGGACATTTTTAAAGCAAATTAAACTTATAAAAACTTTTACAAGAACATAGTTGTGTGTTATTTAGTTGCAAATCTAAAGCAATATTTTGCATATTTTCAATAATAGAAAACATCTTTAAGATTCATTACATTCCCCAAATTGCATTCCCCAATATAGATTTACGAAATTAGGCAGTTCATTTGATCTCGTAAATCAACAGCAAATTACAAGCTGTCCCATAACTATTTATACTTTGTACCAATGGCACTACTATACTTAGGTGTATATCCACCTTGAAGCGTTTATAAGATTCTCAACCGAAAATGCATTTCTCGCATGCCTGAGCCTTAAGTATTTTCCGCTTGCGTCTGATAGTAATTTATCTTAACGGAAAGCATTTTCGAATGGATGTAATTACTAATTCGCCAATCCTCCGCCCTTCCAAGATGACAACAAATGAATTACGGGCGAGAGCAGTGATTTTGATCGCTGAGTATATCCAAAAATTAAGTGTCAAAAACATTTTGCGTTAAATTGTGAGAAAATCAAGAGAAACACATCACGCCCTATAAAAGTTTTGCCAGAATTTTATTTGCTTCGCGTTGGTGCGATTTTCCAGCTAACGCATTCTGTAGCTGTCTGCTGTGTCCCATTCGGTTGCAAATCAAATGATTTTCCGCGATTTTCCCGGCGATAAACGGGACCGAGTGAATGGTAGGTACGCAGATTGCGGATTCCAAAAATTAGAGCAGTCGTCAGTCAGTCAGTGACTAACTGCTGACGTCTTTGCTGCGCGGAATATGCCGCATATAATTCATAGTGGGACAGACCAGCCCATCCCGCCGATCTACGCAGATTCTGCACTAACTTTGTCACAGACAATTTGGCGACAACATCGTCTATTTATCTGTCTTCGGCGTGGGCGAATTCTCCCCAAGCCCCCTTGATTCACGGAGGGCTGTAAAACGCTTCCCATGTTCGCCGCTGCCTGATAAATTAATAATTCGCATTGTGGAACAACAAATGGACACATAAAAGCAACCCAAGCAGCACATCAAACGCTGGCCATAAATCATAAGGAACAAAACCAAAAATAATTCCAATTAAATCCGCTCCAAGCGACACAAGATGCTGTTTTGTTTGTGGTCTAATTTTACTGAGGTGTGAACAGGTGAACTCTCTGTTGCCATGGGTCAATTAACCGCCGATTCAAATTTGTTAGTCAAGTGAACCACTCAAATTGATTTTTCCACTTATGTTTACCTTTTCTTTAATTTGAGTAATTAAATTGGGGTTTCTTTGAAAATTGTAGTCAAGAATTACGAACTGTGAATGGAGAAAGATGTTAAAGGATCTTCACTAGGAGATAAAACTTTGGTATTATGCAGGTTTTTATTCAGATATTGATTTCTTCAGAAAAATCTGAGAAGCCTGAGGGAGGCAACCGTTTGTTACATTTTAAGAAGACTCCCGATAGTTTTATTTTTTTTTTATTTATGCCTTATTAATACTTAATAATTTTATAAAGCCCTTAAGTTTTATTGTATTTAAAATTTTGGAAGAAAATAATCATTATCACCCATTAATTGTGAACAACTAATTGCAACTAATGTTTTATATAAGTTTTAAGTAACTTATAACTTATAAGTTTTTGAACTTTTATAATGTATGTATGAAATCAAATATTTTGGAAAAGTTTGATAAATTTTAAGTTCTTTAATTTAGAAATCGTTTTCTTGAATTGTTATTTGGCAAAGAATCTAACCCAGACTCGTATCCTTCGATCTTTCAGAGAAACGCTCATTCTCCTTCCGGCTGCGGCGCTCCTTCGGCGACGGCGGCAGCACGAACAGCCGCAACAGCAACAACAACAGCAGCACGTGCACGAACCACAACAACCAGAAGCGGTGCAGCACCCCGCTGACGCCGACGAGCACGAGCACCGGGCGGCTGGAGGTGCCGGGAGCGGCGTCCGTGAGCCGCCGGAGCAGCATCTACAAGAAGCCGGACAAGAACGACGGCGGCCAGATCCACTTGATCCCGGACGTGGAGCTGCCGCTGATGAACTTCGCCGACCAGTACAACATCGAGAAGACGCTGGCCGAGGGCTGCTTCGCGAAGATCCTGCTGTGCCGGCACCGGCCCACCAAGGCACTGGTGGTGCTGAAGGCGGTGCACGCCGAGCTGACCACGATCAAGGAGTTCCAGAAGGAGTTCCACTACAACTACGAGCTCTCGCACCACCATCACATCCTGAGCGCCTACGCGGTGGCCTTCCAGACGATGGACTACTACGTGTTCGCCATGGAGCACGCCCCCCACGGCGACCTGGCCTCCAACATCGGACCCAACGGCCTCCACGAGAACGCCTGCAAGCTGATCTCGGAGCAGCTGAGCTCCGCCCTGGGATTCATGCACTCCAAGAACCTCGTCCACCGCGACCTCAAGATCGAGAACGTGCTCGTCTTCACGCCGGACTTCACGCGGGTCAAGCTCTGCGACTTTGGGGCCACCACGAAGAAGGGTCTGCTGGTGCACAAGGTGAAGCACACGTGGACCAGCTGCGTGCCGCCGGAGCAGCTGGAGCTGATCAAGAACGAGCGCTTCCAGTGCCTGCCGGTCAGCGACTCGTGGCAGTTCGGCATCCTGCTGTACAACATCCTCACCGGCAATCCGCCCTGGCAGTCGGCCGACTGGGTGAAGGACCAGTCCTACGCCAACTTCATGAAGTACGAGCAGCGCAAGACGACCAAGGTGCCGGACAACTTCCGGCGCTTCTCGCCGCGGCTGATGCGCTGCTTCCGGAAGTACTTGAGCCACGACCCCGAGGACCGCTGCAAGATCACCGAGGTGGCCAAGTACATGAAGGACCGGTGGGTGGAGTGCCGCATCTCCACCTCCAAGTCGGCCACCCTCATCTCGCCCACCAACCACGACCAGGACTCGTGCATCTACCTCAACCAGCGGGAAGGCCGTCTCTCCGGGGACGAGAACAAGCTGCGCTTCAAGCGGATGATGTCCACCTACGGCCTGGACATCCCCATCGACCAGGCAATGGTGAAGCAGCGGGTCTGGGACTGGCTCTCCACCTGCGACGCCAACTTTGATCCGGACGTGGAGAGCCTGCACGCCCTGGATCTGATGCAGTAGAGGGGGATTTTTAAAAGCGTATAGTAGGTGCCACAGAAACTTCTGGAGATTTGAAACCTCTTTAAAAGGTTCTAAGAAGTATGAAACAGAGTGTTTCGAGCAGTTTACTACTTTTCAAAGCATAGTTTTAGGCACTTTTTTAAGTGATTTCAAACCACTAGAGTTTTCTGTGTATTAATTCGCATAAATATCTTTCAAATAGAAAGTCGAATATATAAATCACCCTCCGTATTTTTCGAAAGATTTTTGAATTCGAATAACCCAACTACTAAATGATAAAAACAATATGTACATAAACCCATAAAACCCATGTAGATCCGAGCAAAATAGGGATGTATATCAGCATCCACAGGAACACGGTTAGAATTTGTGGATCTATAAGATCGATTTTGTAGAGCAGAGAAGCCACTTCTCGACGGTTTTTGTTCAGTTGTTCTGCGAGTGCAAAATCCCAGAACTGAAGTTTGATATAGTTTTATATAGACGAAATTCGGTACGACTAAGTAGTAAGAATTTGTAGAATAAAGAAACCCAGTTTGAGAAAACAAAAACCAACACGTCAACGGATAACTTTCCAGTAGTGTTACCTTTCTAGTCTTCCGATACGATGATTTTCTATATACTCTATATACGTGTGTAGCATTATGATTATATTTATGAGTGTACTATAATGTGTGATTTACGCGTTACTCTATCTGTACGGGATACCAACTATTGCAATTATCTAGATCTAGAACTTAACGAGATGTAAGGAGTGCCCCTGGTGTACTCACGACCAATTATTAGACGACTAAGGTTTGTTTTATATTGTAATAGCCTATGTAGTCATACATGTATCCCTAAATGAACCCTTGATGTGTAGACGACATTTATGAGTATCGAACAATTTTGTACATACTATTTAATTGCATACGACTTTTAAAGTATACTTATATGTATTTACGAGTTAATACCCTATGTATACCTATAAAATTCTAAAAATATAGATCCGTAAACTGAGTTTATTTAAAAACGTATTTTTTAATATAACTAGCGGAATCTAGTTTCGCCGCCACATGTTCATAAAACATTTTGGCGAATGAACAAACCGTCTCATGATCGCCAAACAAGATTTGCAAAACAATCAGGGGAACAACATTTCTGGAGAAGCCACCTACAACTAATGGTAGGTAAATATTTATTGTTTAAATTTAAATTATTTTTTCTTGTTTATATCCTGCTGATGGCTTTCCGCGCAGAGCTGTTTGGTGTTTGGCTAATTACTTCGTGTGTTATTCACGAAGGTCGTTCCGGTGATTCTCTGTAGTTGCTCGACATTGAATGTCAGGGTTTCGAATGAAAGAGGAGCCGGTGAAAACAATCTACGTCCAGCTGTTGTTTGCGCGGTTCTCGTTGTTTGCAGTGGACAGGATGTGACGCCTCCGCCCGTAATTCAGTCTCTAATAAACACGCGCTAAGGTTGATTCAACAAAGGTGAGGTTACGCCGTGTGTTCGGTGGGCGGACTTGTTGTTTGCATTGTGTGTTCTCCTCCTCCCCTAGATAATGATGTTAAATTGTATAATTTTGGCATCCATGAATCAAATGCCAGCCGAATCGGATCCGATCGATTGGCCAACTGATTAATGCCTTCGGTTAACCTGTAATTAAGATGAGCGCCTGAGGTCAACGTCGTTTCACCTTGACTTTGTTATACAAATACATCGAGTTGAAGACATTATTTTACGAGGCGCATGCCAACACTTAAACGCTTTTAATGGCCGGGCACAGGGCGCTCTAAAAAGCCGGCTGGACGAAGAATGTGAAAGTTCTTAATACCTGAATATAAAATATGTTTTAAACATTCCAAAATTTGTATATAGAGAGGTAGCAGGATGTGGCTTGTTTGCTTGCTCAGTTTGTATTTCGCCATTAATAAAGTTTTTATTCTGTTTATTAAGAATAAATAAAGAATGAATTTGAAACAATCACTTATTTGTTTATGTTTTTTATGTATTACTCTTAAATTAAAGATAAATTATAAAACAAAGTACGAGATACGAATTAGGACTACATTTAATAAATTTATTAAGGAATATTCTAATAAATTCGATCAATTCCCAAGTGACCGTGGATTTGCGTTGACTATAATGTTCGACCGCTGTCCACGTGAAGGCGAATACCTTACCAATAAACTGACTGGATGATCATAAATTACTTGGCCCATGTGATCTGCATATTTCCATGCCACGCGCATCGGAGTCGAGGACTAAAAACATCGCTTGCGGCTGCTGCATTTGGGTTTTGAGTTCAAAGCAGCTTCTAGGACGAGGCGACCGTTTATGGATCAATAAATATACAATTTATCTCATTTAATTAGTTGTTATTGGTGTAAAACTGTCCGAGTATCAAAACATGTTGTGCCGCGCGCATAAATTCGTTTCAATCGCTACGAAAATAGGTTTTACGATGCCTCCATCAGCGTCCCTCGTTTCATCACGTTCCCCGTTTTCCACGAGTAACTTTGTCCCGACGCTTGGCTGAATTTGAATTTGAATATCACCCACTTACTGTATTGGTTTATTTTCCCCGATGTGGTTGTTGCTTTTGCCTTTTTCTTTTTGTCGCGGGACATAATTTATGGGTCGCATTTGCCTTTTTGGCAATATCGCAAACGCTCAAGGGGAAGAATATATTTCTCTGCGGAATTACGACTTTCAAGATATTCAAAGCTATCATTTGGTGCTTTGCTTCAGCAAACCAGGGAAACCTTAAAAGTATACTAGAGTTTAGCATTGTGGGAATCTTCTAAGGAAGAACTCTTTTGCTGATTTTATTGGCATGTTGCAATAACAATTCTTTTCCAAACGCACCATCTGCGTTTCGTTGTTCACAGGGAAAATATCATTAATAAAAATCGAAGAACATTGGATTTTCACATATTCGGTTTATTGGATGCACTTGGTTACACGTGCGGATTTTGGTCTGTTGTTTTCCATCTCTTAGTGACTAAACAAAATGGGAAATTCTGCTGGAAGGATGATCGATGAGTAAGTGTCGATGAAGGTGTATATATGCCATATCTAATGCCTAACGAACTGTCTACAACTTAAGTTTGTTTCGTGTGCAGGTAGGTGTACAAAAATGTCTATAAAAGTGCTGGCCATAAATAATAAAAATTAATGAAGAACTGCAACAGTCGACCGCTTCCACCACACCACTTCTCCTCCTGCTCCTGATCATGCCGACTTCAGTGGAATATGCTGTTTGATTACCTATAAGAAAGATCGAGATTGAGAGATGGGTACGTTTATAAACATTTTCGGCTCGACCGCCAAACTGTTTACAATTAAATAATAATAAAACGAATATCAATTAAGACGCGTGTGAAATACGTCAGACGGCAGCCAAATTTAGTTAGCGGCTAAACGATCCTATTTTCTTTATTTGCTTTTTCCGCCTCGATCAATCGACGGGGGCGTAGAATGAATCACCCGGCGAAAACAAATCGCCCCCGAAGGAAACTCGTTTTCCGCGTAGCGAAACCCGATTAAAGCAAATGGCAAGCCAAATCAAAACCACGCCGCACAAATAAGGCAAAATCAATAAGCGATCAGTGGATGATATCGAGAACGCACCTCAGAGCACATGGTCTTGTAGATCTCGTCGGTGTCCCACGGTCCGCGTTCCGGCAGGGCGATGCCACGCCTACGCAGCTCCTGGACGCAGTCCGTCAGGTCGAAGATCGGTAGGGGATCGATGCCAGCCTTGGCCACCTTGCCAGCCAAATACTCTACGTAGTGGGTGCTGATAAAACGAGATTTAGAACATGAGAATTGAATAAGTTTTGTGGGTTTAAAAAAGGTTACATTTTTCAGGAGATTTTGTGGAGATTTATACCCTGAATTTGGAAAAGTCACTTAATAAGGTGCAGCCTATATCTTTATCCTTTAAAAATCACTTATTGTGACTTCTGCTGGTAAAAAAAATATAGCTATCCCCTTACACACCTTAATAAGTGATTTAAAATAATATTAGAGGTATCGGAGGTACTTTTGCACCGAACTTATGATGTGGCACTGAATAGGTATCACATCTTCTTAAATACCCAAAGAGCTTAAACACATTTTAACGTGATTTTAAATCTGTGGAGAGTTAAATGGAAAGCACAGAAATAAATAAATACATCATATCTAATAGTACGGAAATTTTGAGCTTTAAAATCTGTTGGCTACAAAGGTAAACACATATGTAAACACAAACGATTTGGGATTTCTTAAGATTCTTTAAGCAACAGATTTATGATTTGGGGGCTTTCCCGAATATGAACTTACCGACACATGCCAGCGTGCTTGTCGGGCACCTCGGTGTTGCAAACTGTATCGACGAGACCCTGCGGAGTTTCCTTCTGCAGCGGGATGGGGCAGCGGGCCTGGGCTCGGGCCCTGGAGGAACTGCTGGACTCGTCCTTTATCTGTATGGGCTCCGTGTCGAACTTGACATTCTTCTCCTTGAGCAGGAACTGCAGCTGCATGGGGATCTTGTCCCTCAGGTAGAACAGGCAGTTTCGCGGGTGATGGGCATGCAATCCCAGTTTGGCGCAGTACGAGGACACCATGCACTTGGCTCCCATCATGAAAGGACGAGCACATCCGTAGCAGAACTCGAACTTGCACTGCGTGCAGGTGAAATGCATGCAACCGCCCCTGAAAAATTGACAAAAATAATATAAATTAAATCTAATATTTCATTGCATTAAAAGAATTTAACTTAAAGGGGTTATCAAAGGTTTTAAGGGTTTTTAATCTCATAAATAGAATCAAATTGTATTATGGTTTTCAAAAAATTAAGAAAATCCTGTTCAGGGTTGATTGGGGGAAAATTTCGTTTCAGAATTTATTAGCTCTCACCAAAGTATAATAATAAAAAAAATGGGTTTGCTACCGAACAAACCATTTAGATTTTAAAGTTTCCGCTTGTTGAAAAGATTTCTTTTGAAATTGGGAAAGTCAGAAGTTACCTGGCCAGTGAGTAGCGGAACTTGCACTTGGGGCAGTCGATCCCGTTCTGGGCCAAATGCTCCTGAACTCCCTGAGCCTGCAACTCGGGATCGTTTTCGCGCTTCCACTCCAAATAAGCCTCGCAACTGCTGCCCTCGTGTTTCTTTTCCCAGGGTTTCCGGCACTGGGCACACGTCACCGATCCGCAATCCGGGCAGATCAACCTCTTCTGTTTGGGCCGAGCGAAGAATCCGGAGGAGCACTGGATGCACCACTTGAAGTTGGGATCCTGCAGCAAAGTGCGATCTCGCAACTTTCGCTGGAACAATTCGTGTACATCGCCGTCCAGGATGCTCTTCAGGAAGATGTCCAGGTTGGAGAAGTACTCCAGGTGCTCGTCCTCGTGCTGAGCCTCATTACTCAGTTCGGGCAACTTGCAGAACGGGCAACTGCAGTCGTTGATACTACGATCGGTAATCTGTAGAAACAGACATGGTAACAGTTAGAATACGTAAGGAACAATCAATCAATCAATCAATAGTTAACATTCAATTTTTGAGCTTAGCAAATAATATTTAATTATGGTTTAATCAAATGAATCCACACCAACCTTAAATTCTACAAACTGTTTACTGAAGGCCCTATTAGGTTTCAGATTGAAAATTTTGAAAGCTTAATTGGTTAAGGTTCACAAATATGAGCAGCTGTTATAATACGAACGAATAACACTGTGCGACAGAAAAATGTTTGAGTTGATTTTTTCTTATTTTTCACTTCTACTAGTCAAAATAAGAATACAAGTTTTTGGATTTGTTAATATCAATAGCCAATCAGCTTCTACGCACACTCAAAGGTCCCAAAAACGCGTGTTTTTGCATATTTCACAGCCTTATAATACCATATTGGGAAAATATTTTTTCACCGTTATAAGCGTTAATGCAAGTTCAATATCTATTAATTAAAATGTATTAAGCAAATATACCGTTAGGCTTTTATAACAATGCTTTAAAATTTTTTCTCCCAGCTCTATACTCTGGGCGACTTTGTATGGAACTTGTTACGCGAGGATACCTCTGAAAAAGCCAAAAAAATCAGAAAAAATTTCACTTTTAAAAAAAATAATAGTTTATTGGAAGTAAAAAAAATAATAATATTTTGTGTTAAATATTTTCATAATAATAATTTCATAAAATTTATCATAAAAAAAGAAATCCTATCACTTAGAAGGTGGCATAAATATTTTTGTGCATAACTTATGCCCCTTAACCGAAAACAATCAAAAAAGTAACTCAAACAAACATTTCGTTAAATTTTGTCGCACAGTGTAATGTTTCATACATACAAGAGCAAGGCGTGTTGTTCTCGGGTGAGAACTGATTAACAGATTTTCTTTGTACTTAAGGCCCTTCACACAATCTTTTGAGAACAGAGTTTACCGCTCACCTGCACCGTGAAGTAGCTCTTGGCGCACTGTTTGCAGCATTTGTGGAGGCACTTCAGCATGGACACCATCTGGTTCATGGGGTAGCTGTTCATGCAGAGTTCGCACTCCTGCTGGAGCATGGCGATGGCCTGGTCGAGATCGGAGCACTCCCTCGCTGCCCACAAGGCCACGTCCTCCGAGAACTTCATGTTGACCAAGGTGGCGGCTATCTGGGCTTCGGCAATGTTGGTCACCAGTTCCTGATCGACGTACTTGCGGGCCAGGGTCTGAAAAAAGAGAAAGAAAAGGAGCCCAGATGTATATAGAACTGGTTCAACTATTTCTTGGATGGTACACACCGCTGGGTCCTCAATAACCGGCTCTTGAACACTAGGATACGCCCGGAAGACGGGCATACTCAGCTTACGCTTTAGCAGTTCTGCTTTCAGGGGTTCCGTCAGGTTGGGATCCTCGCGGTCCTGCTCCTCCTCCGTGGCGGAGGTCTCGTAGTCGTCGTCCGAGAAGCAGGTCTCGTGGTATTTCTTCTTGGGGATTCGGGGCTGGGATCGGGGTTTCAGCAAAGCTGCTGCAGCCGCTGCTCCACTGGTGCTGGGTCCATCGTTCGAGTTGAACCTGCTGATGGCGTCGTTGATGGACTTCTTGGTGGCAGGACTGCTCTTGAGCGGCACTCGACTGACGGCCGGAACCGTCGAGGTCTGCTTCTGAAGGTACACCTCCTGGATTCGCTTCACGGACGAGATGCCCATGGGTGCCGAAAAGGACTTGGAGCGCAGCGGAACCTTCTTGTTTAGGGGGGAGCTACTCGAAGTGTTAGTGGGTTCGTTGGTGGGCTTGGGGATCTTACTGACTGTGGACTTTGTCTTGGTAGAGCTTGTTGTGGTGGTACTCTTGCCTTTCACGCTCGGGGTTACCTTTTTGGGCTCTTCCAGCACGGTTTCAGCAGGCAGCTCCACGGGTCGGGATTCGGAATCAACAATAGGTGGTGCGGGTGTAATGGGCATGGCAGTGGGTTCCTCAACGAGTGCCGGTTCAGAGGGAGGTTCAGTTTCCAGAGGGACTTCCAGTACGAGCTCAACAGGTTGCTCCGCAGGTCGACTTTCCGAGTCGGTTACAATAGCAGGAGGTTGAATAGGTAGAGCTTCCACTTTCACTTCCTCCGGATTTTCTTGAGGAGGTAAGATCAACTCCTGAACGGGATTTTGCAACTCAGTCACCAGGCTCCTTCCTGCGGAGGAAACAACCTCAGTTTGGGCATTTGCATCGGTTTCTTCGTTGGTGGGGGTGACTGATAGAGCAGGCGAAATGTCTGGTACAATGTCTTGTGCGATTTGTGTGGCTTGTGGCTCGTCTTCTTCCGCTTCATCCTCGTCCTCCTCCATGATGTCCTCGATCTCGGTGCCCTCGTCTCCGGTGGAGGCTTCTTCTATAAAGGATGTATGCTCGTTGTAGGTGCCCTCCTCGCCATCGAAGTCGCCTTCCTCTTCGCCCTCGCTGTCGTACCACTCCTCCTCTTCGCCCTCGTCGTACTCATCCGAGTACTCGTCGGAGAACTCATCTTCGTCGGTGGACTCGAACTCGTCCATGCTGATCTCGTCGCGCATCTGCTTGATCAGCCGCTGAGTGTCCGACACCAGTTCGCTGAGGTTCTGCTTGGCTGGATCTCCGGAGGGAACGAACTCCTTGAGGACAACCTTCGAAGTTTCTGATTGACTTGACTGGGAAGCAAAGCTTGTATTGCTGGCTGACTTGGCTATTGAAGATTCTATTTGGGATTCCTCATCGAGAAGTAAAAGGACTTCGTTCTCCGGGGACTTGGTTTCTGCCCGCTGTCCATCGCTATCAAGGCTGTAGAGTTCTGCATCGGAAGCGGCTTCATCATGGGGTCTTGTTTCTTCACTGCCGCTGAATTCTGGGGCATCTTCGAATACGTCATCAGAATCTGTGGGAGTTACAGCTATGGCTATTGCAGTTGGCGGGTGTACTTCCTGCTCTAAAATAAGTGGTTGGATTGTGGGTTCTTCAATACCTTTAACTTCTTTTTCAGAGTGGATTTCTTGACTAACAGCAGCATCTGTCTGAACCACCTCGTTCTCTGTTGTAAATGTCTCCTTTGGTTCGGATGACTTATCTGACCTTGGAGCAATCTCACTTTCCGTAGCTTGCTCTTCTTTTCTATTAGACTCTTCCTTTTCGATCTCATCATTGGCTGTGGGAGTCCTAGTACTTCCTCTACTTTCACTTCGAAGACTGTTGCTACTCAGGGTTCTCACGGGAATCTTTGAAAAACGTTTCGGACTTCGCTTGTGATCGTTAGTTATTGATGAAGTACTGGGTGTTATTTCTACATTTTCGGCTATATGAGTTTCATCTGCAATAGATGGGGAGGGGGCTGTAATCACGGGAGTATGTGTTCCAACCACTTGATTTGCTTGGCCAGTTTCCAATTTATCATTCTTTATAGGTTCACTTATTGGAGAAGAAACATTTTCAACATTAGGTTCTTCTCGAGCTTGAGTGTTCGGTTCAGGTATTTCCGTTATGGCAGCAGATTCTGTAATGTTTATAGACTTTGCAGGTTGATCCAAAAAGGCATTAGAGTTTGACTGCGGAACCTGTTCAATAGCTAATTCATTTGTAGTTATAATTGCATTTGTATCCTTTAAGTCTGCAGGTTCGATCTTCTGCTGGGACTCTTCAGGTTGTTTTGAAACCACCTCTTTAACACTTTCGGCAACGGTGTTTGTTAATAAATTTTCTGGTTCGCTTTGGGCTGGGGTATTATCAGTATTGTCCTTTAAAGATGTAAGCAAATTTTGATTGGGAACGGATAAATCGACATTATTTTCGATAACTTTTGTTTCGGCATTAGTTGAAGTTGCGACTGGTTGAATATTAGTTACTGAATTAGCCTCAGTCACTGCCTTTGGTTCTTCCGTTGCCCTTTTAGGGACAATTTCTAATGGCTTAGTGCTTTCTGCTTGTACTTTCTGATCGATGTCTTTGGGTAATCTCACTCGATTAGTTGGCTTTTGACTCTGTTCCCTGGATCTACTTTTTTTGGCCTCATGGGATCGCTTGTTCCTTCGGTTGGCTTCTCTGCTTGTGCTTGGCTTGTCATCATCTTGGGCTTGTGATTCTGATTGGACTTGCTGAGCTTGCGAATTATTTTCATTCGGTTTCTGAGTAACAATTTCTTCTGTTGGCAGTGCAACTGTTTCAGTTACAATGTTTTCTTCATTTATTGAAGGTGTAGTTATTTCAAGTACTGTGTTCTGTGAAAGTATTTCATTAACAGTCTCTTTTTCGTTAGTTGAGGTGGCCAAAGCTCCATGTTTTGTTTCTTCGGTAGTTTCAGTCTTTTGTAGGTTAATGGCAATTTCTGGAGAAGATTCTTCTTGGGTTTTGGCTGCAGGAGCTTCTAAAGCTACTTCTTTGACCACCTCCTTGACTTCCTCTTTTGGAGCCATGTAGCTTTTGTACACAGTACGTTCTGCATCCTCAAGATCATGGCTTTCCCATTCCGCTTCGTGTAATCGTTCAGTGCCACGATCAAATTCCAACTTGAAGTTGGCTATTTCGGTGGCATAAATGAAATTAGGTGGAAGCTCCTCCCGGATGCTCGCCTCCCTCAAATTGGGCTTAATGAATTCCTCCATGATGTAGACACCCGGATCCACCGAGGGCACAGGCTCAGGTTGCGGTTCCGGTTCCGGTTCCTGTTTAGGTTCTGGTTCTGGTGCAGGCACAGGTTCAAGTTCAGGTTCCGGACTCGCCAACTTTGCCTGGTTTACCTCAACCGGAACTTCAACCTCCGGCTTTTCCATCAGCTCTTGCTCAACCTGTTGCACCAGGTTCGGCACAATATCCTGAATGTGCTGCCACACAAAGTTCTTCACGTCCTCGGAGGACCTATCCTCCACCGATCCAGAGGGTCTTAGCGTGCTAATGGGGCTCTTCGTGAGGATTCGCATTATCTCCGGATCCGTTTCGTACTCCATCTCCGGCTTGCCCTTGAAGGTGTCCAGCATGCTCTCGATGGATCGCAGGACCTCCTGGTTCTGCTTGGCCTGGTTCTGTTCCATGTTCCCGATGAGTATCTCCAGGTTCTTCAGGGTGCTGTCTTCCAACTGGTAGGGACTGGGAGTGGCGTAGGTGGACTTAACTGGACTGTCATCGGGGCGGAGTGGATCGAAAGGGTTGGCTTGGCCGGGATTGGGACTCTCCACCGCCAATGGAGGCTGCAGGCAGTCCAAAGCATGAGTGTTCAGGAAGTCATGGATATCTGTATTCGGCAAATGAATGCGGGAAGAGAAAAATATGGGACATTATGAATATGCGATTGACTGATGATGATCTACAAACTAACCCGACTTGGTGTCAATGGTTGCGCCACTCTCATTCTCAACGCCATTCGGCGAGCCCCAGATGCGCATTAGAAATGGCTTGAGCTGCGTTCGATTTAGCTCCACGAGCGCCTGATCCAAATTACCTTGGTGCGCGGTCAGCGCATTTACAATGTCGTCCCGCAGGAAGTTCCCCTTGGCCGAGAGTTTCCTGAACTTCTGCTGCCTCTGCTGGATGCAGTCGGCCACCGCCTGCCACACGTTTCCCCGGAGTTGCGGAGGGCCTCACGAGCCTCGTTCTGGGACACGGTTCCAATCGTGTTCTCAGCCCTCTCCTGGCCATACTTGGTGGACAAGCTCTGCACCGTCTGCACCAGCTTGAGCCAGTTCTCCCGCAGCCACTGAATGGGATGCGTTTCGGGGGAGCAGTACTTCAGCGCGGCCTCCAGTTCCTCCACCGTGAACTTGTACAGCTCCAGCTCCTTCAGGATGATGTGCATCTCTGTTTCCGGATCCCGAGCCGGTTCGTGCTTAACGCCGAATGACTCATGCGGCATGTCGAAGGGGGAGGAGATTTGCTAAAGCGATTGGACAGAATAGTTGTATTAGGTGTTGATTATTAAAGAGGTTAATTATGTAGCATTAAAAGCTTCATTACTCTAATCATTTCAAGTTAATCAAGTTAAATCTATTCCTAGCTTATTAATGAGGATAAGGAAATTTAAACCAGTTTCCAATAAATTAAAAATCCTTTAATGACCATCAACTGTGTTCAGCTTATCAAGATAAACTGGCGTTCTAAGTTAAAATTAAAAGCCTTTTTAGGTTGATTCCTTTAAATTGATTTTTCTTGCCCAACAGCCATTCATCCTATTCATTATAATATCAACTCACATGTTGCAGCATGCGCAGCTCGTTTATGAAATTGGGTCGTCTGGTGACCAAACCGGCGCTGTAGGGATCCAGACCGAAGCCATCGTGGAACCTCAGATCGCTGGCACTGCGATATCGATCGTTTTCCTGCTGCAGCTGCGAATTGCTGCGGTAGTGCGGTCGTCGCTCCATCTTGTTCGGTTCCGGGGTCCTAAAGCGATCCGGAACCACTGTCGGGATTTCCTCAGACTTTGAGTTGAAGGGTAGTGCGTCATAGGTCTGCAATAAGCCAGGTTGTTACTCCGATCTTGCTTCAGATAAACCGTATCGCTATAATTACTTGTGTGGAAATGCTCTGGGGTGGCGGCGAGGTGCCCATTTCCACGGCTGCTGTTTCGCGGGGTGGAGTGCCACCACAGCCCGTGGAGACCTTCTGGGCCTTCTTCAAAACCTGCTCCGCCTGCGCCTGAATGCTCTCATCCAGCGTATTCCAAATGTTTTCAACGGACTCTGGAACGATACGGATGAGAGCATTAGCTTTGGGGATCGGGGTCACCAACTGATTCAAATCAAACAAACTGGAGGCGGCTTGGGTTGTGGTTTTGTTCTGTATTTGGTTTCCATAAATGCGTTAATTGTAGGCTTACAGTTGGAGGCTTTATTAGTGTACTAACTAAGTAAATAGTCTTGGGTGGTGGGGTCTAGGCCTTGGTGCCCTCGAAAAATGAGATTCTCTTTTGTATCCTACCTTTGTGCAGTAGGCTCTTCGCCAGCGAGTTGTCGGATTCGTTCTCCGACGAGGTTTTCAGGGTTGATTTTGAAGGAGTCTTCACGGGAATACTCGAGGAGTTCTTGGAGTTCGATGTTGGCGAAGTCTTGGAGGTGGTAGTGGTACCCTGGTTAGTTTTGGTGGACGCTGATGTGGTTTTCTGACTAGACTGCTGGCTCTTCTGAGCAGGCTTTTGCACTGACTTGACTTCCGGCTTGGAAGTTGTTTTATTGGTTTTTTCAGTAGGTGGTTGTGGCTTTTCCTCCACCTTCTTAGCCTTGTTGGGCGCCACTGGAGGTTTGCTGGGCGTCTTGCAGCAGATGGAGCAGATCTTGATGTTGGGCTCGTTGACAAACGTGCAGAACTCGCACTCCCATTCGTGATCCGGCGTAGAAGGTGGTGGACCCAGCTCATCGGCCTCGATCTCCTCGGGAACTTCCGGGGGTTCGGGAGCTGCCTGAGCTTCTTGTTCACTTTCCGATGCGGTCACCTCTTCAACCACTTCCTCGTACTCGGAGGCACTTTCTTCCTGGGCTGGTGGCACCACCTTTTGCACCACCGCCGCAGCCTGTGTGTTCTCGTCCTTCATCTCCGGCTTTCGTTTCAGCTCAGACTTTTTCGAGGACTTGTGCTGATCGGCTTCCTGGAGCTTCTGCTGAATCTTGGCCTGCACCAGAGCTCGGGCACCCGATCCCTCGGACTCCAAATCGGAGTAAATGCGACTGGTTCGGGACGAGTCTGTTGCAATGGGTTTGTTTCTGGTGAGGGTTCCCTCATTGTCCCGCCTCTCCGGCAACCACTCGCTCTGAACGGACTTGGCAATGGATCCCCGGCGGTCCCGCATCTTGTGTTGCCTCGAACCGTGCCTCTGATCCCCATCCAGTTCATCGTTGGCAATTAGTTGCGAGGCACTCGAGAGGCGCCTTTGACGGGGCTGATGGTGGTGCTGGTGGTGTTGGTTGGACCGCGAGGCACTGGTCATGCCCGAGCGATTGGAGACCAGGGACCTGCGGTCATCCTGATCGGAGTCCTCGTCATCCGTTAGCTCGTCATCCACGTAGCTGTTTCGCTTTCGCCTTAAGGACATGGACTTGCGACTGGGCGTTGGGGAGGCGGCATATCGCGAACGGGAGGCAGCTCTTGAGGCAGCTGTAGGAGGCATACCCATGACACCTGAGGATGGAAAGCCCTTTAAGACACTCTTTATAAATTTATGGAAGTATCCCGCTTTACCTGGATGCATCATGGGATAGCCGGGTGCTCCCGGGTACATGTTCGGCATCATTCCGCGCTGTGTCATAAACACCGGAGGTGGAAAGTGCGGATGGTGCTGCTGCATGTATCCCGGTCCCACGTTGAGGGACAGATTCGAGTTGTTGAACTGCTGCTGTGAGCCGAACTGGGACCACTGATCGGGGTGCTGGTGCTGCGGATGTTGGTGATGAGCATGCGGATGCTGAGCCCAGCCAGGATGCTGCTGACTTTGCTGACAGCCAGCGCAGTTTAGTTGAGCAAGGGATTGAGCCTGCAAAATGGGGAGAGTTTAATAGTAAATACAAAAGAATATGGTAATATAATCTAATTTCCTCCAAAAATAATTATCAAAGGTGACTTCATTTGTAACGACGGTTAAAGTCAAGCATGTCAATCTGATAGTGATTTCAAAAGGTTGTCGTGGTTCTTGGCCTTATGTTTTTAGTCTAATTGTTTTCATTAACTCACCTGTTGGATGCGCTGGTTAGCTAGCCATGCGCTGCCGTTCTGCGATTCGGCCAAGGGTCTCCGAGGATTGGTGTTCAGGTTGAAGACCGAGGTGCTCATCTGACGCCTCTGTGCGCCCGCCGCCTGTCGTTGTTGGAGCAGCAAGGAATTGTGAAATTGTGAGTCATCCGAGAGATCGAAATGGGATGAGTTCAGACCGGATGACATGCTGCCGGAACGAAAATGCGAGGGCGATGGTGAAATGTTTGACCAGTGCTCGAAGCCGGCTCCATTCGACATATGCTGCGGTGGGGAAATGACCAACGAGAAACAGAGAAAGAGAGAGAGAGAGAGAGGGAAGGGAGAAACGACACATGACGAGACGTGACAGTGACAATACGATATACGATATACGACATACGATACGAGAAGCACTGAAAAAAATTATATCACGGATCACCATGCCTGCATTATATTTCTTACAAAAAAGCAATAGTCGAACCGTCATTTAAAATAGATTACCAATTAAATTCGTTTCCATTTAAATTAATTATTCAAAGAAGAGACAAAACATTAATTTAAAATACAATTTTTGAACAATTAAAGAATTTGTTTGGAATGTACTGACGGAGTTTTTGATGCGAGCTGTTTTAATAATTTCTTTTAGTTCCTTAGAAGTAATTCCATTTGTTTGGATTACTTCTCCTGCGCTTAAATGTTCTTATCGTTGTTTGAATATTAAAGTATAATTTAATTTCTTTAGGCAAATTGACAATTTACTTGATAAGTTAAATAGTTTTTCATAGGGTATGATTAAAATACGTTATCCAAAAGATATAATTGACCCCCGATTGACATAATTTTCTCCGTGCAAATACGAGACACTCGACGATGGGAGGACTCCAATGATTGTAACCCGGGATCCGCCGGTCACTCACCATTTCGCTGTTGGCGCTGAGGTCCTGGCGCGCCTTCTGCTGGCGGTACCGCTGCTGCAGGATGGCCATGCGGTCCAGGGTGGCACTGGCCTTGCTCTTGATCTTCTCCAGCTGCACGGACGGGGGACGCTGGATGGTGTCGAAGACGGACTTGGGGGTTCCGGACCTCGAGGATCCCCCGCCCTCGCTGCGTGGCGGCTCTGGAAGCGGGCGGTTGTTCATCTGGCCGGACGAGTTGGTATTGGCAGGGACCGGAGGCACGGGGGGGCGTGGCCGCGCCCCCAAGCTGCGCCCGCCAGCCGCCCAGCGATTTGTGGGAGGGCGTGGGCGAGGGCGGCGGCAGCATCTGGAAAGAATCGGGTTGGGTGCCATTTCGGTTTCGGTAGTCGAAAAAGTATGGAAAAAATATATCTTTTTTTCTGATTCGATTTCGGGCGGGCTTTCTGGTTTTGAGGACGGTTTTATTTGATTTATTAAAGCATTCAACGATTACAAACTTGGTTCTACGAGTAGACTACCACGGAGCTTTGCTTACGGGTCTAGGAGATCGTGCAGTGGCGTACCTGATCCTTGCGGCCCAGAAAAGGGGTGAGTAGACCGCGCTTGCTGCGTCGAGGAGGCGCCACTGGGGGCGGTGCCCCACCACCCTTCGGGGGAATGGGCGGGGTGCCCTGCTCCACGGCCTGCAAGTGAAGTTTATTAGTTACACGTTTTTCCGGGATCAGAATTCATACCTTTCTCATGTGCTGCTTGCGCTTGGGATGCTTGTGGAACATGTCGTCGCAGGAGGCGCAGAAGATCTGGCCCGCGCACTCGGAACAGGTCACCCAGGGATTCTGGGAGCCACACAAGGTGCACTTCAGCTTGTTATCTGAGGTTTTAAAAAGGATCAGATAAATATATATAGTTGAGCCACATTAAAAGAGATAAAATAATGTTTTATGTTGCTCAAACGAAAACCTAATATTGGGGTTTTGTTTCAAGTTCTTAATAACTTAAATATTTATTTCATTAATTTTCAATAATAGAGTCGAAATGGATAAAAAGTATCCCCACATAGAAATAAAGTTGAATCAAAAGATTGCATATATAAAATTTAAAATTAAAAGTTTGGTTTTGTCATAAGATTCCGAATAAATCTTCACAATTTCTTTTTACGCAAAAGAGCAAATGAGTTTGGTCTTGTTAAAAAAAATAAAAAAATTATATGGTAATAAGTTACTTTGGTTCTGCGTTATTATGCATTAAGTAAGAAAATTTTGATTTAAAAGACAACTATGAAGTATTTATTATCTAAATACCTGGCGTCTTGGTCCTAATCACTGTGGTCTTCATTGGTTCGTTGGAGTACTGCTGGTTAGTAAACTCGATGATCTCGTAGTCCGGTTCGGGGGTGCTCTTTGCCTTGGGGGGCAGGGCAGGAGCCTTGGGAGCTCCCCCAGCCACTCCATTGGGGGGCGTGGGCGGTGGCTTCGGTCCGATGCGGTCGTTCGCCTCGGTCTGGAAAAGGTGATTAGTGCAACTCGATACTGGCTGCTGCAATCCTGGTTACATACCACCCACGAGGGCATGGACTTCACATTCTTGTGGAGCAACTGTTTGGTCGTCATCCTTGTCGATTTATTCGTCTGGTAATTGTCGCGCTTTCGTCTTCTCGATTGGCTTGATTGCCTTCTTATTTATCTGAATACTTAAGAGAAACTGAGAATTATAAGGGCGGTTAGACAAATCAAATTTTATATTCTATTTTATACAAGTTAATACATTTGTTATTTATTTAGTTCGTATGTTATTGCCTTTATTTTATTTTAGATTCCCTATGCCACATTTTCGCCACTTCAAACGACTTCAAATTCAATTAAGTCGACTGCCAAAAAATGGGAATTATGAATGCATATTTTTAGCTGGCTCACCCAAATTCCGGAGGCAACGACCAATGCGGAAGGTGCTGGGAAAATGCAATTCGTGGATGCTGTGCACAAAACTAAACGCAGCAAGAGTTCGATTGAGAATAAAACCGCTAAATTTAGGCTAAAACACCTATGCATAGAATAAACGCAGATACATTTTTTGGCAAAACATTTTCGGTCTTGTTTATTTATGAAATGATGCGAAAGAGGGAAATGTTGTTAAGTGACTCAATTGGCGTGCTCTGTCAACGCGGCTAAGTGGATGGGATGCCAAGAAAATTGGTGATCGGGAGAGAAATATTAAAAAATCGAGAGAATGAGTTCAAGCCAGAAAACTGTTCTCTAGTTTGAGTTAAAGAGAATTGCTTGTAAAATCTTGTAAATAAAAGCGAATGAACAATATTAACAGAGAGAGAAATGGTGAGTAAATGCATATTTTTTAGTGACGCAGGTGGTTAGAACATTGCCAAATGATTGAGATATAAATGCCAACATCACAGCAATAAACTAGTGTAACCGATTTATTTACAATTCTTCGTTGAAAAACCTTTATGCAAATCATCAAGTTATTTTTGATTTCAAAAAAATTTTTTGATTTAATTAAAAGTAATAAACGAAAAGCTCGATAATTTATTATCTTCAATGAGGTTTTAAAAATCCATGTCTAAATGGTGTCATCTTTTCGTAATATACTTATTAATAATTTATTTTATGCACTTAATGTCTTAATGAATGTAATAATGTTAATACAAGTAGTTTAAGTAAAATGAATGTTAAGGTCAGCACTTCGGATTAATTGAACAAGTTCTTTGTTTTAGTTGGGTAAAAAACGTACTTCTATACTAGTTAAAAATAAAAAAAGGTTTTTAGTTTTAAAGTGATGATTGCATGAAATTGAAAAAATTTTGTGAATTAATTATTCATATTTTGTCTAAGTAAGGTTTTTTTAATTATTTTGTAATATTTTTTAAAATAATTTTCTAAAGTTGCTCTTTTTATACGCACTAATAACGTGCTCCACGGCTCATTAAATTTGCCATACAAGAGGCTTTACGAAACACAGCAAAAAAAAAAACAGAATTGGTGTTCTCTCCCGTCGCGTATACGCAACGTGTTCACACCGGGCTGCACTCCCGAGTCTCTCGCGCTATTTTCGATGCCTTCTGCAGCCACTCCATACTTTTCGGCCGAAATTGTGTCACACTGCGCAGCAATATTCATGAAAGCCGCCTGCAGTGGTTGGTCGGATCCGCCCCCACCTGCCCCCTCGTCCCTCCGTCCGGCGTCTTCGAGTGGCAGATGCCCTGGGAGGCAGCCACCGATTCGGACGCAACGCTGACTCACAGACACAGTCTCACGCCGCGAAAGAAAAAGTTTTTATTTTTACGGGAGAACTTTTGGGAACTATTTTTAAACATTTCTTTGGCTTGCCTATATCTGCGTTTCTTTTATGCACAGTTTTAAATTCTGTTAATTGGCGAATTGGCTTTAAAAAATATATAGATCGTTTTGCATTCTAGATGATTTTTGGCTTGATTGTTTATTCCGCTTAATGCCTTGAACTTTCCCATGGAGCGTTGTGTGTTTAAATTTAGCCGAGATTTATAATTAGAACACTTCAAATAGATTAATTGCGATGCGAATTGGAATTGCTATTGAACTTTGCGGCTTGTTTCTATTGAACAGCGATGGGGCTCCGCAAATGCAGAGGTCACTTACATAATTCGATTTCACTTGACGCGTCTTGCCGCACTCAAAACTGCCACTGCCAGCTGGTAACACATGAATATATATAGGAATATATATGTTTCTAATGCCTAGCCACAGCACGACATGAAAATTCTGCTACGGTCTCGTTCGACGATCGTCTCCCAGCGAACTGAAATCTCAATCAGATTCTAAACAGCATTTTTACTGCAGTCCTCGGTCCCCAGTCGTCGCGCGAGTAGGAAGAAGTCAACGCAGATCTATATTCTCATTTTGTCTGCTCTTCCGTTTCCATTTCCTTCAGTCTCCGCCGCGTCTCATCGCTTTCCTATTTTCAGCATTTTCGCGTTGTTTTATAAATACATCGTTTTCGAGCGGCATATAACATTTTGGCTGCGAGACGCCGTCGCGTGTGTGAATAACATTTATTTTGGCATATTCCTCTTTATCTTATTTTGTTGTTAAACATTTTGCAGAACATACAAGTGTTGTTCAAATTTATTACTTGCTGCGCTTCCTGAATTTCTCTTGATTTGATGAATGAAATATATAAATTGTAAGGTGTTATAATAAATTTTGATTAATTTGTTGTGGGTACAAAATTTTATGTATCTCTTACATATATTATTTAGAAAGTTTGGCACTCTCACATTTAGCATAAATGGGAACTTAATAAATGTGTATTTGGTATGTAACAGCTTGGTGAATGCTTGTACATAATTCTTCTTTTGAAATAAAACTCATTTGAGGTTAATATTAATAACTGTTAAGAATTTCCAAAACCACACATTTCTGCTTGGCCTTTTTGGATATAAAACTTCCTTCACAATGGTTGACTTATACTGATGAAATTTGGCAAATTTTAAAAAGAGTTGGGTTCAATGGAAAGTTTTAAGAAATTTTCATCAAAAGATTTGCATGTCAAATTCCACATTTAGTTTATCCAAAAATCTTGGCGCCGCGAGGAACGCTCTGAATCATTCATCGGGATGCTCCCCAGCCATAATTATGATATACGACTGACAAGTATCCGTGGGGATCTCCTGCGGGAAGACCTTGAACATTTTTGCACTTAGTGTGCTAAGTGCCGGCGATAAAAAAGAACATCCATATCTTTCCGATCGAACAAATGGAATCGACAATAAAAGTATCGGCACGGGCCACCTGCTGTTTGCCGGAGGTGCAAATCAAAAGCACATTTCAATAGACGAAAGATATTCGGTGTTTGGGGAATTATGGAATTAAGGCTCCCCGCCGGTGGATTCGTGTGGGGTCCGTGCGATAACCGCAGGTCGGTCTAAAAATAGATGCGATGCATACTAAATTGGCTGCGACAGAGTCAAAGTTCAATAATTGCAGACACGCACATTTTTGGGAAGCATTCCCCAACCCCAGAAACCACCACCCACCACCCCCCAAAAAACAAAACGCCCACGTTTAACCTTGCCTCAGTTGACGCAAGTTGGCTTCGATCAGCTGTTCGCCAGCTGTACGTAAACAATTGAAAACGCCGGGTCTCTCCGTGAAAAGCTTTCGTGGAGCTTCCCCAAGAGCATTTGTGTATAGAACGTGTAAAAGATGTAGAGCAGCTTTCACGTGTAAAATACGATTCGATGTAGATGCCATGTAAATTTCCCGCACAATCGATAACAGCTGCGAACGGAAAGCCCGACAAATGTTAACGCTCCTTCGATATTGGCCAGCGTTTTCCGGCTGCATTCGCGCAATGTTCGCTGCAGGCAATGGACGCGTGTGGGAAACTCACAGGAAAATATTCACCGCTAGCCTCCCGCCTTCGCGTTGCGTGTACAAAAGGGGCGTGTGCGTGCGCTAGTGTGTGTGTGGGCCAGGGGGAATTGAATATGTAGTGTTCCTCTTGGGCGCTCAAGGAGTACTTGCTAAATACTAACGGTTAAAGAAGTGCCTTTATTATTTACCGATTTTCCTGGCTTTACTTTGCATAACGTTAGCTTAGTCGTCCAAAACATTCGATCAAAGTCCACAAGTGTGTTAAGATACAATAATCCAAATGAAGCGGAAGCGAAGTGAAATAATTATTACATAAATTTGTAGTTGATTAAGAGTCAAGTATCAAAATCCCTCTACAATTAAGGCATGGGTTTAAGCCTTGAAAATTTTCCTTTGAGCCGTGCATGAAATGCGCCAAAAATCCTGCAGCTGAGTACGAAGTTCACCTTCGTCGCATGCAAAAGCATATGAAAAATCGATACTAGAAGCATCGCAGTTGCAACGCTCGACGGCCGCTCCCACTTTTCCGCGAGGACTACAGCGCCAAGGACAAAGTCCTTCCTGAGGAAGGAAACTAAGAGATCGGGATAGGAGTCCCCTCAAAATGGTGGATGCCAAGCCACAGCCACCCACTCCGGGAGCGGTGCCCGGAACGCCGCCGGCTGGGTTTGCCGGCGAGCGATCGAAAATCAAACTGTTCATGGAACGAACGCCCAGCATCGGGGCCCTCAAGTCCAAGTTCCTCACAGTTCTGGGCAACAGCAACGAGCTCCTCAACGGAATATCCAACAAGGTGGGCCAACTGGGGCACGCAGCGTGAGTGGGGTGATGGGAAACGGAGGGGTTTATAATCATATTTCCTTTATTAGCTAATCTATATCTAATATATGGTAGAGTGTACGGACATGAAACACTTAGCAAAGCAGATATACTTTATTACTTAAAGCTTATTTTAGCTTTGTGAAATATAAATTAATTCAATTAGAAATCATCAAAACAGAATTTATTCAAGTATAGCTAAATAAAGATTGACCCCATTGCTTTATACCTTTTTTTTCTGTATTTAAAAATTTTCTCAGAATATTTTTGTTTTAATTGAGCATTATTTTTGGAGAATAACCCTTTCTTACTGTAATGAAGATTCTTTACCCAAACTCAATCAATTAATATAATATGTTTAAGAATGAATTATCTCTTTGGTATTGAAAAGTGTTTGCAACCTTATAAAATTGGTGGAGATATAGTGGCAACTTGTAATGGCTGGGTTTCTGTGAACAAGATATTATTAACAGTTGGTACAAATTTTCTTCGGTTCTACTTTTCTGACCTGATTTTTCTATGATTTTTAGTTTATAAAAATGAACTGAATTTTAGTCTCATCTATTCTTTTTTTCTCCCATACTGTCATTAGTTTATGACCCAATCAATAGGCTGTTGCTATGTAATACAGTCACGCCTGGCCCACGCACATCTCTAGGGCTGACTGGGTTAGCCTTGGTAATGAACGCGGCAAGAGGTGCTTGGGCTGGGGGTGTGGCAGGGTGGCTGGGTGGCAGGGTAGAAGGTGGGATGGGTGGCAGATTGTGTGTGGGTTATGTCTATGCTGCAAAAGCAACTGACACTTTGATACTTTTGTTGTGCTGTTTGTTCTTGCTGTTTCCGCTTTGCCGCTGCACTCGTTTGACCTTCACTCGGGGGCCCCAATCTGCGTTTTTGGGGGCGGAAGGTGCCGGCTGCGGATGGGCGGGAATTGGAAACGGGGGCACATTCTCCGCTGTTCCCTTTGTACTTGACTTTCTCTCGCTCAGAGCCCTGCAGCCTCGTCCTTGATTGAAATTAATTATATTTACACCAGCCAGAAAAGAGGAGAAAGTGCAGCATTCGATTTTTCCTTGGCATTGTTTCGGAACATCAATCACTGAGATTGCTCTTTTCAATACGCATTTGGGGGTTCGAATATGACGTACATTCAAGGGGAATAAAACAGATTTACAAAGCGATAGAAGCAGGTTCGACTTTTTAATCAAAACAACACTCCGTTTGGCCCAAAACACCTCGCAGATGATCGAGTTCGTTCTGAAATGTTTCTTTTACTTGGTTTACTTGCAGCTGACTCTGAGTAGCAGCAGCAGCGACTCCGACTACTGCGATGACGACGAAGACATTCCCAAGTGTGAGTACCTAGTCCATGAATATACACTATCAAACACTATATAACTTCAATCTGCAGTTGACGAGTCCATTGACTACACCAAGATCGACTTCGAGGGACGCCGGGTGAAGGCACGGCGAGCACACGAGGAAATCATCTCGGGACGATACCGCCAACCCAATTTGGCGCCTCGTAAGTGATTTGCAAATTCAGGGGATGCTATAACAATTAGAGATATCATTTTTAACGAGCACTCAAATATTTTATACGTCTTTTAGAATTTTGTGCAAACAGATAAGGCGCATTTATGCAATGACAAACACCTTTTATTTTTTTTCTTTTTCATCCATTTTTTATTTATACATCAACATAAAATAAAAATATATGTTTATTAGCTACAGGTGTGCAGCTTTAGTTGATTAGTAAAATACATCATCTTTTACAAGATATTAAGCCAATAATAATTTCTTTGCCCTCTTAAAAACATATTAAAAACATACAGATAAAATAATGATCTGCAACTTGTCTTCTATGCTGAATCCGAAAATCCAATGAGGCACCTCTCGTTAAAAATGTTTTTAAAAATTATTAAACAGTTCCGTATATTTTATTTATTTCCAAGGCGCCGCAAGCATTTGATGTACTTTTTCTGCTATTAAAAACTTTTTAATTAATTTAGTTCTCTCAATTCCTTTGGAGGTCCCCGACTGGAGCCATCTCGAGGTCGCCATGCGGCCAGCAAGCTGGCTGGGCCGCTCCGCTCGAGCTCCGGATCTTCGAGCAGTTCGAGCAGCAGCGAGGACAGCAGCTCGCTCTCGCTGCCGGAGCACATGGTGAACCGCTCCCACGAGGTGAGCAGCACCACCCGATCGGACTCCATTGAGTCGCGCCACTCCGGCGGATACGAGAGAGCGCGGGCGATTGCCGGAGCCCGTCGCAGTGAAATGGACATGCAGAGGGACTCGCAGCGGATCGGCGAGACGGTGGAGTCCCTGACGCCGCACATCGACGTGCAGCCGCCGACGGAGGGAGGGGGATGTGGAGCGGGTGGAGCAGGAGGAGCGGGATCCGCGGGAAGACAGCAGTGGGCGGGCGGGAGCAACTCGATGCGCCTCCCATCGCGCAGTCGCGCCTCGAACAGCAGCACTTTGACCAGCCTGCGGGACGAGCCGGATCAGCTGCTGGCCAGCCCCAGCATGGAGTCCACCGACTGGCGGCACTTCATCCGCTCGGAGTCGCAGAACTCGGTGCCCTCGTGGGCCTCCTCGATCAGCTTGGATTGTCGAGCGGGCGAGGAGCCGGTGAAGGAGTTCATGAAGCACTTCACCGCCCTGCTGTTCGGCGGATCCCCAGGAACCGTCGACCTGGAGCTCAAGTCGGAGTTCGGAGTGCTGCTGCGACTGGAGATCGGCCGCCTGTGGTTCACCCGCTTCCTCACCGAGCAGCGGCACAAGTCCAAGCGCCTCGATTCCCTCACCTTCGGCAGCCTGGCCCAGTACTTCGCGTTGGCCCTCTTCGAGTGCAGCGAGTGCGAGGACTACGCTCCGGCGGCGGTCCTCATGAACCTCTGCTTCCTCTTCTACCACGAGGTGGAGGTGCCCGGGTGCGATCCCTACCGCGAGTACCTCTTCTCCTCGCTGCGGCAGCAGCCCATCTGGCAGCAGGCGCGCTTCTGGAACGCCATCTTCCACGACGCTCTGCAGGCGGAGCGGGAGCACCGGGGTCAGAGCCAAATGCGGAGGCAGCAGCGCCGCCAGCAGAAGCAGCAGCAGCGCCAGGTAGCCAGCGGAGGAGGGGTAGGGGGAGTGGGAGCAGGAACGGTAGCAGCAGAGGCACCACCTCCCAAGGCTCATCGAAAACAGGGAGGCGACTCATCATCCAGCTCCTCGCACCAGGCGGTCCAATCCGCCGCTCCAGCGTCCACTGGCTCCGTTCCGGCCAACCGGAGGCAGAGCAAGACCAGCATCACCCCACAGCAGTCCGCCAGGGATCAGGAGGACATTGCATTTCGACAGCTCGGGTGAGTCCTTATTAAATTGGAAAGTCTTGAACTGAACAGATAAAACAATACATTATGAATAATTAAAAAGTTAAGATTGCTACTTCAATGTTTCTTAAAACAGAGAAATTTTTAAGAATTAAGAGATCTCTATTATTTATAATATATCGAAACCGTTAAACAAATTATTAAGAGTTATGGAGAAGCTTCAGGTTGTAGATATGTATATGCGATATAACTGAATATTATCTGTAGTTTATTACAGGCTAATAAAATAGTTTTTAAAGGTATTAGGCTTAGGTGATTAAAGTTAACCTTTGAAGAAAAACTTGACAAATGATTTAACGCGGCTTTAACGATTTTTTCGACTTCTCTCGGGACCACAATTGATTCCACCTCATATATTTATGTACATACATAACATAAATATATAGGTATAACGCTTTTCTCTACCTTTTTAAAACTAAATTTATACATGATCTTAATCTGCCACAGTGTCGTGTCTAGACAGTGTTAAATTCTATTATCAAAACTATTATTAACAAGAAAGAAAGCTAGCTTCGGCAAGCCAAAGCTGATATACCCTTGCAGTCGTCAAATATGTCGAACAAAATATATAGGTACATAAAGGCTAAACAACATCGAAGCTATGACGACTTTTCTATTAATTTTTGCATATTTTCGACTATTGTTCTTATGACAGCTTTATGATATAGTCGTACGATATTTATGAAATTTAATTCGAAATTCGAGAGTCATTAGAAAACTCTATATTCCATAAATTATATTTGTCTAATAAAAAACAACGATGTATAATTTGTTTCCGTTAATTCTATATAGATTTTCCTAAGGCCGATTTTTATGAAATTTTTTTTATAATTCAAGGCTAGTTAATCAACTTGATACTCAAAAAATCATACACGTGGGATAAAAAACAACGACGTTATCAATTTATTTCCGTTAATTCTTTATATACTTTTCGATCCCTCCTATAGTAGCTGTATGAAATAGTTATCCGATTTTGACAAAAATTTAATATGAAATTTGATATTGGTTAGAAAACTCCATCTGGAAGAAATCAAGTCGATATGATAAAAAAACAACAGCAAAAGAATATTTTTTTCAATCTCTCGTATGGCAGCTATTTTATATAGTTTCGATCCGGTCCATTCCGACTTATATACTGCGTGCAATAACTACACACCTTTTGGGAATGTTTCAGCAAGATACTTTAAAACTGGGAGACTAATTCAATGAGAAACAGACAGACGTACAGATGTATTCCGATTCTGCTCGTGATGCTGATCAAGAATATATATCATATACTTTATGGGGTCTGAGGAGTCTCCTTCTTTGCGTTGCAAACTTCTGACTGAAATTATAATACCCTTTTGCTCTGCAAGGGATAAAAACTCGTTGACAAATTTAGTTAAGTAAAATATGCTTACAAGAAGCGAATGATAATTGGATTACCCTAGATAATTATATTTCCGAGGGATTTGAACAAGCCAAAACATCTATATTCAACTTTAATCATTTGTTTTTCCACAGGGCCTTGACCTGCAACATGCACTCACTGGGAACTTCCCAAGAATTGTGCCTCGACTTCCTCAAAAAAAATGTAGTGGCCCTCAATCTTTCTAAGGGTAAACAAAAATATTTATCACTTGATAATAGGAACTTATATTAAAATTTTATCGCCAACTAGATAAAGCCAAACTTATCAGAGACAATATTTATCGAATGTACCATGAGACGCAACTTTGGGGAGCCCGCCACACCTGAGGTGATTTTAAGGTTCTGTTTCTTTATTACTGATTATATAATACAATAACTTTCTTTTACAGCAGTAACAAGTGTAAAAGTACCTAACGAAATCGTGTTTCAATCTTCGTCTCAACTAAAGCTAAACTTTTGTCTTAAGTCAGCCGACAACTCCAAGCTAATCCTAACTTAAAGTAGCAGATCAATGAATTTTTATCAGAAATCTGATGTTTTTACTCGCGTTGTTGTAACCGTAAAGATATTAAACAAGTAGGCATTCTTGTAACTGGGTTTGGTAAGCTCTAAAATTACAAAAAAATTTAAACAAAAATAAAAATTTTTATTTTTCTATTGTTTATAAAAAAAATTGTTGTTCTTACCCTTAAATAGATTTGAATGATTAGCTTTAAATTTATAAAGATCTCGTAGATGAATGAATTGGATATGCATATCGGAAATATGCTTTGAATCAAAGACAGTTACAAGAATATCATTACTGCAAAAGTTAGGGGACATTTAAAAAATACTGAAAGTACATGTATCCATAAATTGTGATAATAATATTTTGTGATTACTTTATATAGACCTAAATATTTACGTGTACCGAAATTATGCAATGCAAATAGCTAAATATCGCAGTTTAAATTGTTAGAAATCAAGATCAATAACTATGCTATGTATGTTTAATATGTAAGAGATAATATTTCGCAATTGTTTAATACATTCAAATTAATAAAAGTCTAACCAAATTCAACACGTCCCACTAGTTTATCATATATGTGTTATAGTTATAAAAAGTTGAAATGGAATGGCCGACGTTTCTTTGGATATAACCATAAAACTGGCAACAGCCGAAAAGAAGGCAATGATTTTCAGCGAAATATCAGAGACAATCTGTTGGATTTGTATTTGATAAATTCGTAAATATTCGACAATTAAAACGCAATCAGAATTCTTATATTCTCAGTTTCTTTATTTAATTGATGCAACACAAGAACATTACTCGCTTAGCCTTTCTTTATTTGATTGTGTGAATGAAAACTTGTTTAAAATAAATAAAAATTTAGTTTCGCTTGTTAGTCGCATAAATGGCTGGAATTTCTTTGTTGCTGCGGTTGATGCCTTTAAAATTGCACTACATAGAGGTTCTTGAATACTTTCCAGTTTGAAAATGATGATCAACTTAGGTAGAAGTGTTTCGCTATCCACGATTTGCATACGTTTAACAGTTAAAATTTATTTAGTTAATTCTTTGTACAAATTGAACAAGCCTGGGCCGTGTGCAGAAAACAAAGAATTTTCGGGCATGTTTCAACATTTATAAATAAAAACTAAATACAACTGACAGAAAATAATGATCGTAATTACAAGAATTCATAATGAAATAATAAGATAAATATTAATAATAATAACCTATAGCAGTAGACAAGCTAAAAGCTATAACAACAATTACGTGTGTACGATTTGAACTTTAATTTCAAGATTTAAAACTGTTCTATTTTCAGATTAGGCCAGATGTTCAGAATTCAATTGACGGTCGGATCGCCCCCTTCACATAAATATGTACAATACACTTGAAAACCTAGGTTCGCCAGCTCTTCCCTTCATATAAATCGCTATATGTGTATATCTTTCACTTGTTTAGTTAGGTGGTTGGTAGTTGGTCTCCGACGATGTTGCCGTATTCTCGCCCCGTTTACGGCTAGTGTTTGTTGCTGCGATCACAAGTTGGCGACTTTTAACGGTTGGGACTTAGTCCACCAGAATCTGGAAGGTCACGGAACCCATGCGGTCGCGGGCACTGCCGCTGTAGCGGATGTTCTTGGCCCAGGCACGGCACTCCACGTCCAGCATTTGGCCCTTCGGCGGCGAGTTGAACTGCACGGCGACCAGGGGACTCAGGTAGCCCGGCTGGTTCAGATACGGGTAGTAGTAGGTGGGGAATCCCTGGCTGGGGAAGTAGCCGATGTTCTGGAAGTTCTCCTTGTCCTTGCTCAAGTGTCCGTTGCAGCTCACCCAGATTTGCTGGCGCTAAAGCACAGAAATCATTAATGTAATTCGTATTCTTGGACTTAAGTTAAGAACTAGATTGTACCTCCTCCGCCTTCGTCTCGTTGATCACCTTCTTCAGGTCGTCCGGCATGCCCGCCTGCGCCTCTTCGAACACCTGGGGCACCCAGCCATAGATCTTGTTCAGCTTGAGGAATATGCAGGGCTGGTTCGTCTTGTAGCCGTAGTTGTTGGCCCTCGAGCAGCCGCCAAAGAGATCCGTGTTGACCACGCACACATCGGTGTCGGGATTGCGTGCCTGGCCAAAGCTGCAGTGCTTCATCTGCCGACCCTCGGTGTGATTGTACTCTGCAAGTGGGTTACCTTTACAATACCAAGAAACCCTTAATTGAATAGTAGATAGCTTACCACGCAGGAAGTCGTCGATCAGCTCGATCCAGTAGTCGCTCTCGGCCGGCTTCTTGCCGTCGAAGGTGATCACCGATCCGCGCTCGGTCTGCTCGCTGAGGGGTCGGAATCCCAGGCCGGGATTGGTGCCGATCAGCGACTCGTGCAGCTTCCACTTGGGCTCTGTGTCGCTAACGGTGGCCAACAGGCCCTGCATGCAGATGGTGAACAAGGCGGCCAGCACAATGTAGAAAATCGTGTAGAACAGCAGCAGCTGACCTGCGGAAACACCAGAAAAATATGTGATTAGATGGTGTTTCTTATAGAAAGCTTATTGAAAGTGTTATTTAAAGAAATATATTAAAGCAATGCCAAACTTTAAATATTTTTTTTCTTGTATACCAATTTTAAAAAATACTTTTATTGAACATTTAAAGCCCTCTTAATAGGTTATAAGAATTCAACAAAATGTAACATTTTGTATTACTTTTTTTTTTTCGAAAATTCGTTAAAGGATTTGGAAATCGAACATAGTCTGCCATTCCCATCAATTAATAATTATATTAAATTTCACATTCTTTTTTTACTCCACCCGGGAGCTTAGAGCCTCTACAATTTCTTGTAGAGGATTTATTATCATTGATTTTCGATCGTACCGGTGATAAGCCAGTAGCGACTTATCCTAGCGGTGGGGTTGCCACCTGGCGCCATCTAGGAGTGACGAAAATTCTATTGTTGGGTCCATAGTAACGTGGACGAGGGGGTGTGCGGGTCCGGGGAGCCGAAATTTGTTACTAATGTTAAGTGAGCTATAGAGCATAGAAGTGGTGGAGATTTGGAAAAAGAGACCGTTTCTTTTTCTCGGGGAGCCTGGGGCTCGACTCGAACCCGGGCCTTCCGGACCGGAGGCCAGCGCTCTACCTGCTGGGCCACCGTCCCCCCAATATTATTAAATATTGCAGAATAATTTTGCAACAAGTTTGACGAAGTCAAATAAACAATTTAACTCTTACTTTAATCCTTCAAAAAAACAGTATTTTATTAAGTTAGAGCATGACCAAGATTGAAATTTGAAATCTACTTCGTGGCGTCGGTGAATTTTTGTGTTTTATTTTATTCCAACCATCCCAAAAACCTTTTGAGATTTCTGCGACATCCCAAAAGATAAGTCATTATAAATTGCTATGGTTTTATGTTTAGAGACCATAAATATTGTACCATATGCCACGTTTATTATAGCTCCTATAATGCAAATACGAGAGGATAGGACACTACTTTGGCAGTCTTTGCAACTACCTTTTGTGCCCCACATGATTACGATTTGATTGTTTTTTGTCATTTGCGAGAATGGGGGCCACTGCGAGAATGGCACTGCGGAACTGGATGAATGGGGCATCTGGAATGAATACGAGAATGGGGACGGGGCTTATGCAATCCAATCCGAACGGGCACGCAGCTAATCGAACGCTTACGACTAGTGGCAGTAAATAAGACCAGAAACAACAAACAGAATGCTGGGACTTGGGCGCGGGACCGGCGTTTTTCAGTATTTCAATGTCAATAACATTGACGACTCAGCTAGAATTCAGTGGGCTGTTCGTTACTTTCCCTGCGGCCACCGGACTGGGAACACCGGACATCGGCCAAGCCCCATGGCAATTGCATAAATAAGCGACGACCACATCGACAAACCGAAATTGACAGCGCAACCGAGAAAAAGCGACCGAATCGACGGCTGTCCAATGGAGCTCAAATTTCCAAACAAATTAATCGTATGAATGAATATCGAATACCGAGCACAATGCACGGCAGCCAGAGTACAGTAGGTGACAAAGGCGAAAGGAAATTACTCGATTCGAGGTTGATATTGACCTGCTGCCTTGGCGAAGTATTTTCCAAAAAGACCAACAAGCGGGCGATTAAGAACTACTTCGCACCAGCTAATCACAATTTTTTTCTATCCCACTTGAGTTCACATTAATTAAAAACACGGTTATCAAGTTTATTATTATCAAGTTTATTGTTATTATTACTTAAAACTGGTTCGATCAAGTTAGGTTCTTTATATTTAACTTTAAACATTAAATTCTAAAGTTACATTTTCGATTACCCACTTTTTTACGACTGTGTCATTAATTCCCTATTTTGTTTTGCGTGACTTGAGTTCAAATTAATTAATAGGACGGTTATCAAGTTTATTCCGTTTATGTACAAACAATTTTAAACCCTCGACACTAAATCTGGTTCGAGCAAGAAAATCATATTTGAGTTGACATTAATTAATAGTGCGGTTATCACATTAAAATTGTGACTTTAATATTTTAATCAGTTTTTTATATTTAACTCCCAAGCATTTAATTACTTACTAATTGTCTTTCACCTTATTTACTTGATTAATAACTAGTTTGATCCAGTCCCGGTAAATCACAATTGATTTAATGAATTGTAATCAATTTATGTTTTTGTACAATTAATTAGTCAGTTGGTAGTGAGTTGTGCTTCCCTCGCCTACTGATAACTCAACTTTTTAATTGCACGACAGAAGAGTTTTGAATTTCTTCATTATCAGATTATTTAACAAATACAAATTCACATGGCTTTGGGGTTCAATATTCTACTTCATAAGGGCAAAAGACAAAATCTGGTATCGACCAGTTCTCCGCGTTCTATGACAGAAGCTATCAATTGGTAATCGATGGCCTTTGCCGTCGGTTGGTAACGACTTTTCCATATTTGAGTTTTCAGCTGCTCATCAAAGTTTCAGAGTGCGCCAAATGGCTCGCCAGCTTGTTGCCAAGTCCGAATGGGAAATAATTGCGTTCAAGTACAAGGAAACAAGTTTGGCAATGGCCAGCCATAGACAAATACTGGGGCAGACAGCCGCACTGCTGGTGTGACGCCAGTCATTCGTCGCACCTCCCAACCACCCAACCACTGAACCCCTGACCACCCAACGCGACTGCCCATTTCCATTTCCAATTCCAATCCCAATCGCCGCCTGGCAAGGTGGGACGACGCGACGGCCTGTGGCGCTGACTACCAATATCCGATGTGTAAGGAATTCTGGTCTACACGCTTACGATTACATGACGGCAGAGTCCCCAAACATTCTTATGTCTTCGCCGAATGAGGCATTACAAAAACTCGCCAAGGGAGGGACCGCCATTGCCTTTCCCACTGAAATCGATAAGTCTGCGCGACTTCAATGGACATAAAGTATATAAAGCGGCCACTTACACATGTCTCTCGCAGACCAAGTCCTTTCAACTATGCAGTAAATGAATTTGAAATCGTGATTATATTTATTACATTTGATTTTTTCATGCCCCACAGGGTTTTGCTGCATTAGTGGCGACATCATAAAAACGTGGTTTCTCGTAATTTGATTTTTATTACTAAGTAAAAACTTGATGGTGATGACAATGACACCATAAAAAAGAGATAAGTAAAAAAGAAGAGATCCTAAAAGGAAAATTTCAAACGGAGAAGTGTACCGAATGATTTTCGTTTAGATTTATATGCAAAATCATAAGCATTTTTTGCTTTAGGCATTTTGTGAAAATTTAATTAAAAATACTTGTGTTCCGATCCAATTTTGTTGGCAGATGAGTTTTGACATTTTGGCATTTGCTTGATCTGAAATGTGTTTCTCTTTTTGGGATATATAAACACATAAAAGCGATCGGAAAATAAAATTGAGATCAGGCACATTTATAGACAAATGAGGGTCTGGCATTCAAGTAAATCAGCTAGCCTGGTAAAATGAGCAAAACACAATACTTTTCAGGCCAGAAACACTTTTATCCCAAAGGACGAGTGACTGAGAATCCCCTTGTTCCAGCTCAAAACTTATCCAACCCTTACATAAAACTCAAACAAGATGTCGGCGGGAGGTATCAAGTTCGTGCATAAAAGTAAATGCGGCTCATGAAGAAAACTTTACTTATATGGCCTGCCACTCACACTCGGACGTTTGGTTGCACAATGTCGAGGAGGTGGAGTGGTGCAACTCGGTGACCAAGTTTTTATAATAGTGCTGGAGAGTCGTCGAGAGGACGAGGGCTTCGCTTATCCGTGTCCGTTCGTCCGTCCGCCGGTGCGGTAAACAAACTTAAAGGACCCGTGACCCACATAAAAAGCACCACTCCCAGTTCTAGTTCCAATGCCAATCCCCAACCCCATTCCCATCCCCATCCCCATCCCCGGAAAACCCAACCCAAAAGTGCTGGAAACGGGAGTCGGTTTGCATGACCAACGATTGATAACCTCGCTGCGTTCTAGTCGCCGTCCAAGTAAAAACCGCCAAGGCCGACGAAACTTAATAATTTAGTTACGTGTTGGACGCACATATGGCCAGAATCCAGGACACCACTAAAAACCGCTCGCCAAGTGGCTTCATTTGCACATTTGAGCGGTTGGCCGCGTAGTTGTGGGAAATCGGTTAACGGCAGGCACATGTGCAACCACCACTCATTTGTGTAATGAGTTAGTTACCATTTTAGTTCGGAAATGTCCCACGATCATGAACAAAAATAAAACGACCCAGGAGATTTGTAAAAATATCCTTGACCAAAGTTCAAAGTAAAAGTAGCTAAGCGAAGAATATAAAAATATACCTTTAATAAATGGAACTGTTAATCAAACGTAAAGGTTTTATTTATCGAAAATAAAATAAATATTAAATCAGAACAGAAAAACAAGTTTGTAAAAACTCTATCCAGGGGAATCTGCTTTTATTAAAAGTTTATTTGTCCAATAACATGTATCTCTGTTTTTTAATAACAAAAACAAATTTAAAAAAAACAAATCCTATTAGTTTTTAAAGAATATTTTCTTCAATATGTTTTTTAATAAGTATTTTATCATTTAGATTATCGTTTGCAATATAGTTTTTCTAACTGTGGATGGCTTAAATTTTTCGGGGCAAACTATTTTTTAAGGTGTACTTGGGCAGGGGTGGCTAAACGGAACTGGAGGAAAGCAACAATTATGACGCCATCGAGGCGAAAGTTTCAGCCAAGGAGAGACGTAAAGAAAGAATGAAATAAGAACAAGGATGCAACTTGTTGGTGTCTGTCATCATTATATTATACTCATTACCCCAGGACCACATCCAGCCAGATTGAGTGGGTCACGTCACCTCCCGTCCCGTTTTGTCCCTTTTCGTCCTGTTTCGTCCTGGTTCCCCCTCCCCCCTTTACCAGTAAGCCGTCCTGAATGAGAGCGACGTCCGTCTTGGTGGCGCCGCTTTATTTGTTGCCGTTCGCCGCACCCTTTGTCCATGCGTCACCACCACAGAAACAGAAACACACGCTCACACACACACAGGCACACACTGTAGCACACAAACACACCCAGGATCCTTTGGCCATCTTTCTTTAGCCTTCTGTGTGCTTAGGGCCTATAGCATACTTTGCGGCATTTTAAGTGAATTAATTTCACATGTTAACGAGCGGGTATGCCCCGATTGCCACGCCCACGGCAAACATTGCAAACGTTTAGTTTGCTGATTATTTCTCAACAATAATGCGGGTGGGTCGGGTTTTCCCCATTAGTCCAACATTTCGTTTTTTATCCGGTTTTAGCCTAATTGGAACAGCCGAATTATTCAAAGTCTGAAAAACTTAACAATTTAAATTGATTACCAGGAAATTTTAAATAATTGTGTTTTGTTTGAACATTTTATGTTATAGCTTTGAGAAATGTTTCCCCAAGGCTTTCAACAATACGATTAAATTTTAAAAAATATGTAGCTATGAATAATTCATTAAGAATTTGAATAAGGAATTCCTTTACTCTTGCAAAAACTATATGTAGATAGACAAAAAGAAAAATAAAGAACTTTCGAAACAAAAGATTAAATTGAATTCAATTAGTTTTTTGTTTGTGATAAATTTTGTTCGAAATTAGCTTAAGCAAATTAGGCTAGTTTCCTGCGCTTTAATTGAATTGTGTATTTTATCGTAGACTTTGTCGCTATCGTGACAATTAGTTAGCAGCATGTCAATGTAAGCAGACTGAGGGGCGTGGCGGGGGCGATTAATGGGAAATCAGATGTAGCTGGGGAAATGCGGTTCTAGCCGGTTTGAGCCAGATTTAGAAACTGGCTAGGGCAGTGATTTCTATGTCATTCCTGTTGCACTGCGGTTGCATCGATCTTTAATCAGTCACATTACTTTTGCCTATTAATTAATTAATATGCACAAAAAGAAAAGATTTGACAGTACATATTTTAATTTTAATTTCACAATGAACCAAAGGTAAAAAATCAAAAAGTATGTTTAAGCTTTTGTAATAATTTGGTTAAATTTTTTTCTGTGCTTCGGAGAATTAAAATGTGTAACAAAGCGAAAGCATTTCCAAAAACAAAAAAGAAACATAAACCCGCTGAACCGGTTCTCCCAGAAAAATCATCTCCACCTAAAAAAACAACCGACACGAATCTAAACAAGTTCTCATTGCGTTAATTAATGGAAATCAAAGCTTAGCCATCCAACAAAAACCTTCGCTTCAAATCCGCATTAAGTCTAATTTTCTCGGCGGATCGTAAATCAAATTGATATATTTCGATCTTTTCGGCTTTTGTTTGCCATTGAACAGCTTTTTTGCCTTTCGCCTAAGGGAATTTAGCTTCGTTTTACTCTGCCACACTGCTTGACACCTGGAGTTGGAGCCATTAAATTTTCCCTTTAATGCCCTGCACACGTCTAAAATTGCCGGGCAATAAGCAGCAAAAAACCGAAGGACATGCACCACGAACTGGATTTAATGATAGGAATTAGCTGGGGGCGAGCCCAACAGCTTATCCTGTGCAAAGAGTGTCCAACAAATATTTTTGTATTAAATAGTCAAACCAACATCTGCTGTTCGGGACAGGTGTGTCAATAGAGGGTTAATTTCTTTGGGGCTAGGCACCCATGACAAGAGAATTAGTAAGTTCATTTGGAAATAGAATAAAAAGTTATTAGAGCTTTGCGGGGGTGCTTTATTTTGCAAATAAATCATACATCAATTTAAATATTTCGATGATTAACTTGCATTGAAGTCGGTCGACCTAATTAAAAGCAAACAATTGACGTCAAGGGAACTTTTCAGCGGGTTTCCGATAAGATTTTCTGAACATGTGAGTGACGGTGTCCACTTACTATGAGTAGGTACATATGTGCTCCATTTACCCAGAGAAATGCACAGAAAATTCAGGAATTCTAGAGTTTCTTTTCGTTCGCATTACAATCGGAAGCTTTCAGAAATATTGGTATCGTGAGAGCGTGAAATTTTTGCTCTGTCTCTCTGCTCAAAACCTTGAATTTGTTTACAGAACCCATTATAAAAAGGCAAATATTATAGGCGATAAAAGCGATCTTCTCAACACCCTGCCTTCTCACGATTCCCCGTTCCCCTTCTTGCGAACGTGTGTCCGTGTTCATTTTCGAACATCAAGAATGCCCATTATCTCTGAAATATGCTTCGCTATGCTTTGTGGGCAGCGAAAATTGGGGATCGGCGAAATAATTAAGAAAGGCAATTAAATAAAGAAATAAACAAACGAGTGAAGCAAATTTGCATTTGTTTAATTTCAGAAGTTAGGTAAGGGCTTCTACTCGGCTCTTCTAAGATTATTTTTACTTAGTACAAATCACGTTGCCTTCACTTGCTTTAGGTGAATATTCTCGTAAAGTTAACATTATTCTTAATGACTGTTATAAAGAATCCCCTTTATCAAGTTGTCTGTTAATGTTTTTATCTGCTTTATGGCGTTGACTAAACATTTTCGAGCAAGGAAGATTTTGCCCGCAGCTTCCCCACCTCATCTCCATTTCCACAATATGAGTCGCCAAATGAACTGATAAGCAGTATTAACAATCACACGCTCTTAATTTATACATACATACATATAGTAACCCTAACCAAATGACGGACATGTGGCTGGTTATATACAATAATTATATTTTTGTTTCTATGTACAGAGCGAGTAAAAAGCAGATATATCATCCGGTTTTACGGTCAGTTTTTTGTGCAGATTAGCTTTAGAATGCTCGATTTTGAGTCATTGCTTGGAAAGTCGGAGTCCCAATATTTGGACTTTTTATAAAATTGATTCATCCAATAAATGTTTGAAAAAGGAATTCTTTAAAAGTTGAGTTCTTAAAAATGTAGCATATTTAGAAACTTTTGTTATTAGGTACCTAAATGAACTTGTTACTAAAACTTTTTCGATTTTATTAACCAATTTTAAATTTTAACTTATTTAATCGGGCCTACCAAACTCTTGGCACATTTCAAAAACCGACAATAAATTTTTTTAAAGGACTTAAAATATGTTTTGTTACACATCAATTTCTTATAAATTTTAAGGTATCCAAGTCTGAACGCTCAAATTTGAAATGCTTTTATCTTTATAAAGGTTTACACTTTTTTTATTCCCATTCCGATTCACTTACTCCAATTTTTTCCGGTGCGACCGAAAAAGGTTCCATCCTGGGGATCGTAGATCATCTGCGAGAAGGTTTGCTTCTTTGCTGGTTGGGGGAATTCAAATTCGCCTTTGCCGCCCTTTCCGTTATTCTTTGACATTTTGGAGCGGTTCCTTCACACTTGTGTACGGTTACGATTTTAGTTCTCGACTCGATTCGATTCGAAAATTTGGTTAATATTTTTCGTTGATGACGTGGACAGCACCAAGGCTATGAAAACTGATTTATGTATACGTAGTGCTGTGTATATGCGATGATTCAGCAGGCTCGGAACCAAATTCTCTTTTATTTTTCGCACTCGCAGCACTCTGAATATATTTTGAAAAACTTGTAATTATGCAATTATTTGCGGTTCGAATACGCGGATTGTTTCAGGGTCGTAAGGCGAGTTAGAAACGTGTTAGGCCGCGGAAGAAGCCAGAACCGAAGCACACACAAAATGGGCTGGGAGATACGAGAAGTTGTTGCCAACTCTTGGTCCCTGCTTCCTTTGAAAGGCGAAAGGCAATGCGTGCTGCGTGTTGCTTGCTGCGCTCTCAGCGAAAGATCACCAACTAACCGAACGCAGCGAAAGCAAAGCGAAAAACGGAAAACAACGCCAGTGTTCTTCGCCCCTCAACACTCACACAGACACACCACGCGCTGCTCTCTGTGGCGCTCCCTCTCCGCCTCGCGTTTCCCCAACGAAAGCTCCAAGATAAGAGTGCTGCTGCACAGAGAGAAGTTGGGGATAGCAGGTGAACGTACGATATAAAGGTAAGACATAAATATTAATTAACACAACGGTTATGAGTCTGAAAAGGTTTGAGTGGTTCTGAAAATTATTTAGTGACAAACAAACAGCTCCACTTTCTGTAAATTATAAATCAATGTGAAAAATATGTGTACTATTCTATTATTTACCAATTAATGTATACTCCTAAATATGTCCTAATTGGCATTCACTTAATAAGTTAACCAAATGTTGTTACTAACTTGTTAGTATGACTAAAACTTATGTGGCATATAAATTGGATGTTATACAAACATTGCAGATTGCAATGCTTAAAAGTGTCCTGACAACCACTTGTTCTTACAGAACTTAAGGGAGTCGAAAGAAAGAAACAAATAAAACTTGCCTTATTTTGCCTTTTACTTTACAGTGTTTCAAAAAGATTTAAATATTTGTTGGGTACAATTTTATACAAAATGTACAACAGCATGTGTATGATTATTCAGTTGTGGAATGAAGGGCTGCATATAACTCAGTGGCGTTTTCTCACAGTGTGACGCTGACAGCTGTTGAACGTATTCGACACTGCCAAGCAACATGAAAAAGGCCAAAGCAGAATCTTGTGGGCAGGGGGGGCGGTCGGTGTTTGGCCAAGGTGTGTGTGTGAGTTTGTGGTTTCGTGTGTTTCTTACCTTGTTTCGCTCTCCCGCTCTTTGCTGACTACGCAAATAGAATAAATGATTGAGTGCAGACAGCGGCCAGACAACAACACACCCGAGGGTGGTTGATTGGGCCAAGCAGTTTCTGCCAGTGCATCTAAAAGCTTGGCATTGAAAACCAGTGGGCCCCACTCATCCCTCGAAGAGTGCAATGCGCCCCTGTCTTATAAATATTAAAAATACAAGGCGCAAAGAAAATCAAACGCTCACTAGTACACGTCTCTTACGTTCTCCCGCTCTCCCAATCTCCCACTCTCTTGCCCTCCCTGTCTGTCGCACTGACATGCGCCCAGAGTTGAGTACGTTGGCTCCACTTCACTCCACCCCCGCTCCGCCACCCACTGCTCACCCCCCACCACTGTTACGCTCATTATGCTCGCGTGTTTTTGTCCGTTTTACTCCCCAACACTCGCTTTGTTTTGCTTTTCCGCGCTCTCCCAAACGGTTGGATCAGTTTTTTGGCTGCTCTGCGCTTCGGAAATTTCCACGAGGAAAACGGGAAAACTTTCTTTGTTATTGTTCGTCAATTATTATTCGTCATCATCAGCATCTGGATAATGCTAATTCTGCACTGAAAAAATTGGTTTGCAAACATGCAATCTAATAAGCACTTAAACATTATTTAAATTTCTCTGGCAACTGCATGTTTAAATGCAATAAATGTATTCATTATTTATTCAGTGGAAGAACTCTTTTTATAGTATTTTAAATTAAGTTTTTTGTGAATAGTACTTATTTGAGAACAATAATTATAAAACAATTTTTTTATATTTCGAATTAAACACTTTTATTGTAATCAGTAACAAAAAGAACTTTAAAAGACGAACTTTTTATCGAGTGTATGAACCCTTGTCAAGTGTCAAGAACTTTCGAGTTGATTAATCCCCATAAATGTGCACTTCCTCCTGCATGGCAACCCCCCTTGCACCAGCCGACTCCCCCAACAATGGGTTGCCATTGCCAATTTTCCTCTTCTTGGACAGATGTTGCTGATTATGGGCACATTGATGCATGGATAAATGGTCACGGTGTTATGTCTACGTACGTATCTCGGTGCTTCACTGCTGTAATCTTCATAAGTTGATTAAATTACACTTGACAACGGCAGAGTACATTATGTCGACGACTCAATTGTAAGGCGCAATTCCAGCATCTGAGTTTATTGGGTTCTCAGACGAGTGGCGTTTATGGAAGCGGGAGTTACGGGGAGCCGGTAATCATTAGCCGCTGATAAGGGTATCTACTGGGATATCTTGGGATTCTAAAATTGCGAACGCTTACAACTAAAAAATGAGTTATATTTGCCAACACTTATCTTTTTAATGAAGAATTTGACACATCTGTAGCTTCAGAACTTCGTCGGTTGGATTTGACCGGTTATATCCGAACAATAGTTTCCAATGAAAGATGCTGCCTTGTTAAACCTCCAGTTCTGTTCAATTTTAACTCCAAGTTGAGCAAATGTAATTACATAAGACCAACCTACGTTTTCCTCTCCGGAGAATATCTTCGGCCAACCAGTTTATCCTGGTCCAAACCGATTTTCCAGCGACTCCTGTGTGCGTGAGCGTGTCGATCTTCCAATCTCGAAGAGCTTCCTCATTAGAGATGTGCTTTGATTTTTTTATTTAGCGAAAGATTTGAGCAGTTGTGTATTTGGTTAAGGTTCTGACGACAGTGGACCGTCATTCGGATAATTAGCTCTCAATTAGCGGATAAACGTTGTTATGCACATATGCACTAGGTTGATGGGATAGATACAAGTGTAAATCGGCTTAATTACTCTGGACATACGAACCAACACAAAGAATGCAACAAATGTTTGAACATAAAGATTAAAAATTAAAAATAGGAAGTATAAAAAGAAAATTCGTTTAAATCTTTTTTTTAATGTTGCATTGTTTTTATGGAGTGAATTACTTATATAGTTCTACATTAGTTGTAATATAATTATAAAAAGTTTATAAATAGGTAAAAAAAAGGATGTAGTTCATACTAATTAAGTTTCAAAAAGTTTAATATTAAGTTTCAAAAACAATTCCGCTTCCTTTAAATCAAAATGCAATACATCCGTCGGCAATTATTAAATCCAAATATTGGTATAATTAGTTGTAGGACATTTGTTGTAATATGTATTATTATAAAAAGTTTATGAAAAGTTTAAAAATGATTTTATACTTTTCTTTTTTTAATCAATATTTAGTTTCAAAAAAAGAATTCCACTTTGTTAAAAATAAAAAGCTATATATCTGTCGGCGAATATCAAATTCAAATATTTATTTTACATAAGAGAATGTTGGAAACTGAAATCACATTTTAGATTTTTACGTTGTATGAGTAATATTTCCTAATACAAATGTGCACATATAGATATTCTATTAAAATTAAAAATTTGTGTTCGCCTTTCAGTAGAGAAAATAAAAACGTGTTGAAAAGATATTGAACCCAGCGAAGAGGTTTTCACTTTGGGCAATCAATTTTTTCCACAAGTGATAATCGCGTATGCTAGTGTATACTTTTCGCCCGGCAATTTAAAAATAAACAAATAATCAAAAAGCAAACACCAGAGCTACGTTAATAATTTTAAATGACGCAATTGGCCGACTTCTTTGGGCTGATAAAAAATGTTCTTGCCGTCTACACACATGATTGAATATATTAATATGAAAGCCTATCGATCTGGCTTTAGTTTATAATCAGTTAGCGGATGACCACTGCCAGGTGACGGCCGAGATTTCCGAGATATCATTGTTATCATTATCTTATCGCAACAAGGTAACGCCAACGTTTACGTAAATCCCAAAGTATGTCATACGCCCATCTAAAAATTTTTCTGTAGAAACCTAAAGATTCTTATGCCAACGAAGGAGATATTGCTCTAAGTCGAATTAAATAAAACAGTTTGCATTTATGACTACTTTCTTTTTATTTTTATTGAAAAAGATTTGAAAGTGATTCGCGTCTGCAGCCCGCTTCAATTTAAATATTAATCTTAATTTTCTCTCGCAATTGGTATTTTAAAATCTTACAAAATAACCGATATTCTGGTTTCCAGGGGTTATTTTTGCTGTTGAGCAAATATGATGTTTAGAGTTTTAACTTCTGACTAAGTTGTTCATAAATATATTTTATTTTGAATCTAGCTGTAAAGAGTAAATGTGTTATTTATTGGTTGACAAAATTGGTCTGTTTTGGTTACATTTATGGCAGACTCAAAAATGAAATCTTTAAATTTTCTTTATAAATTTGTATATCTAAGGATTCGTTTGTTGATTTACTGGAAATGGCAGTTTGGATTAGTTACTGTAAATTTGTTGCATTTTCTTGATTTAGTGGTCAGCGCTTAATGAGATTCAGGCTTGGCTATAAGAATCCCTTTCGTGGATCTCCCATTTTGGTGTTCAGTTGTATATCTAGTGTGTAACTTTCATCGTAAAGTGCATACAAAATTGTTGGATTTTAAATTTGTATATTATAGGCAATGCAAGTCTTGATTAAAATTTGTATGTTTAATAACTTGGAAAATAATACAACTAAACAATTTTGGATGTTAATTACAATCGGAATAATGGACCTTTCACTATTTTACTACAACAAACATGTGGTGGATTGCCTCTGGTGGATTGTCCTCACCCCTCTGCTTCCGAAAATCTTGTTCATCGGAGATTCTTCTGTTTTACATTATTAAATAGGTTTAAATTTGAAACACATTAATCGATGAGTAGCTCATAGTGAACCGAACCGATCCTCTCCTTGCGATCGTGAATGATGTTGCGGGCCCAAGCCTTGCACTCTACGTTGATGATGATTCCGCCTGGAATTACACAGAATTGGTTAAGACAGATACTCCAGATTGGAAGGATTTAAGGAGCACTCACGTTTTGGGCGCTGGAAGTGCACGGCCACCAGGGGACTCAAGTAGCCCTCGGAGTTCTGGTAGGGGTAGAAGTAGCCGGGGAAGCCCCTGATTGGCAGGTAATTGACTGCTCCAATGTTTTCCTGGTCAGCTGGATTCTCGCCCTCGCACGATACCCAAATGGTGTTTAACTGAAGTAAAGATATAAAACTTAGCGTTAGTCTGGATCTTAAGTATCTGAATGCTCCACTTACTTTGTGTGGCTGGGTCTTCTCGACTTCGCCGATGTAGGTCTTCAAACTGGCAGGCATCGATTCGGGCAAGTCGCGGGAATCGTTGTAGTACTCTGGAATCCAGCCGTAGATCTTGTTCAGCTTCAGGAAGATGCACGGCGCGCTCTTGTGGTAGCTGTAGTTGTTCTCCTTGGTGCAGGGAGACCACGACTTGATGTCCACGTCGCACACCTGACCCCTCGGCGGCGGCTGGTTGTAGTCGCAGTTGTAGATGTTCTGGCCGCGACCGGGAGTCAGTCCGGGTACTTTATATACTGTGGGGGTAACACATTCAATTAGTAAAATTGTCAACTTCTATTCAAGAGTATATCAGATATCATAGAGTTATTAACCGATAATCCAAATTATACATAGGTTATTAAAATAACCTTACAACAAAATATATATGCAGACAATATTCTTAGTAAAAGATAATACTAATTACTCTAGATTTGCCTTAATCCAAGATTATTAAATGACCAGTTAGAAATATTGTGCTATTTTGTTCAAATTCTACTGAAAGCTTAACAATTTTAATAAAATTTGAGAATTTTACATTTCTTGAAAACAATCTATGGCAAATTGAATTATTTTGAATTTGGAAAAGCTACCCTTATAAATGAATAACGTTTTTGCAGATTGGATATGCAGAAACTATTCTAAGTAAAAGAAAATGCTATTTGCTGAATGTTGTTATTAATTCAAGATTATTGAATGACCAGTTAACAAAATTCTACTGAAAGATTTACAATTTAATTTAAAATTGATTTCAAATTAATAAAATTCTCTTGTAGACCAGGAATTTTCTAGAATTAATAATTTCACCTACAAATAAGAAACCTTAACAAAACAATTTGCTCGAAAATTTGCTCAAAATGGAATTATTTTGAATTTGAAAAAGTGAGTTACCCCTATGAATTTATAACGTTTTTTCAGATTGGGTAATTCAAAAACATGACTAATCTCCGATTTATGGAATTCTAGAAAACAATTGATATGCATACTCTAGAAAATAGAATTTTTGGTTATCGGCTATCCGACCCTCAGTTACTCACCCGCAAGGAAATCATCGAGCGAGTCTGTCCAGTGTTTGTAGTTCTCGTGCTGAGTGCCCTTGTACCAGATCAAAGTACTTTCCACGTTGTCAACTGGTGGCAAGGGGCGGAATCCCAAACCTAGAATCACAAACTGTTAGATACAAGTTCTACGAGAAATATCTTGGGAGACTCACCTGGATTTGTGCCAATCAGGGAGCGGTCGAGGGTCCATTTGGGGATGCGGGGATCGAGGGTCTGGAAGAAGGCCCACATGCAGATGGCCACCAAAGCGGCGAGGACTCCGTAGAAGGCCACATAGAAGATTCCAATTTTCGCTGCAATTGGGGGATGAGAATAGGAAATGCTGATTGAATTACACCGATTAAAGCCATGCCTAACAGCGATCTCTAGTCAATTGGAGCGATTGAATTAATTAATTGCCAGTGGCCCCCGAGTCAACATGGGTTAAACCGATAATTGACGCCAGCCGGCGAGAGTGAGCTATATAAACAAATGGGAAGCCACCCCACACCGAAGTGCTTCTCAAGTTCGGAGTAGACGGAAAACTGACGCCGAGCTTCTCCACTGAATCACCATCCAGACATTCGTACAATTCTACATATTCCACATCGAGACGCTCTTACGGTTCCGAAGAGAATGGCTTAATGAGTCGCTTCCACTCAAGAGCCCATGGGTGTGTGCGTTTAAAGATCGCTCTTGCCTCTCAGGTACTCGCACTTCCCATCTGACATAACCTCAATCGGCCTCGGAAGTTGGTCCAGAAAGAGCGTTATCGGCCAAGAGAGAATCTATCTGGCTGAAGTCGGGTCAATTGGACACGCTATGTGCAACTCGGCTAACATTTTCCCTTTCCGATTTACAGGTGTGATTTCTTAGAACTCTCAATATGCTATGACTTATAAAATTATACAGTGTTCATAAATTGATTTTCTACCTTCTATTGTTACTAAGGTATAATACAGATAATTTAATTACATATCAGAAGAAATACCGAAGGGTTAATTGAATATCAAAAGCAAATATCAACTACAATTTTTGTTTTGAACTACTGTTATACATGAATTTAATAAATACCCCATATGAATTTTTTTTCTATTTTGACTATAGTTTGTTTTAAGTCTTTTTCTGTACTTCTTTAATTTATTTAAGCCCAAATAAATAATTCAAAATAAATAAATACGGATTCTTTGGTGCAGCTATTTTGACCACCAATATGTGTACCCATCTTGTTCTGTGCCAATTTCTGGCCAATGCAAATAGTACATATTTCCATTTTCATATATTTTCAGCTCTGCGTTTCCCCATTTCAGCATAATTGCATTGTGCACTTGACTATATTTAGACGGGGCCTTGGGCTTGCCAACTTTTAAATGCCAATATTGGCGTGCCGAGGAAAACCTTTCCCGTGCAATTGATGATAAACGCTGCAGCGGACAGCTTAACTAGCGGTAATTGAAGGCGAACAAAAATAAGATGCCACATTTCCCCACCCTAATTTGTCCCCATTTTCGAGCATCGTTACATGCAGATGTTAATTTGCTCGTCGTCTCCAAACCGCCGCTCGACTTTTTTACGAATTAGTGCAACTCTCGACACTTCAGGCGGTCTAATGGGCGAAACTTTCGCAGTGCCATGTTATTAAAATATATTCCCGAACCCGGCTCGAACTGGTGACAGAGAAATATAGCTTGTGGGCCTGATTTACAGCAGGCATATGCCAGAAAAACAAAAATTTATGACAGACTGCAATAAACACTGCAATAAACTTACCCCATGACGAACGATCCCGGCCCATAACCGTTCCATCCTCGGTGTTATATAAAAACTGGGCCAAGTTGAACGGCTTGGGCTTCCTCAGGTTGTGCAGATCCTCGTCCGTGAAGGACGGGCTCATTGGAACGGGCTTGGACATGTTTTATCGGTGGGTTTTCTTGCAACTAAGGCCTGTTCAGAGATCGGTTTTGAGTATCACATGGAATTTTTGACCAAAAATCGTTATACGTGGTTTGAAAAATTCAGTTTACACGTACAACATGTTATACATATATTTTACAATTTAAATTCCAACGTAGAAATCTGTTTTCCTTGTAAAAATTAAAATATATATATGCCACTTTTATATTGCACTTTATCCGGGGGAGAACTCGCTAGTAATTTCGTTCTAATTGCATATCGATTTAATATTTTTCAAGTTTAAAATTATAAAACCTGCGATTAGATCAATTAAATTTTTCCGTAGAACATATTATATTTCCATGTGAAACTGGAATTTATTAAACTGAAATTGTTAAACGTTGAAATTTGCAAATTTAATTTTTAATTTTTTTAAATCGTATATTCCTTTCGACTATAATTCCATGTGACACTTTGTAACTGAACTATGAACGTGATTTGTGCCAGCAAAAACTCGAAAATACTTGCTGCACTGCCACCGAGTTGTGCAGATGTACACAAATAGTATTTGCGGCACGTTCATTGACACACACTTTTTATTTAACTTGGTTTTATTTTATGGTCCTTTGCTCTCTTAAGTTCTCTTTAACTCTCACTCGCCGCCCGCCGTTTCAACCCCCTTGTCGAGCAGGAAATTTGGCGCCTTTTTTGGCTCTCCTTTCCGAAGCGAATGGCTAGCACGAATATTGCATCCGCGAGATACAACCTGCAACTGGTAGCACCGAAATGGCCCCAAATGGGCCAAGATGGGTTGAAACGGGGCCAGATGGCCGGCGACACAGTTGTAGTATTTCCGCGTCTGCGGTGCTTTCAATGCCACTTTGGCTTTGACCCGGCAATGGCAAACAGGCGAAAAGAAAAGTATCTTTCTTGGTTCTTATTTAAGCACAATTCAAACGCATTTCTTTTTTTCTTCGTTTCGAAACCACCACAACAAACCGTTTTTGCTCTTTCGAAACTAAAGCGAGTTTGACGTCTCTTAGCTGGCGCTCTTAACGCTCGGCCACATACAAACAACCACACCTTTTTGAAGAAATATCTTAGCGTTCTTCAAGACTCTGCTTGGAATAATATATTTTTTTTTGTGTTTCGTATATTCACTATAGTGTAACTGCCTAACGGGATTATTAACTAATTTTAAGGACCCTTTTTATGGCTTCCTCTGAGGAAAGCGGGGGAAACTCCAGTTTACGGACCACAAACTCTATTTAATTTGCTGTTTGCAAGCGAGTCGCGTTTCGACCACGTTACGAGTTCTCCGTGACACGTTTGGTCGCCGCTCAAAACAAATTTCAGACTAAAACCCGAATCTGCTGCCCGTCGATATGCAGCCAAACAACAGACTTGGCTTGAGTCTGTTTGGCGTGGTTCGGAGAAAACTCTGCTCCGCTTGCCTCTCTCTCTCGAGCCGAGTTTGTTTTGAGTGCAACGCGCTTTTGGCAGCGCTTCTCCGCCGAGTGGAATCTGCGCGGATCTGGGATCGGTCGGGTTTTCCGGGCCGAGATTGGGTTGCGGCTAATTGCCGTGGAAACGCTGCCTCCCCGTGCACTCGTTTTAATTAGACTCTGCCGCCGATTGTCGATGCCACTGCAGCGCACTTAGTGCAAATTACCCGCGGTTCGATTCCGGACCCAGGGCCACACCGAGAGAAAAGTCTAGCAAGCAACTTCTTCAAGTCCTAATCGTCGTATTTAATTAAAGTTTATGCATAATGAGTATGGTGTAATATAGTAGCATTAAACTATAAGCTTTACGTTGTGAAGTGAAATATATTTAGAATTATTTAAATATTAATTGAAATCTAAATACTACACCAAATATCAATGTTTTAACAAATATTAAATTGTATGTACATATGTTAATAAAATTTTGCTGTTAATAAAACCCACTAAAAAACTTCAAAGGGATGCTGTACAAAAGAAATGGCCTAGTTTATTATTGCTGTCACGCAAAGTTAGCATTCAAGAGATTCTGAGCAAAGAACTGGTTAAAACGAGGCCACAGGACATTAGGAAAGTGAGCCAAACAGAGAGTTGCTATACATACACACACAAGGGTGGGTTTCACACCACAGCTCTCCGTTCCCGCTCCTCTTGCTTACTGCTCCGAAGAAGTTGTATTCAAGGGAATCTAGTAGCGTGAGTACACTTGAGGACAACGAAATAGGACGCGAAGCGTCAACAATATTAAACGAACCAAAAGCTACTACAGATTAGTTAAGCTGTAATTTCCCTCGCCCAAGTGGTCAGACCACTCACCGACTGAAAATTACGTCCGTTTTAGGACCTACTTTCAAAAAATATCACAAAGGAAATCAAAATTAAAAATAAGAAAAATACGTTTCCGTATATAATTTTTTTTATTTTATATACTAAATGCTATTTAAGTTAGTATGATTTGGGTATACACTTTTTTGTGAAATACCTCACAGTCAAAGTAAAAAGTGAACAATTTGACTTAACAACCATCATTGTTAATAACAAATGAGCTGTGCAACATAAAAAAAATATCTGTACTTAAGTAAATCGGATGGAATGTTTGCTTAATGCAATATTATAACTTACTTAATAATATAATTAAATTAATTTGTATACTAAGGCATCTTAAAGAATAGAGGGCCCAATAAGCGATGCTGTTCCACGACGTTATATCCCTTAACAATAGACGCGTCCTCTAATATGAATTTGAGAACGAATTTTAATTTTTCATCCTAACGCCACCAGGCAGTGGAACACATTTTCAATTTTTAGATTAAAAGTTATAATTAAGAATTTTGAGAACAGACTTCCGTCATTAAATGTGGTTACAAACTACAATATGCTCATTGTCTTCGAATAAAAGTAATAGTTGCTTATTTCTTTTTACTGTTACGCACTCGGATGAAACCCCTAACCAAAACCTAAACTTAAATGAAATATCATGAAGTTTGTAGAAAATAAAAATACATATAAGGTTCCACTAAATAGATCGTTTTAAGGTATATACCAGAATGAAAAATTACAAAACAATATGTACTGAAGTGTGCTAGAAAAAAGCTGTAAGCACTGAAAAAACTTCATGAAATTACATCGGTATTGAATTAAATCCAGGTTTTAATTAATTAAATTAAGGGCGTAAGCTTATGTTGTAATTTGTAGAAACGTTGCAATCACAAAACCTATTTGGTTTTTTCACACCCGAATGGAAAATTACAAAACAATATGTACTGAAGTGTACTAGAAGAAAGCTGTAATGTAAAATATGATTTGCTTAACGATGCTGTTGCGTTACGTATTTAATATGCATTTGAGAATGAATTTCGCACTTTCATACTAACGCCATCCTGCAGGAAAAAAAAGCCTACATCAAAGTTACTGGAACACATTTCAGGTTTAAGTGTATTTAACTCCCTAAACTAACTTTTGGGATTTTTTCGCCTATTACGTAAAGAAATCTAAAAATATGGCCATAATATATGTATATTAGGTATGAATTTGCACTAAAAATGCCTTCTGGCAGAACAGATGGCAAAGGAAAAGTATTAGAACGTTCTTCTTAAGTCAGTGGAACCAAATGTACGACAGAGAACAGACTTCTGCCATCAAATATGGTTTTCATTGAGTTATCCGATTTTGATAAATTTAAACCGAAATTCAATAGTAGGTATAAAACGCCATCTTGAAGAAATCAAGTCGATCTGATCAAAAACAACGGCATGAGAATTTTTTATTTCATTCTCTCGTATGGGAGCTATCCGATATAGACGCCCGATCCGGCCCGTATGTATATGTATACTTATATACAGCGTGCAATAACTACACAACTTTTGGAAAGTTTCAGCAAGACAGCTTTAAAACTGAGAGACTAGTTTAAAGATAGACGGACAGACGTATAGTCGTATTTCGATTCTGATCGTGATGCTGTTCGAGAATATATATACTTTAGAGGGTCTGACTCCTTCACTGCGTTGCAAACTTCTGACCGAATATATAATACCCTTTGCTCTGCAAGGGTATACAAAGTGAAGGTCCCACCTACATGCACTACATACCAGAAAGAAAAATTACATAACATTCTGTACTTAAGTATGCTAGAAGAAAGCTGTGGAAAAACCTGTACCTAACTAAATTCATGTTGCTTACTTCATAAAATTACAACGGTATTGACTTGAATCCAGGCTTTCATTAAATGATTTGAGAGCTTAAGCTTATTTTGTATTTGTAGAATCTTTGCAATCAGAAAACCCATTTGGTTTTTTAACACCCGAATGGAAAATTACATAACATTCTGTAATGAAGCATGCTAGAAGAAGGCTGTAAAGTGGTAGGTAACCCCTTAGCTAACCCAAGGGCCAGGTCAAGGAGCAGTCCACAGGAGGCCTGGCTGCGACCTTCCGCGCGAAATCAGAGACCGCGGCTCTGGAGACCGCTGTCGGGGGTTCAGCCCAGCCTGATTGCATAATGGCATAATTGACCGATATTGCGGCACAAGTGGCCGGGCACACAGATCTCGCTGGTCGCTTCGAGGGGCCAGCGAAGCTCCAACGCCATTGGGCGGGCAATAAAAGCGGACGCGGACACGGACGACTCAAAGCGGCGGGCGGCCGGTAAATGGATACATCCAACCACCCCTCCCTCCCTTCCTCCCTCCAACTATACATCCATCCACCCACATCCACTATAATCTGCATTTGCCGTCAGCGTAGCTAGTGCTGCTACTATACTAATGCTAATGCTAATGCGACGACAAAAGAGGCTCCGTTGATTAAGGTCAGACTTTCGCACCAAGACGGAGGGGCTTTACGTAATCCCCGATCGGATCGCGGACTTTGCACTCACCCCAGCTGTCGATGGATCGGCCGAAGTAGGAGTTGTCCTCGGAGTCGTAGACCATCTGCTTGAGCGACTTCTTCTTGGGCCTCTCCGGGGGGCGGGAGTAGTACTGTTGGAACCCGTCGATGCAGTCCTCCGTGATGGTCGGCATTCTTGAGCGCTTCGGCCGCTGGCGCTTCCTCAGTGCAATCGGTGTGGGAACGGGGAGTTCAAAGAGTTCGAAGAGGTGGTGGATCGAAATGGGGGATCGGTCCGTTCGGTGGGTCGGTTATCCAAAGAGCTAAAAGGTCCTGTGTGCGATTCGGTGGTGGGTTGCTCTCGGACCTGTTGAATGCGGGAACGCTGATGGATGGCTTCTGGTGGTGTACGGTATCCACTTAAACTGACACTGGGAATTTTTGCTGCACACGACAAGTTGACACCGCTGTGCGCCGCGCGACACTGATCTGGATTCTGGACTCGAAACAAGAAAGACCAAGCAACGCCGGACCCGTGGTGATGTGGTGTCTGAAATCTGAAATCCGGCATCTGGCATCTGAAATCACAAATCCGAAATACGCAAGAGTGAGGCTTAATCAAATGCTTTGTGCATGTGTGCGGAAATACGCCGCCGTACGCGCCACCGAAACGGGATGCCAGTTAAAGGTTAGCAGCTGGTTGGTCAGTCGGATAGTTTAGTTGGATAGTTGGATAGTGGGATAGCCGGACAGCTCTGGCATCTCCAGAAGACGCGAGTCGCGGCGCGTGACACAATTTCCACTTAATTGAAGCCTAAGATCGCCGAGACCATCATCCGAAAAACCCCCCTGAATCCCCTGAAAATCTGTACGAGTGACACAAACGAACATGTAAATTAACCGTGATGATCATTGCACTAATTGCCGCATGAAATATGGCTTCCTTTGGCACTGAGCGCGTTTTAGAATGGAAGTTCAGCCTGAGCAACGGGGAGGCAGGTGAACCGCAGAATTTTAGTTTGAATTCGATTGGAAACGGATTGTAATTAAAAGCTCGCCTTATAAATTAAGATCTGCGGTTGAACCTTATAGTTGAAGATAATCTTTCGGAAGTACTTTGTACTGATGTGCAAATAATTCGGTTCATAGCATGCGGGTCGTACAATTTAATTACGAATGTGTAAGCTATACACTTGAACTTTAATTTAAAATTCAAAGCTATCGATAGCCGGCGCGCGGTTTCGCTGGCGCCACCTGCCCGGGCTGTGGCGAAAGCTGTGTGGCAGTTTGTGTCCCCGCTAATTGCTTCTGCTGCCCGCCGCCAGGTGTCGCCGACGAAAGTAACACGAGGTGTTCCATAAGATTGTTGAAATCCAAAGGACAATACTCACTAGAAATATCTTTTACCATAGTACGAATCGCACTCTTCCCTGAAGAGAGCCAAGGGTATTAGTATCAGCAATAGCGTAAACAGGAACCCAACTATAACCAGGAAGATGGTGGTGAGCGTCGATTTCTCCACCATTGTGCGATGATATCGTTCTTAGTCTCACAACTTTGAAATATCAACAGAGGTATAAGGTCTCGCAAAGTGATCGTTATTTAAAAACATGTAAAACACTATCATAAGCACGATGAACAGAATTATTCCAATGATACCAAGTATTAAAATTAAAGTCTTTGTTTCCATCACTTTTCACGGTAAACGTTTTTTTCTTATTTGCGTTTGTGTTTTGTAACTTTTTTCTTTTCAGGAAATTTTGAACTGATTTTCAAGCACGACCCGACGACGGCTGTATTCCTACTGAATTCTAAACACAACGTCTCCGCGAGACAAGGCAACTAATTCGAACACTTGAATCGGAGCACGGCTGATGCCAAACTCAAGGTTTTGGCCGGTATTTTGATCTTTTGGGAAACACTTACAATTTTTAGATACCTTCGCCACCGCCCTCGGCACCAGGCTCCTCTTCTGTTACAACCTCCACAGGTACTTCTTCTTCTATCACCGGTTCTGGAGTGGTTATTGTGGTTGTGGTTGTAGTGGATTTCTTGTATTGGTCATAGGGATTCTCGATTAGGAAGTATATGAAAATCAAATTCAAGATGAGAAGGCACAGTATTACTGAGCCCGCCACTAAAGCTATTATGATTTTCTGATCCATTTTGGCGACCACTAAGGTTGTTGGGCAGACCTTTGTTGTGTGTTACTCAGATGAAAAATATCAAACGGGTTAAAAAGTCTCTTGGATGGAAATACGAGAGGATCCTGGGAAAAAATAATTGTTTTTATTAAAATGCGAGAAGTACAGATTTCGTTTCGGTTTAGAAAAGTCTTCAAATGATGTGTTTTAAAAGTCACAGCAACCCCGACCAGAGGCCTAGATATTCTCCAGAAAATAATTCATTTTTAAAAGAAGAAAACGCTAGAGCTTTAGAAACGATTTTTTAGAGATTATAATTTGAGCAAGAAATTTCGAATACATTACAGCACATACTTAAAATGAAGCATCTTATTTTCTTTACATTGCACTGTGGCAAACGCATTTTATCTCGTTCAGTATTATTTAAGATAAGAATTAAGAATTATATAAGGAATTCACTTTGGAAGAGGTTATTCAAATGTTGAACAAGGAAACTTAAATGTTCATTGACAAAAATAAGAAGTTAGCTATAGGTGAAATCTTAAGCGATTGGTAAGCACTTCACATTGATCACAATGCGACGAAAGATGTTAATCAAATCCAGCTATAGAAAATATTGTGTTAGATGTGTTAGTGTTGTGTTAGAAATAATTGCTTATATGAATCATTTGGTGAAAAAGTATATTTTTTGCTTACCCTCTTCCTTTTGTTTTCAAGGGCCACAACGTCATAGAAGCAGTATATATTGATGTACACGATTAGAATAATGTCAACAATAAGAAGCACCGCGATAAGAATCGCAAAAATTATTACGATAGTTTTTGTTTCCATTTTTGAGCTCAGTACTGTATAACAATTTGAGTAGTTTTAAAACGATTTTCAATTGTGCCTATAGGCGGACGGATTTAGACAGAAAATTCTTGAACTCCTGATCACAGAAAAAGAGTGCTGTTTTTTAAACAAACGCGTATAATAAATACCTACCAAACAACTAGAAATTTTTTTTTTAATCTGTCCTTTAAAATTAGAGTTCTTTCTAAAAAGGTATTTTTTGTCAAAAAAAATTGATAATAAAAAAAAAAAATGTAAATTAGGTTTGGAAAACAGAATAGTTTCTTCAGCACAAGAATAAATTCAAATCGGCGTCTTCAGCATTGAACAAGATGCAAAGCAACAGTCCAGTCCAGTCCCGACAACCAGATATCTATTACTCAGATAAATAATTTTAATAAAAGAGATATCTTTTTGAAACTTCTTACGCCCCATCCCAAAGATCTTGGCGTTTAGGACAGGTTCTGAAATGAGGCGTGGCCAATTTACAAAAACCCAATAGGCTCTCAATATTTAATGGGTTCAGTCTTTATATTCAAAAATAACATCCAATTTTTGTGGCACACAAAAACCATAAAACGGTTTGATAAAAATTTTATTTTAGATATAAACACACCAATTAAAGGTTTTTTCTGAGGTGTGAACGCAGTGTAGAAGACACAGTCTACCTCTTAAAGTATATATATTCTTGATCAGCATCACGATCTGAATCGAAATCCGTCTGCCCGACTGTTAGTATGCCCCTCCGTCCGTTTCTATGTAAACTAGTCTCTTATTTTTAAAGTTTTTTTACTGAAACTTTATCAGAAGTTGTGCAGTTATTGCACACAGTATATAAGTCGGAACTGACCGGATCGGCCGACCATATCGGATAGCTCCCATACAAGAGATTGAAAGAAGAAATTACCACGCAGTTGTTTTTGGTCACATCGACTTGATAATGCTTTTTTACTATATACTATTGAATTACGAAATAAATTCCATAAAAATCGAAGATATAGAAACTTAATAGAAAAATCGACATAGCTTCGATATTGTTTAGCCTTTATGTATTTTGTTCGACACATTTGGTGACTGCAAGGGTATATAAGCTTCGGTTCGACTAAGCTATCTCTCTTTTTGTTACCACTGGTTTTTGTTTTCACTGTAAGGGTAAATGAACTTCCCCTGGCGTTCTTTCCTGATTATAATCTAATTATACCCTGTTTTAGTTTTGTTAAATTTAAAGATTTTTGTTCTGTTCCTTACTTTGAATTAGATGCCACTTTGTCTATACCTTTATTTTTAAACGTGTTCGACTGTCAAAATCTGTGCATAACAAAATCATCGAAGTGTTTTGTAAAATTGGTTGGTAAGTTTTGAAGACATTTCTTAGGATGCTGTTTTAACAAACGCTTTCTTCAGTTTGCAGTAACCGGTGGCACTGCATTTTATTTCAACAATGAATGGATCTCAGGCAATTGTACTATATGGATTTCTTTGCGTCCTGTTTATAGGTATTCTTATTATTTCGGTAATATTAGTCTGCGGAGTATATTTTCATGATCCGAATCGAACAGTCAAACCACCGACGACCACAGATTCTGCCTAATAGAAAAGGTAGAGAACGTAATCAAGTGGCTAGAAATGTCTGACATGAATTGGTTTTATTAAAGTTCGTTGAGAGTTAACCTTAAAAATGGGCCTTATTAAATATATTGATGATTACGTGGTAAAATGTATTCCATTAGAGAACTCCAAGCAGAACACTTATGTGGAAGAATAGCTTACAAACTGGCAGACTGGTATTCGCCACTATCGGTCATTAAAGCCCAAAAATCGATCAGTTCTATGCCGCACAAAGTTATATTGAAACAGCATTTTGGTGCAATGCTTTGGATTTTATTCAGCTCTACTGTCTAGGATTGAACTTGCATATAAATTAATACGCAGTGAAAAGTTTAAAAAAGATGTCACGTCTGTTGTTTTTTTATGAGATTGGGTCCTTCGTCGTGATTCAGTTTAATTTTGTTAGACACCAATATTAAGCAACTAAAAAAGACGACTAGACTCACCAAAAATTCTTAGTAACAAAATTTTGTTCCCCTCAATTTACTATTATTAGTTCAATTCTTATATTAATCACCACTAGTTCTGCGACAGCTGTATGATATAGCAGTCCCGTACGTTATATAAAGCACGTTTAAATATCGATTGCCTAACAACATCGAAGCCGTTAAGATTTTCTTAATAATTTTCCATATTTCAACGATTGTGCTGTATGACAGCTACGTGATATAGTCATCCGAATTTAAATTTAACTCAAAATTCAAGCGTCTTAAAAAAAATCATGCCAATCGCTTCTATAGGTACTCGGTTTACACATTTGGTTACAGTTATCAAACGAAGAGACGGGCAGACGGAGATGCTTAAAAACCTTATTTTAAATTTCTATAGATTGATTTATCCAATTCCGATTTTCAGTGGACCTTAACAGCCGTTTTGGGATAGGGCTAGATAATACCATTCGAGGCGAGACTGAAATCCTAATTCCCTTTTCAAGGGTATGAATTCCATCAACTTTTAATAGCTTTAGGAGCAAGGGCAAAAATTGAATTCCAAGAGCGTTTTGAATTCGATTATTCGAATTCCTTAATTCCACCCAAGACAAAACGAATTCGTATTGATCTTTTTTAATTTGAAGTCTAAATTGGCCTAAAAAAATGTCAAAGTGCAAGCTTAAATCAAGACGACTGTAATCGGCTTATCGTCCTTCATCTTGATCGTAGCTGCGTTCGATTCAGTTCCAACCAAACAGTCATCCAGGTGAGCATCTCACCCAAAGAGTTTTTCAGAGCCACTTAGAAACCGCCTGCAGGAAGAAATGGATAAGATCGATAAATAAGGCAGCTAAAACAACTACTTACACGCAGTTATGGGTGAAAATGGGGAGAGGAGTGGGGATCAAAGCCGGGGATCCGGAACCTAGCAACAGCACTTGGGCGGAGTGTTGTAGCAGTGAGCCTTGCACGGCCCACACCAAACACAGGGCATGTTGTCCTTGTTAACAAGGTAGCGCTTAGGGCAAGGAGCTTCAGGAGAAGGAACTTTTAGCGTGACACCGTGCACTTGATCCAAATGCTGTGGCACGCACAGTTGCCGATCGCCTCACCTGCTCCACCTTCATTCCTTTTAAATAGATGGTTCTTCGTCGGACATACGGACAAACAGACATACGGACAAACAGACAAACAGACATACAGACATACGGACAAACAGACATACGGACAAATGCACATACGGACAACAGGACTTTCTGGGGCCCGATTTTAAGTAAGCTTATGCGGAGACCGACTTACATGGATAGGTGGGAGGCGTGTTATAGTAGTTCCAGACTCGCGGATCGGGAATGCCGCCTTCGGGGAGCGGGGGACAGCACATGCCAGGAGCTGGGGAGCAGGGAATGGGCGAGGGGGCCCCGCATGGCGGACTGTGCGGGCCGCAGCAGGGAGTTTCATTACAGGGTCCACAGCATCCACACCCGTTGCACATCTTGAGTTCTCCTAGCGCTGCAGGCGTTGGAAAAATATTAAACACATTCCTACACACACAATACACACTCACTATTTTGGTTGAAACTTGTTCGAAAAAGAATTTGGAATTTTGTTAAATTTTGAAGCCGAAACGACTGGTCCGAGAGTCAGATATCGAATGAGGCTAGCTTCTCACTCGGCCTAAGGTATCCGTTTCAAGCTACCGGTTCGATTAGAGCGGAAAGTCATGGCCAACTTTATGGATTCGCTAAGGCTACTATGTTAAAGAAAAGAGATACAAGTCTTAAGTGTAAAAAAGCGTGGTGAATGTATAATAAAAATAGGTAAAAAAACTTTTGAAGTTAAACGGTTTTATGTTAAACATACATTGCAATGTTTAAGATAAATGTATTATACTAAAAATAATAAAATAGATACAGTCGTGGGAATTATAAACATATGCATACACTAGACTAAAATAAAAACGTGGGGCACGTCAATAGTCTACAATCGTTGATTAAAATTTTTGTTTTGTAATGTTACACTATAATTAGGCAGTTGTGGAAACAAGCTAGCAAGCTCGATTAAAGCGAGTTTTAGGGTTTCATAGTGTAGTAGTACTTTTATCTTATGTTTTGTCGATTAAAGACAAACTACGAGCAGTGAAACGATTCCTCGCCAGCCAGCAGTGTGAATGTCCAACGATAAACTAGTTGAAACATCTCTTTTATTTACAAGGAGTGTATAACTATTGGAATTTCTATGAGCAAGAAAATATTAAGTAATTTCCTCACCGTCTGCGGGCCAACTGCCTAACGACGAATTAAACGATTCTTCTATCGCAGTCGTGGAGTCGTGTTTATATGATACGACTGTATCTATTTTATTATTTTTTGGTTTTTTAGGAATTTTTTAATTCAACAGCTAATAAAAAAGCTTATTAGCTCAACAAGTATATTTTTCTTAAACATTGCAATGTATGTTTAACATAAAACCGTTTAACTTAAAAGGTTTTATTTACCTATTTTTATTTTCTAGATTTTAGTTTTTATTTCGCATTCTACTTGTTGAGCACTTTCATTTGATACCCATATTGATGGGATTGGTAAACCCTACGTTATCCGCCATTTTGTAGCGGCCGCCATCTTGAATTTACAATGTTATTGATATTACTATATTGTATTGTCATCGGGACTGAAGATGCGTATCAAATTTCAGATCAATCTGACAACAGGAAGGTACTTCAATTTTAATTTCTAATTTTGAACCAAGAAAACAAACAGGGTAAGCTAAATAAAACCGTTCAAAAAAATGCTGCTTATTTGAAATAAACTGCTTAATTCTAACCATAAAAAAAGCTTTGAATTTCATGTACAAATAATGGATAACATTTTACTTGACCTATTATAAATATGATCACAAGCATCGTTCTATAGAAAGGCTTTAATAAATGCATAATAGAAGCATTTGTAAATGAATTTTTCAAAACACTAGTTTGTTGTCTAAATGCGTTCTTTACCGATCCTCTTTGTGTACAGTGTAAGCCCATATATATATCGATTTTTTTTAAATTAATTTTAGAAATTAAATGGGGATACGCTTTAGAGGCTAATTTACAATTCTAATTGGGTGTTTTTATTTCAATTCTAAATCATCAACACAATATGCTGTACCATTTATACTACGTGCACCACTAAGGCGGTTGATAAGTGTGTTAAGCAGTTTAAAAAAAATTCACTGCATACAGATAGTGAACAGGAATCCCCATTTTTAATTTAATTTTTGTAGCTTTACAGATTTCGAAATCTTTATGCTTATACCGACATGATACAAGTAATCTAATGGGTCTGATGAGGAACTTATATACTTAATGGGGCCTCCTAACTTTTAATATACATTTCAGGAACTATGTTATATTCGAGCAATAATAATTTTGATAGTTGGGAATGGTTTTGTAATTCGCAACTTTTTGCTCACTTTGAAAAATCAGTGTAACTAAAATCGCAATAGCAAATGATTTTTCTAGTTACTATAGCTACCAGGTAGTATTTTGCTTAAGCCGAGTTTTAATAAATATGCATTTTCATAATTAGTGGTATTTATTTTTTTATTTATTATAATTTGGGGTCAAATGGATTCTAAAAACGTACAAATGATCTCGCGCTTAAATCAAGACGGACGGGACGTTTTTTCAATGCCACGGCCACTCGAGCTCCATCTTGATTTAAGCCGCTTTCAATTTGTCAGAGACCAAAACAGCGCCACACAACAACAACATGTCCCGCCAAGGGAGCGGCATTCCGCGGAAGGGCTTGGAACCCGCCTGGAGGACGAGATGGCTAAGATCCGTGGGTGCGGAGGCCGACAAGCTACTTACACGTGACGGGATGTGGATGGATTCGAAGGTCATGACTGAAGGACTTTAGGCCTGGGAACAACATTGCTCATCCCGCCAGGGTGCCCTCTATTTCAATTCTAACTAGCAGACTGGACTATCTTCTGCAGAAGAAAATATTACTTGTCAGCACGGTCGGATTTTCCCCATTTGCTGTGGCCCGCACAGTCGCAGGGACCCCTCTCATTTTGTCTTAGTTTACCGCTCTCTATTGGACGGACACGAATGCACTGAAACGGACAGACGGACGGACAAACGCAAGCGTGGGTAAGTAACAAGTGAGCTACACTGATTTCAGAATCGTGGATCCGGGAGTGCCAGAGTGGAGTAAGAAAGGAGTGAGTGGTGGCCGCTTGGCGGACTGTGTGGACCTCAGTGGAGAGCTCAGCTCGTACAGCAACAGCCGCCGCAGCAGCCGCCTGCGACTCGACCGCCGCATGCCGGCCCGCCGCTGGGGGCTCCGGTGGCGGCGCAGCGCATCCGCTTGTTGTTCACGCCCATCATCATGTTGGCGTAGCGCAGGGGGAAGGCCGCCGGGCCGCAGGTGGGGAACGGGAAGCACAGGCAGGCTGGGCGACCCTGGCAGGCGGACCGCGGACACTTGTCCTGCAGCCCGTTCCGCTTCACGCAGTCGCAGGTGGTGTACATGATGCCGCAGCGCAGTTCCCGACTGCGGCATCCGCGGGGCTGCAGAATAACAATAATATATAATATATACTATATATGCGAGTTCACTACCCACCTCCAACGATCCACATCCGTCACACATGTTGCGTCCTTCGAAAGCTACATGACAACCGATTACACGAACTTAATCACTTAATCTATGCAAACTTACTTTTTTGGTCAAATTATTCTCGAACGGAAATTTTGAATTTAGAAAATTTAAAAAGGGTCGAAACGAAGGGTTCGAGAGTCTGATGTCGAATGGGGATCCCACTTCAAATCCTACGCCATATTCAGTTTAGTTTGAGAGCACTTGGATGGCCTACTTTTGTAGCCCTTGGCCTACTTAGCTTAGAAAGCCTAAAATGTATAATATACTATATATATTAAAAATGAAAAAAATTATAACGTCGTTGTTTTTTATCCCACGAACATGATCCTTGAATCGAGAACAAAATTAAAATTTAAGTCATATTAAATCTTAATATAACTTCTAATTGCCTTTGGACTTTCGTCAATATTAAGATTTTTTGGTTAGATACGCTTTCATCACTTTTAGCAAATATATGCATTTTTCCCCTTGCTGTCTTATAATCCCGATGCAAAAATCTAAGAAGAAGCTTCGCTTGTTGGCGACGAAAGCTCTGTTATCAGTTATAATGGGTAAGGGTCTCAGTTCTGTTTGAGAGCCACCTGATAAGCAGATCGGTCCGCAGTTCGCTCAGAGTTCCCAAGCTGATCGGATCGGAGCAATGCCCAATATTGCAGTTATCGGGGCCGGAGTGAACGGAGTGGCCAGTGCCATTAAGATACTGGAGCACTTCGTCAACGAGGCAAAAGCGCCGATCAGAGTGACCATAATATCGGAGGATTTTACACCCAACACCACTGGAGATGGATCGGCAGGGCTCTGGGGACCTTATTTGCTGGGTGGAACCTCGCAATCGAAAGTCCAGTAAGTGTTCCTTATAAATTGCAAATTTAAAATCGATCCCTATCTAATTTTTTGTGCAGCAAATGGTCGAAGAGCATGCACCAATTTCTGGAGAAGATCTGGCTGAGCGGAGATGCCGGGGAAGCTGGAGTTTGTTTACTTCCCTGCATTCGTCTTGGCACCTCCACGGTGGATACTGTTGAGGATTTCTGGCGCGACATTGTCTACGGAGCGGTGGATCTCACCCAGGAACAGCTTGCTGTCTACAACCAAGGCCGCAGTGTCAAATTCACGTAAGTAGATAAAAGGTGATTTTGGCATATTTAGGAGCTTGAAATCTGTTTACTTAAAATTTAAATTTAAAAGTTTCTCCGCTTTAAAGTCACAAAGAAAAAAAAAAACCCAAAAATGCAAAATCAATGCTTGTTATTGAAGTTTGTTAGTTCTTGCCAAAGCTGGTTATAGCTCAATCTGAATAATTAAATATTAAATTGTTAAGGCACTTTCCAACTTTTATTTAACCAACCAGGTTACAATTATTGGTTTATGCATAGAGTTAATTATATTTCGATATTAATATCTGATTTAATACGTTTTAAATCGCATTGAGAATACATTTTAATAATTATCAATGGCTTCCCTACAGGTCAGGCTTATCCTTTGTTACCTACACATCGGAGCCCGTGAAGCTACTTCCGTATTTGATGAAGCGCTTTCTCCGCAACGGAGGTGCAATTATCCAAAAAAAGATTACCGATCTGGAGGCATTTATAGCCGACTCCGAGTACGATGTGATTGTCAACTGCTCCGGCCTTGGATCCCGGACACTATTGAAGGACGACCAAATGTACTCAGTTCGCGGACAGGTTTCCAGAGTGAAGGCCAACTGGATCTTTTCGGCAGTGTTGGATGAGAGCGACGATGGCAACTACATTATTCCCAAGTAAGTAAATATTAGGCTTCCCCAATACTTTGCTGGTGCTAACCCCTCAAAATCCAAGCACCGAGAGCGTCGTCCTTGGGGGAACTCACCAGGAGCAGGATTACAATACTCGGGTTTGCCAGCAGGATAAGAGGCTAATTGTGGACGGCTGTCGGCGGTTTATTCCGGGTCTGGAGCACACGGAAAGCCTCTTTGACTGGGTTGGTCTCCGTCCGGGTCGAACCCAGCTCCGGCTGGAAGCCGAGCGACGCGGAAGGAAGCTCCTCATCCACAATTACGGACACGGCGGCAGTGGAGTCACTCTGTGCTGGGGCTGTGCCGACGATGTCCTCGATATCCTCAAGGCTGCCAGGAACGGTTCCAAGTTATAGAACTAAATGAGTCTTGATATTTGAAATTAACCCTCAAGATATTTCAAACTTTTTCTTTTATTCATTCGGCATTTTTGTTTTCTAATGGAACAAAAATAAAATTTGTGTCTGTTGTTGTCAAATGTAAATAGTTTAATGCACTTAGTACTGTTTTTTATAAAATTAGGAATTATTTTCGTTTTTCTACATTTTAGCAGAAATTTTATGCTCGACTTTAACTTAACTAGTTTTTTTGAAGTTACTTGGAAGCTGTTGATTGTTGTTTTTTGGTGATTATAGTTGTTCTTCAGTTCTGCATTATTTAAAAAAAGATTTTAAATGAAAAATAATTTGGGAATTGTGTTCGATGAGTTAGTGTTAGACCATTGTAATGAAAACCAAAAAAAATAAAATTTTGTTTGCATTGGATCACTTTTCAGTGTAGGCAGAATCTAGGCATTATCATTATCGTAATGGCATAGGAATCGTATCGATAGGCTTATCACCGCCTGCTTGGAAACTCGCCTTTTTCCACCCCTTCGAAATGCAATAAACGCTTATCAATTGGAGGCTGAAGAATTTTGAAGGGAAAGCCCAAAAGTAGACGTGTATTTTTATATGACGTGGGACAAAAAGAGCTCAAAAATCGTCGTCGTGTCGTTTCTCGGCGGCCTCCTTGGCCAATCTGGCTTCCAAGGCCTCGTGGAACTCCTCGAATCCCGGCATATCGACGTACTTCAGGATCGGAGAGACGGGCAGTTCGAAGAGCAGGGCGTACATCTCGTCCAGCTCACGCAGGATGTCGAAGGGACGGGTATTGCCCACCTTGTAGATGGAGTAGATCGTCCTGCCGATCTCGTCGTACTCGATCAGACTGGCTGCCTCCTGGTCCACGGAGCTCAGGGCGATGAAGCTCACGCGGGGCATGTGCATGTGCTGGGCCACAAAGCCGAACACGTCGAAAAAGCTGGTCAGGAAGTCTCGGTTGAAGTACAGCTCGTCCGGAATGGCGATCTCGTGGACCATCAGCGCGTCGAAGGTGGAGATGTTCAGGTTCGCCTTCGTCGCATCGATGAGCTCCTTCTTCATCATTATAATCTGCTGGAACAGATTCCGGGGCATTGATGATGGAAAGAACACCCTGTCAAAAGCAAAGACATTGAACTTGAGTTATACATTATATGGGTTCAAAAATCATACCAGGAGTGCCACTCCTCAGTCATCCATTCCAGCAGGCCCACTGCCCTTATCTGGGTCTCGTCCTCGCTGATCATCATCACCGAACACTCGTTTCGCAGAATGTGCAGAACATACCTTTAAATCAGATAAGTGATAATGCTTATTTGTAATCGCAATCATTTTTAATATTTCAGCATTTTTCCGTATAAAACAATTTTCGAAATGCCAGCATCGTTCAATAAAAAAAAATCAATTCAAATGTCTTACGACAAAGAATAAAATCGTTTTTTTTTTTTTTAGGAACCTCAAACCTCTTTTAGTAATTTAAAATACTTAAATACAACAGTTTGTTTGTTTGTTTTTAAATGATTTTCAGTTTTATGATATTTTCTTGCAAATACAAGTCAAAATTTTCTTTGAAAAAAAAGATGAAGATATGAAAAATCATAAAAATACACTTATTGTTATTATAAATCGGATTTATTTATATAATACTTAAAAAAAATATAGTATTTACTTATTGCTTCATTATTACCTAGAATAGGTTTCTTTCATGTCCGGCAAGTCAAACAGTCCCAAGCTTTCGTATACCAGACTCTTTAGAAACGAATTGTGCCACATGAACTCGATCACCATGTCGTAGTACCTAAAAATATTGGCATTATTAAGCTTCAGGTTTCTACTTCACTTTCATTGTACGTGCTTCGAGTTAATGTCAACTATTTGCATTCCCTCGAAAACATCCCACTGGATGTCAAACCGCAAGGTGCGGACATCTTCCATGGCAGTTGGATTACTCTGAATTTGGTAAGAACTGAAGATTTGGTAATAAAGTTATATCTGAACATTACACCTGAAAGTTAGAAATAATTGTGTTAAAATAAATTATATATAGAAAAGCACAGCATACTTTTTGGGTGGTTCTGAGATACAAAAATGCTTTCAAAATAGCACAATTTTTTTTGCTTTAACAACATATATCGTTTTTATATATTTGTGAGGTCATATTAGGGTTCCATAATTAGCTTAATTTTTATTAGCCTTTATTTTTAAAGATCGTGTTTCAGGTCGAAATAGCTTTCAGATATCATATAATCTGACAAGCTAAAGCATACTTCTTGGATGGCATTTCCATTTCCTGTAAAACTGTTTAGCATATTGTTTCCGAATGCAACGATGTTAAATTGGTTTTTCCATATCCAAAAGAAATAACCGTAAATGTTTATTTGTACAACAAAATGCAAATTTTCTGTTTTGAATAATGTCATAATTAAACGAATATACAGGCGGTAACAATCAAGGGAGAAACGTGTAAATTTAATTTGTCTAATGTCTCAATTTGAATAAATTGCCACCACATAAAAGCAAATGCAGCCCGAAAGAATGTAAATAACAATCGCACCCATTTGTGGGCGAAACCAAGTCGGCTTGAGACCAAACCAGATCCACCCTCGGCCCAAAAAAATGTCAGAAGTGGGAACACGTCCTGGAATACACCTTGGATTCCGTATTTTAAAATTCAAAGACCATCGGGTGTCATTTACTAGGCAACAAACCAATTGAATAACCGAATTTGGCTCGGATACTCATGTTTGACAGGGGGCTTTTCACTCTCCTTCGAGTTGGAGAAAGTGGGGGGCCCTCAGGAATACAGCGCATTTTTAAATGTTTCACATCCTTGTCCGTGAGACAATTGGATATTTAAATACAAGCGACAGTTTTAATGGCTGGCTTCGGGTTTCGTTTGGCCCGCTGCCACTTGAGGCATTTTCATTCCGGACACGTATGCCATTGTCTCATGTCGTCCTGATAAATTCAATATCGAAAAGAAATAACTTAATTTTTGACACCACTCGGTGGGGGAATGGAGTTGGGATTGGGTTTAAAAGCACTTTATTTTTGGAAGCAACTCAAGCGAGCCAAGAACGAAAAACCATCGCTAACATTTAGCAAAAAGCGGCGTAATACTACTAAGTCCGCGGCGGACTTTATGATGTTGCATAAACTGTGTCGGGCGTTAAAACGTCTCATTTGGGACTCATTTAATCCGCCAAATTGTTTGCACACACTCGCACTCGCAGTGGGCATCCTTTCTGCCACAAAAGGTAAACGATTCGGGGCAACAACAGCGGCGTATTTGAATTCATTCGAAAATCGCTTAACGTCAGCCGGCGGTTTAGCATGTTTTTCAGCAAACACCTGCGCATTCCCTCGGAATCGCAACCTGGGTGGTTCGGTGGGTTGGATATAGGTGGTTGGGTGGTGCCATCGCCAGCCGTGACTTGCATTCGCCAGCGAAACTCTGCCACCGCTTTCATTTAAATTCGAAAATACAAAACGAATGGAAATGCAACAATGAAAAGGAAAAGAGTCTGAGGGAAACACGGAGTTCAGCCGAAGTTTAAATGTACTAGGTACTCTAACCTACAACCTCTTCGATACTCTAAGAAAATCATTCAGGAGAATCATTCCAGAAAAATTAATAGATAATAACTTTCAAAATGTTTCTTAATATTCAAGAAAGTTGTTCAAGGCTTAATTTTTTACTAAAAGGTAATATACTACAATTTGGTAAAACAATTTTAAATTTCTTACCATAAGTGGTATCGTTATTTTGTATTTTAGGTATACAAGCAATTGCTTTTCTGCTTCATGGAACACTTTTAAAAGGAGATATTAAAATAAAATAATTTATCCTGGACTTTTATATATACTGTTTCGGTAAGAGGTACTCTTCATTTAGTTCAATGATCCCTTATTAATGGCTATTTCATCCTTAACCCCAATTAAGTTACATAGTTAACCCTTGGAAGGGTATGCTATTGAAAAGCACACTTGATTGTGTTGGCTGAAAAAGCCGGTTGACAGTGTATGGCGGCCATGATTGGAATGAAGTGGGCGGGTTTGGATTCCGGCGGAAGGGGAGGGGCTGGGAGATGTGCACTTGTTAGCCGCAAGGTGCTGGCAACCTCATCATCAGCATGTCACAAGCCCATTCCATCTGGGCGAAGTTTCGCGGTTGTCGACACACAAACAAATAAACAAACAAGCCTTCAGCAAGGGTTCAACAAAAGCAAAGTGCTCAAAGTAATTCAAAATACTGCGAAAGGGGAAGGAGTTGGATAATCCCTCTATATCCTGCAGTTGGTTCTCCATTGTTTGATTATTTAGCATTTAAATAGCGGCTAATCCACGTTGTACGGTTGCGTATCTTTTGATTCAGTGCTTCGCAGATGTTGAATTTCAGCTTCCCGACACTTTGAAACTTTTACCCAAAATTATTTTGTTATGTCTCAGAAAAATTATCTTATCTGCTGTGATCATAGCTCATAATTATGCTTGTAAAAAGAAATTAAACTTCAATTTTCTTAAACGTCTTGGCTTGAAATGGCTTTGGTTGTCTACTGGTGAATTTCAGGACCTCAGATGACTTCTCCAGGGAACAGAATGGAAACTGCTCTTTAAGTACTGACAGCGGAGTTGACAATGAAGATTATTTTAAGCCAAAAGTAGCTATTTTCCAAATTATATAAAAACAGCTAATAGGAGTAAATATAGATGTGTTTTGTTATTTAAAGCCTTAATTTAATAACTTTATTAAATTAAAAATGTATTTATTATTGAAAAAAATATTGTAAATTTCAGTATTTTAGTTACATTTTTTATGTTTGCAAAAGATATCGAATGTAATTCTAATATTAAACAAATTTTTTTAATTTCATAATATTTTATTTATTCATCCAAGTTTTTAAATTAAAATATTTAAACTTAACATTACCAATCATACATTGAATCTAATTTTAGGAAATATACAGCTTGTGTGTAGTTTTCAATACTGAATAGATATAATCTATGGTTTTGTGCCAAAATTTAGAAATAAAAAATGTTTCAATATTTATGCTCCTTTAGCTATTTTGCATTGGCCTCAGTTGGCCATGTTGCACAGCATCCCTGGCTCGAGGAAAGCCGTTAAGGAACTTCCGGCTCGGTTTTAACTCACTTAGGTCGCCAGCGACTTATGCAAAAGTTTCAATTGCCTCTTATTACTTTTGTTGTTGTTCTTGCTGTTGTTGCGCGCTTTTTATTGTTGCTCCGACTCAAGTGAAATGCAAATTTATTCAAAATGGAGGAAAATGGAAAAGTTAGCTGTGTCTGCAAAGTCTGAGTGGAAGGGCTACGGCCATAATTAAATATCATTTTTTTCGCATTTATATTTGCATTTTAGCGAACCATTTCATTTTATTTCGCTCTTAATTTGTTTTGCCTAGATAATTTCGTTAAAGTAAATAAAAGTGGGAAATGCTAAGGTTGCAGGAAGAAAGCCGACGATTGGCATATGAAAAATAACGTTTTTCCCATTAGCTACACGCGATTTTCCAATAAAATTCTAATGGCGAAATCAAATTCCCGGCGAAAAGAGTTGGCTGACCGGCGGCCGAGGAAATCAGTTACAACTATGGACAGTTATCTCAGCGGGTCATCTCCACGGAAGGACAATTATCGGTGGACATGCTAATTTGTGCGTGGCCAAAGGACTCTCCGAATGGAAAAAAATGGGTAAAGCAGAATACCTCAATATTTGTTGACGGAACGTGATTTGGCGCATTTGCCGTCGCCGGACAAAAGTGGAGCTGCCAACAACATGCGACCGCGCCCAACATGAGAACATCGGGAAGGTGAGGGTCGCACCCACTCGACCCCCGTTCACCACTCACTTATAAGTACACTAAGAAAAAATATGCATTAAGGAACATGTTCCGAAGTCTTTCCCCTATTCGTAATTAAGATGTTCGTACTATCCTTCCATAAGGGAAATCTGGGTTTTAATGATAATGTTATCATTCTTTGTCATGCTTTTCAGACAATTTTTAGGAGGTCATTAAGCTCCACGAATTAATGAATATTTTTTAAGAATAGTGTACAAGAATCTAAAAACTTTTCCTTGACAAAATTATTGCGTATTTAAGCGAGAATGTGATTCACTTTTAAAATGAGGATCATAAGACACAAGACAACTTAAATTGAAATGAGAGCTTAGCTGATGTCTTAAATAGTTTAAAAAATGTCTTTTATTATTTTCACCACGTATAAAAGATGATAAAAGACGATTTCAATTAGATCTTAAATAGTTTTTTAGAAAATATTCGCGTTGCAAATGTTTTTTTCACTGTACACTCGCGCCATCTCCCGCAGTGCGTTCTCCAGAAATATGCAATACGTTTTGTCCGAGTTGAGCAAACAGGCGCTTGAGCAGAACCCTCCTAAAGGATCCGAGTGGGAGGAATCACGAAGCGTAGCCGCTGAACACGCAAACCCAAAAGGGTTAATTAATTTAATGCCTTAACGCGGCGCAGAGAGCTTTTCTAACTAGACTATTGAAACGCCATCAAGCCAAGGTAAAAACTAAACACATTTTGTGCAAAAAGGAACTTCAAGGTATCTGCAACCACTCAAGGAAAAGCCACCATCTCCCCAGAAAATCCTAAAGAAACTCCGCCTCCAAAGACGCGTAAAGGCCACACCCTCCGCTTTCCTAGGAAGTTCAACGTCTTTGATGTAAACTTTGATAAAAATAAGTTGGATAAAAAAAGGGGGAGGGACGATCCTAGCCCCAAGCTATTCCTTTGCAATTTCCCGCCTCGGAAATGGCTTTTCTTTTGGGTACGTTATAATGGAGTCTAAGCCAAGTCCTTATTCTTTAGGTTCAAGGGATAAAATAAAAAATTTTCTCGCCCCATGACGCCAATTGAAGTCACTTGTCAGCTAATTATATACTTTTCTCAATTAATCAAGTAATGAAATGCAGTCAATACTGGATCCTTAAGACCAGTTGCGTGACTTTGTGGGCGGAACCAGGAAGAAGGGGGCGGGGCAG